AATCACCATCAACATCAAAGGGCAACCCAAACATAATCAGGCAACCTATCAGCGACTACATACACTACCTTTGAACAATAGTAAAGGCGACTTCAGCTTAGATGCTTTTGACGTCCTCATACTTCACAGCGCCTCCAAGACACACGGGACATCCACTGAAAATCACAAACTACAACAAGGCACTAATAGATAGAACCCTGATACACGTATCTCCTTACACTAAGCAACGAGATTCTCATCATCATCATCATCATCATCATCATCACTCCTTTGTGGCCCCTGTGGAGCAAAGGCTGCAACCACACATCTCCAGCGGACTCGGTTTTGGGCTGATCCTTTAATCTGTGCTCATGAGAGCCCAGCTGTTTTCGCCTTCTCATACAAGCTATGAAAATTTTCAGCCAAAAACAACCAGCCATCAACATCATACCCCCACACCAACAACCCAAGTTTTAAAAGTTTACACAGGCAACAACCATCCCACACTATATCACATTGAACTGCAAATAGAAATCAATCACAATTCTCATAGCATCGGGTAGGAAATAAAGCATAAGACAATTCATCTTCACAACATTGGACAAACCATTGCAAGCAACTACATCTAAACTTACCAGAGGCGTAGCGACCTTTCCCGGCGCCCGGGGACAAACTTTCAATTTGCACCCCCCCCCCTCAAACTTTCGATTTGCACCCCCTCCCCTCAAACTATTTATATTGCAAAAATGCAGCTAAAATGACATTTTAATTTGTTTTTACAACCCATTTTGGCGCCCCCTAAGGTCGGCGCCCGGGGACATATGTACCCCCCTGCCCCCCATCGCTACGCCTCTGAAACTTACCTCAACCGACTACATCAGCACCACAGTCAGCAGACTACTCTAATCTAAAGCGTCTCTTGTAACTTCTTGTCTCCGATCTTAACTAATTATGGTGTTAAGATCGGAGACAAGAAGTTACATGAGACGCTCTAATATTCTGCTGACTAACTATGGTGTTTAAAGGATTCCTTCCAACACAATTAAGTATTACGCGTCAACGTGTTATGCCAGCCTAATTTTTTTTTTAATTTGCTTCTATAGCCTTTATCCAACCAAGAACAAACTATAATGCAGCAGCGGTATGATTTATGAGTTGTCTTTCCCAGAAGAGTTGCTGTCCCCAGTTATCTCGCCTCATCTGCCCGAGGGGTTCGAACTCGAAAATGTTTCGTTTAGTGGTGATGTAATGTGGTGATGTAATGTGTATGAAAGGTGAATACGTGGAACGGATCACTGCGTGTGTGTATGTATCATGTAGTGAGACGCGAGGCCGGGTGTGTTGACGTGTATGTTGTTGTACGGAGTGAACAAGGGTACAAGGGAAGCGACTGGTCGGGGGACCAGTGGCTGTATTGTGAGCGAGAGAAAGGTGGTGTGTAGGGATGAATGCGGAGGATAGTTGAAGGTTGAGTGTCAAAGCAAGGAGGTGGATTTTGGGACTGGAGGCATGGAAGGATAAAGAAATAAAGAATACTGTAATAGCCTCAATCGTGTTGTGCTTTCTTTGAGATTCAGACGCCCTCATAATGAGCTTTACCGACTCGACCACGCCGACCCCACGTCTTGTAACAAGAGGGACGTTCATTGCAGGAGATAGCAAAGGTTCTGTGAAGAGTTGGTACAACAGAAGTCCCAAAATGATACCGACAACATCACCTGCAAGAGCTGTGGTAGAGACCGCTCCAGGATTAATTAGCTGTTCCTGAGCCTGAATCATCATACGAACAAAATGACAAGCAGCTTTAGTTTCATTTAGTCGCGTCATATCTTAACATTGTAACCAATTGAATTTTTGTTTAATGAATTTTGTACAATCTGTTACCCAAATATATTTGTAAAATTATATGAAGTTTGCTGCAGTTCAATTGATGTTGAAATTAATTAAATCAATTTGTATGGCCGTGTATGTATCCATTTTCTATACTTTAGTACTACTTTTTTTCCATTGTTCCTAAGTCGTTGGTGCACCCTCTGGTTAAGCGCCCGGTATGGGCTCCTTACACCATAGCTATCACATTAGGTGTATGTGTGTATGTATATGTTTGAGTGTATGTATGAGTGTGCGACACAGTAGTAGGAGACGACAGAATAAAAAAGAACGTCTTGTTGACACTAAGCTGATCAAGCTGACTTTTTACACTCAATGCTGTTGATGTTGCTAAACAGCTGTCACTTGAAACTTGATGGATAGAAAATCATTTGAAATGTACTAGAAGGGGGGAGGCGGGAGGACACTGCATTTGTGTAAGAATGTACTTTAACAATGAAATGAAAAGGCAATAAGATATTTTTAAATATGGCCTCATGCACACCAAAGACCCGACAATTTGAAAGATGACGGAATTTTTCGATTGTGCCAATTTAACTGTAGGCCTAGTTATTTCAGAATAAATTATGCTATTTACTCACATTATTATCTATCTTAGAAACTTTACCAAATCAGGTTTTTTAAATATATTTCATCTTCTTAAATTCTTATTTGAAATAAAGAAACGATAATTTCGTTAAACTTTCCCTAATAGTTTTAATTGGACTTAGAAAATGTTTCATGCATACTATTTCAACGTTTTTTTTTTCTACAGGGGGAGGGGACGACGGACACTGGTATAAGTATATGTTATCTATTTAAATTCTATTTTGTTCGGGGGCAGAGGTGGTAGAATAAAATGCCTGAAAGTAACAGTGTACTAATTCTAAAATTTAAAGCACCAAGTTGTTCGGTTGCGTTTGTAACTCATAAACTCACTTTTTTTACACTTCCTATTGACGTTTTCCGGCCAGTTGTTGTTGTCAATAATGTTTAGCATAAGAATAGCCAAACTGTAACCCCCCCCCCTCCCCAATTCACCCTTTCCTTGCATGAAAAGCTATAGAGAGACACAAAAGAAGTTACATTCTTTTTTCAGAAAGCTAACGTGCCAAAAGTGTTTTAATGTTAGTCCCTGACCTTGAGACAGAGCTAAGAAACCTCCCAACACAGATTTTTCTCCTCCTCCCAACACAGACCCTCCTCCCCAACACAGACCCTCCTCCCCAACACAGACCCTACTCCCCCTCCCAACAGAGACCCTACTCCCCCTCCCAACACAGACCCTACTCCCCCTCCCAACACAGATTTTCTCCCCCTCCCAACAGAGACCCTACTCCCCCTCCCAACACAGACCCTACTCCCCCTCCCAACAGAGACCCTACTCCCCCTCCCAACACAGACCCTACTCCCCCTCCCAACACAGATTTTCTCCCCCTCCCAACACAGACCCTACTCCCCCTCCCAACACAGATTTTCTCCCCCTCCCAACACAGACCCTACTCCCCCTCGCAACACAGATTTTCTCCCCCTCCCAACACAGACCCTCCTCCCCAACACAGACCCTACTCCCCCTCCCATCACAGATTTTCTCCCCCCTCTCAACACAGACCCTACTCCCCCTCCCAACACAGACCCTACTCCCCCTCCCATCACAGATTTTCTCCCCCCTCTCAACACAGACCCTACTCCCCCTCCCAACACAGACCCTACTCCCCCTCCCAACACAGATTTTCTCCCCCTCCCAACACAGACCCTCCTCCCCAACACAGACCCTACTCCCCCTCCCATCACAGATTTTCTCCCCCCTCTCAACACAGACCCTACTCCCCCTCCCAACACAGACCCTACTCCCCCTCCCAACACAGATTTTCTCCCCCTCCCAACACAGACCCTCCTCCCCAACACAGACCCTACTCCCCCTCCCATCACAGATTTTCTCCCCCCTCTCAACACAGACCCTACTCCCCCTCCCAACACAGACCCTACTCCCCCTCCCAACACAGATTTTCTCCCCCTCCCAACACAGACCCTCCTCCCCAACACAGACCCTACTCCCCCTCCCATCACAGATTTTCTCCCCCCTCTCAACACAGACCCTACTCCCCCTCCCAACACAGACCCTACTCCCCCTCCCAACACAGATTTTCTCCCCCTCCCAACACAGACCCTCCTCCCCAACACAGACCCTACTCCCCCTCCCATCACAGATTTTCTCCCCCCTCTCAACACAGACCCTACTCCCCCTCCCAACACAGACCCTACTCCCCCTCCCAACACAGACCCTCCTCCCCAACACAGACCCTACTCCCCCTCCCAACACAGATTTTCTCCCCCCTCTCAACACAGACCCTACTCCCCCTCCCAACACAGACCCTCCTCCCCAACACAGACCCTACTCCCCCTCCCAACACAGACCCTCCTCCCCAACACAGACCCTACTCCCCCTCCCAACACAGATTTTCTCCCCCTCCCAACAGAGACCCTACTCCCCCTCCCAACACAGACCCTCTTCCCCTCCCAACACAGACCCTCCTCCCCAACACAGACCCTACTCCCCAACACAGACCCTCCTCCCCAACACAGACCCTACTCCCCCTCCCAACACAGATTTTTCTCACCCTCCCAACAGAGACCTTCTTCCCCTCCCAACACAGATTTTTCTCACCCTCCCAACACAGACCCTACTCCCCCTCCCAACACAGACCCTACTCCCCCTCCCAACACAGACCCTACTCCCCCCTCCCAACACAGACCCTACTCCCCCCTCCCAACACAGACCCTCTCCCCCCTCCCAACACAGACCCTCCTCCCCAACACAGACCCTCCTCCCCCTCCCAACACAGGACCCCTCCCCCTCCCATTATTCCCCACCCTGCGAAAGGTCTAAATTGTTAAAAAATCAACATCTTCAACTGCTCAAATTGAATATTCAATCTGTCGTCTTAAGCCGGAGTGAAGCCGAAAAAAAAATATCACTTTTCCCGTGCGGTTTTGGCGTGTTATTATAGAAAGTGAAAATATCACCTTGAGGTATTATGCTGTTGTGCATTCAGCATTGATTAATAGAATGCCCCGCAGTGGGGGGGGGGGGGGAAGGGGGAAGAAGCAGATGGTTTAGTCACGATTCCTGGACACAGTTTTGCAAGATAAATAACCAACAACTCATTCGGGCAGTCAGGTTTTCTTAGAAAGTGTACTCTAACTGGATATATTTTTGTATTCGTATTGGCGAACATATTGGTCGAGCGCTTTGGATATGGAGTAAGGCTTAAATCTTATTTTGTAATTTAATGTAGACTAGTTAGTTGTTTTTTTTTTCCTGACAAATCGAGTAAATTGTATACTGGCTTTTACAATGTCAGATGCATACACCCTATGGCGTGCTGTTTCTTATACTATCAGTGTTGTTTTACGTCTATTGTCATTGCTGTCTACAACATAGGGTCACTATTGTCAGTCATATATTTAAAGTTGGCGGACGTCTATGGTCATATTGCTAGACGCATGTGCTTATATCAGTTATGACGTTCATACGTCAAGTTTCATGATAATTTATATGTAAAAAAAGAAACGTTTTTTTTTTTAAATTGCACTCTATTAACCTGGTTTTATTAGCTTGTTGGCTCGCATTTTATCACTGCTAGTTGCTTGAGTTACCATGTGAGGGTTTTAAAGGTAAAGGCCTACTTCTATAGATAATTTAAATAAAATTGATTAGGTTATAGCGTGGCTAATCAAAGGATTTGTTCAAAATGAATTTAATTTGAAGTTAGACATGTTTGTCGTCGGCAAGTTGATTCGAATTTTATTTTTTAAGTATTAAAATAGGCTAGGCCTACAAATTATAGTGTTTATTATCTAAACATAACATCGCCATTTTGTTTCTTCCACTAAGTTCCCTTCACTTTAAATTTAATTTTATTTTTTTGAAAATTCAACAAAGACTAGCCAGGCATAGCGTCAGTGGTGCTTTTTTTTTTAGCACCTTTTATTAATCGCGCTTTAGGAAAGCACTACACGTCGGTTGGGCAGACCAAATTTCACACACATGCATAAGAAGTTATACTTATATTGCGTTTAATTTTTGAGGGACGCCCAATATCGGGAAATGGTAGGCTCCCTACATACTCTATTTCCAGTTTCTAAAATACCGATAACTTGAATATCGTTTACGTAAGGTGGAAGACATTTCATATAGGCCTATAAGTAATGAACCATTTACTTTTGAGTGATTTCCAGTGGTTCTTTACTCAATGTCTACAAACATTTGAACACAAGTATTTTAACCATATTATCATTCTATGTATTTTCGTAACAAACGAAAAGTTCTATCATAAGTTTCAATTTTTTTATATCCCGAATACACTGGTATTTTCATCCCAATTTTTAATCCCCCGATTACACTGGTATTTTCATCCCAAATTTTACTTTTATTTAAGAACTAGACTACCCGTCATCCGTTGGATAACTGTTGGTTTCGGGGGTCATCTATCAAAAAAACATCACGTCTGTCACTCAGAGGCGTAGCGACCCTTACCGGCGCCCGAGGACAAACTTTTCGATTTGCAACCCCCCCCCCTCAAACTTGATGTGCACCCACCCCCCTCAAGATTTCGATTTGTACCCCACTCAACCTTTCAATTTATTTTTCCAACCCATTTTGGCGCCCCCCTAAGGTCGGCGCACGGGGACATATGTTCCCCCCCCCCTCGCTACGCTACTGCAGTGTCACTTATCGTCACAAAAAAAAACAGACCCCACATTAAAAAATATGTTTTTTATCTTTTAAAAACACCGAAAACACCGATTTCGGATTATCCCTTCATATACTGACGTCACAGGTGACCTACTCAACTCTACTTCACCTGCCCAGTGACCCGCCAAGTCTCAGACAACATGTTTTAATCGGTTCAAAAACGATTCCAGCCGAGCATGTCTCTGACCCCACTATCCCTTCATATGCTTAGGACAAAGAAACAGATGAACTCTACTTCACCTGCCCTGTATTCCGCCAAGTTCAGATAGGCAACTTTATCATTCACATCTAAAAAAAATAAAATAAAAATTGAAAAAAAAAATTATCATTGACGTATTGGTCTAGAACCTGTGCCACCAGCAAGAGAGCCGATTACACTAACAACGTAGCTATTTACTCGTGACGTCACAGATGAATTTTTATACTATACTTTAATACTTTGAGTTTCCTTATGCAACTTGAGTTACGCGCATAGATCTAGATCTAAGTCTAGAGTAGTAGTAACTTTCAAATTAAATTTTATCTGAAATTAGCCAAACAAAGATTTATATAAAATAAAGAAGGTCTAAATTTATCTAGATCTAGTATAGATCTAGATTCTACGACTCGTTTGCTTAAGTCTAGAATCTAGTAGATCTAGCTAGATCTAGATCTAGATCTATTTGCGTAACTCTTGCTAGATCTAGACTAGATCTAGAATCTAGAAATTCTAGAATCTAGATCTAGATAGATATGACACAAAGATTTATATCAAGTATTTAAGGGCTAAAAATGTATTATGATTATAAAATGGATTGTATTTTTATTTACTTAATCTTTGGTATGTATCTAATTAATCTTTTGTTTGACCTAGATTCTAGATCTAGATCTATAAATAACTTGATTGGCCACATGATAGATCTATAAATAACTTTCTTGGTCAGATTGTAGAGAAATTTATTGTAAAACTAAATGAAAAAGACAGTTGCAAATTTATATAAGTGTTGGAACGTAATAAAAACAGCAAACGGACGTATTGTTAAAGTTATGGCCGACAGAAAATTAGATTTAGAACGCGTTAAACTTTTGAATGTGACGTCACTGTTTCGTCGACTCTAGTGGTTTTTCTAATCTTTTAAAAAAAATATGGTTAAACTACCTATGAATAAATCAATAAATTAATTAACGTCTTTAAATAAATTTGTGATTAACAGTCTGTCTTAAAACAAAAATTGTTCTCTACTTACATACTATTTTACAGCTCTCCACGATGAGTAGAACCATTTGATATAGTAAATCAGACAAACAAATAAATATTCAAACATGTAAACAAACTTGACTTTTAGTAGTATATAGATAGATAGATGTTTCAGAAAGTTTAGGAGAGCTCACTTCCGCTTTATTAGGTTTTATTATTGTGAAATTGATTTTGTTCAAATGAAGATCGTATCTGTTCGTCGTTTTATTCGTAAAAATTGATTTTTATCGTATTAAGTAGTTGTCTACATCTACTGTCCTAACTGTATCAATGATCACCACCTTCCTCTCCTCACGTTCATCGTATTAAAGTTGTCTACATCTACTGTCCTAACTGTATCAACGATCACCACCTTCCTCTCCTCACGTTCATCGTACTAAAGTTGTCTACATCTACTGTCCTAACTGTATCTACGGTCACCATCTTCCTCTCCTCACGTTCATACAGAACTCCGTGGATAGTGGTCTTCGTAGCATGCCTCACGCAATATGCAGCAAGCGAATGTCTGATGACAGACGACAGATGCGAGTTTTGGCTGGTCATCGAGCAGAAGCTGACCATGATGTACGGCAAGGAGCTTGTCTACCCTAAAGACGGTCAGATATTCATCAACCCCACGCTCAAGGTCGATTCTGAGAAAGTCATCACCGCTGATGCCTTTATGGATCCTTTACTGGTCATCACGGCTAATGGGACGATGCCCGGCCCTCCCATAGAGGTGAGGAGGTCAGCAGGATAATGCCTGCTAGTGCCAGACCACGTCCCTTGTTGTGTGCATACTTTGTGAAGAAAAGCCCCAGACATATTTTTAAAATTACATTTTTTCTGTATTTAGGGGAGGGGGCAAAGCATTTAGTTGTTCGAATTAGGAGAAATTCAATATAGTGGATAATTCTTTCACAATCCCTACACTCAGTGTCACCCGGTGCGGCACTTAACGGTGTCACCCCCAGAGGCGTAGCGACACTTCCCGGGGACAAATTTTCGATTTTGCACCCCCCCCCCCCTCAAAGTTTCGAATTGCACCCCCCTTTCAAATGTTTCTCTATATATTTTGATATATTTTGCCTTGGTGTCACCCCCCTAAATGGTCCGCATTCCGCCCCCCCCCCCCCTCGCTACTTACTTTTTAATTAAATCTTACAAAACCACATTTAGCTCTAATGGAAATCTCTAACTAATCACTACCTATGTCTGAATTAATTCGCTCATTTATCCGTCACCCAGGTGTATGAGGGCCAGACGATTACAGTTCACGTGAGGAACGATTTGATCAGCGACGCCGTCACGGTCCACTGGCACGGTCTCCACCAGGTGAAGACTCCCTGGATGGACGGGGTGCCCTTCGTCACACAGGTAAGACTTGTTTTTACCACAGCATAAATCTTATTGCTTTATTATATATATATATATATATATATATATATATATATATATATATATATATATATATATATATATATATATATATATATATATATATATATATATATATATATATATATATATATATATATATATATATATATATATATATATATATATATATATATATATATATATATATGTGTGTGTGTGTGTGTAATATAGATTTATGTGAGTGTGTTATGTGTATGTGTGTACTTATTGCAAACCTTTTTTTTTGGAGTCGTCTAAATAAAACGTTTGCATTTGAAACATTCCAGCTCCCAATACTGCCCGGGTCAGAGTTCACGTACAAGTTCAAGGCCAGCCCTATAGGCACGTTCTGGTACCACTCACACATGGGGACCCAGCTCTCCTCGGGTCTGTTTGGTGCCTTCATCATCAGGGCCAAGGTCGTCACCAGGGACCCGGAGTTTGTTATGATACTACAGGTAGGTACATCTAGATGGTTTTGCGAATTTACCTGGTGCCTTTATAATAATGCACCTTTATAATAATGCACCTTTATAATAATGCACCTTTATAATAATGCACCTTTATAATAATGCACCTTTATAATAATGCACCTTTATAATAATGCACCTTTATAGTAATGTAACTTTGTAATTATCAGTTTTTTAATGTACTGAAAATGTAAATATTAAAAAGAAATAAACTAGCTTTTGCTAATAAAAGATTAGTCGCTGAAATAGGTAAGGTATCTTATGAACGACTAATGCTTTTGTTAAAGAAAGCAAGTTGGTTTTAATCTATCTTTATTTAGCAGCACATTTAAAAGCTGTTTTTAAGAAGGATTTTTTAGATTTCTTTTTCTTCTGCCTGTTAAATCTAGTCGGTTAAAATAAAGTTACAAGATTATTTCTCAAATACCCAGAAACTAAAAACAAACAAAAGCGAATTAAAACAAACGAAAAACAAACCCACAAATAAACAACAAATAAACAACAAAATCAACTAACGAACAAATATTATAAACTAAACAAAAGCTTATAAAAATGAGTTGGTTCATCATTATTTATGTAAGTGTATTTGAAGTAAAGTGGTTTATATGTTAGGACTGGAACCATTTCATGGTCGGCGACACCACGTACTTCAAGATGCAGTTTGGGGTGTACGAAAACAAGCAAAGAATACCACCCAGTACATCCTTCGACGGTGGGAAGTTCAGGTACCGGTGAAATAAGTTTTATGGTAAAACATCTGGTAGGGTAGGAGTATAAGTTGATGGTGGAAAGTTCAGGTACCGGTTAAATAATTATGATGTTAAGAAATCTGGCAGGTTAGGAGTATAAGTTGATAGTGGGAAGTTCAGGTAAGGTTAATTAATGCTGTTGTTAAGAAATCTGGTAGTGTAGGAGTATACGGGTTTAACATGCAGGCTGTAACACTCAGGTGAAAATTCTGGCTAGAAATGGTTATGTGTTGTATTTCTACCTGCATAGCTGTTGGTTAGTGTCTAGACAATAGTCGGGTATAAATTATAAACCTCGTATCTAACGAAACAATTCAGCATTCGTTAAAGTGTTTTGTTTCATCACAGTGTGATTTGTAGCATATTTATTATGTTAAAAAAGTGCATTCGATTTTCAGTTTCCAATCGTGAATCACATTTGAAAATGTCTTCTGTTTGTAGCATGTTCAGAGTTCATTCCATTCTTGTGAACGGGAAGGGTCGATTCGATGCTAAAGCACCGTTGGCGGTGTATGAGGTAGAGCCTTACAAAAGATACAGGTGAGCATTTGACCGAAACATTGTATTAATCTGGTGAATTAAATACATAGTTTCTATATATGTTTCGGTTTAGTAAATGATCAATAATTGGCACAAGATATTATTTGTATTAAATTTGATTAGTTTTATATCACCGATATATTGACACTATTGATTCCATGGAAGTTTTATTCAAAAATATAAAATATCTAAATAGGCCACCTATTAATTATATTTTACTTAATATTTTAAGGTAATTAACATATCAACAATCTTTAATTCATAGATGTTTAAGATTTACTTCCAAATTTCGATAGGTTTCGGGTGATCAGTGCTGCCAATAACTACCCTTTCATTGTGTCCATTGACAATGTTTAAGATTTACTTAATGTCACTAGGTTTAGGGTGATCAGTGCTGCCAATAACTACCCTTTCATTGTGTCCATTGACAATGTTTAAGATTTACTTAATGTCACTAGGTTTAGGGTGATCAGTGCTGCCAATAACTACCCTTTCATTGTGTCCATTGACAATGTTTAAGATTTACTTAATGTCACTAGGTTTAGGGTGATCAGTGCTGCCAATAACTACCCTTTCATTGTGTCGATTGACAATGTTTAAGATTTACTTAATGTCACTAGGTTTAGGGTGATCAGTGCTGCCAATAACTACCCTTTCATTGTGTCGATTGACAATGTTTAAGATTTACTTAATGTCACTAGGTTTAGGGTGATCAGTGCTGCCAATAACTACCCTTTCATTGTGTCCATTGACAATGTTTAAGATTTACTTAATGTCACTAGGTTTAGGGTGATCAGTGCTGCCAATAACTACCCTTTCATTGTGTCGATTGACAATGTTTAAGATTTACTTAATGTCACTAGGTTTAGGGTGATCAGTGCTGCCAATAACTACCCTTTCATTGTGTCCATTGACAATGTTTAAGATTTACTTAATGTCACTAGGTTTAGGGTGATCAGTGCTGCCAATAACTACCCTTTCATTGTGTCGATTGACAATGTTTAAGATTTACTTAATGTCACTAGGTTTAGGGTGATCAGTGCTGCCAATAACTACCCTCTCATTGTGTCCATTGACATACATCCCTTTGAGGTAGTGGCCAGTGATGGGTGAGTAAGGTCAAAGGTTAAACCTCTCTGTCATGTGTACATGTGTTTTTAATGTGAAAGTGTTTTAGAGGAGGAGATGAGAAGGAGGGGGGCGGCTGACAATTTTCCCTTGATAAATAAAATAAGTGAGTAGATTTTACAATACTGGGTGAGCATATGTCTATTATTGTGGCTATAAAACAAGCCTGAATGAGTGATAAAACAGTTAGTTGAAATGTTGGAATCTAAATCACCAATCGGGAAGTTCCCGAGGACGTTCGAAAACATCTACTTAAAGTACCCAACAAAACAACTTATTCTAGTCCTTTAAACAAAAGTTCTAGACACTTTTGCCAATTTATTCTCTATAAAACAAAAATCACGGATAGATTATGTTTTTTGTTTTTGTTTTTGTTTTTCGTTGATGGTTAATTTATTAGGGTTGGCTCATGGATGCTAAACTTAAAAATCTCGAGTTCTAAGACTCGGGCAGATGAGGCTCGTTAGATGGGGACAGCCACTCTTCTAGGAGAGACAACTCCAAAATCAAACAACTGCGGCATTGTAGTCTGTTCTTGGAACAAATTCCGTCGAACATTAAAATTAATAACGACGAAAGAAGAAGTTTGTTAATTATTTAACAGTACGTTAAATTGTTGCGTGAATACAATTACTATAACAAATAGTCTAAGAACTGAGTTCAGAGATAATGTGGTGCTCATAAAGCTGGATACAGGGTCTATAGAAGCTTCAGTCAATAATAGAGTCATAACTCTAACTGTAACCCTAACCCTGACCTTAACCATGACCCTAAACTTGACCCTAGCCCTGACCCTAACCACTACTCTCAAAAAAGCATTAACCTTTACAATGATACCAACAGAAACTGTAGAAACAGAGTTACATTTTCCATTTTGTTTTACTTCAATAACAATCCCCTTCTTATTTCCAATATATCTTCGCCATCCACCCACCACCATTCCCCTTCTAATTTACAATGTATCTATCCCCAACTACGCCATCCACCCACCACCATTCCCAATGTATCTACGCCATTGCCCAAGACTATTCCCTTCTAATCTACAATGTATCTACGCCATCCACCCACCACCCTTCAAATCTACAATGTATCTACGCCATCCACTTACCGCCATTCCCCTTCTAATCTACAATGTATCTACGCCATCCACCCACCACCCTTCCCCTTCTAATCTACAATGTATCTGTCCCCAGCTACCCCATCCGCCCACAACTGGTGGACGCCCTTATCATCAACCCTGGGGAACGGTACGACTTTATCGTACGAACTCTTGCAGACAATTTAGACAACTACTGGATCAGGATCCAGACGCTAGAGAACAACACAGTCACCACAGGCTGGGCTATTCTTAGATACAAAGGAGCGACAGATCGCGACCCATACACATCGCCTAGGTTATGCACGAGAACTGATATGTAAGTAGTCCTAATACGAAAAACTAGTGGGGATATTTTGCGTTTGAAATAGTGCGCCTACGGAAAATTGCGCATTGGAAGATTGCGCTTTTGAGAAAAAGCGCCAATGGCTAATTGCGCACCGCAAACATTTGGCATGAATGTTTTATTTTTAATTAATGCTAAACTAACATCTTAAAATTAAGGTCGTTTTCGTTTTAGTGGAACTAGTTCTTAAAACAATATTTTTGAAATTTTATTTTTAAAAAAACACATTATTACTAATACGTATAAAATAAATAAAAAATATTAATAATATGATTATAAGTATTTGTTAACAGTATTGCATAATTGATTTTACTTAACTCTGCTCGTTAAGACAACTAAAGTTCATGCAGATTTCCAAATATTTGCATCCATTTTGACTAACATTAAATGAAAATAAAAAATTCATTTTTTTTTCTATCGTTGTTAAATTTAGTTTTTTTTTATAATTATATATTTAAAACTTTAATTTCCAAACATTTTGGTAAAATATTTATAACAATTGTTACAACAATGTAAGTGAAAATTCTCATCTATTTAAATTTGTCCTCATCAGATGTAGAGTGCTCAACTGTCCCTTCTCTTACTTCCCCCTACTAGATTACAAAACTTGCATCAACTTCGACCAGATCCAATCCTTCAGCCTCAACTATCCACCGGCTAGAGACTCTAAGGATAAAATCGAGGAGATTTTCCTAAACTTCGCTTTCCCGGGGACCGGAGACTACGTTCCTGGGTCCGTCAATGGTCGCAGGTTTGAGGTATTTGACGACCTTGTCAAAGCGTAGAAAAAAGCCAAAAACGATATGAGATTATGTATTATTTTATATGTAAATGTATAATTTTATTATTTTATTTTAAATAAACCGGGAGTGATCTCCACTAAACTTTCTCGAATATTCTTATATAACTCGGAATATAGACATGATTTTTAATTACTTAAAATTTTAAAAATAGAATAAAATCTCATAAAAAAAGAATTGCGCACCAAGCGAACGCCAAAACAAAATGTGCATAATAATGTGCGCAATATTATTAGTACTTTATAAATTTACATGCGTTTTTTAGAAATCGGGAATTGCGTCAATTAGTACTTCCGGTCAACGGAAATTACTCAAAATTAAAAAGAAGGTAGAGAATTAGATCTTTCACTTACATGTGAAATTTCATTTATCTATCCGAAATAGTACTCAAGTTTTAGGCTTTGGAAAAATTCAAAGTATGAAAAGTACCACTTCCGGTTATTGGAAATCGCTCAAAAGTTGATATGGATCTACGATTTTGATAAAATACCTATATATGAAATTTCATAAACCTAGCTGTAACGGTACTCAAGTTATCGTGTTTACACACAGACAGACACACAGACAGACACACAGACATACGGACAAGATTACAAAATTATGTTTTTCCGTATCAGTGAGGTGTAAAACGTCGAGATTTGTAAAATTCTCGTTTTTTTTTTGCACGGTTACAATACTTTCTCTATACTTCGTATATACGAGAAAGTAAAAATAATGGTGCCTGAGTTCGATTTATAAATATCTTAACTTAAACAATGAAAAAATTATATTTTTAAAAATTAAATTTGGAGGTGTTACACAATGCAGATACGGTAATGCAAAATAAGTGAGGATTATTTTCATTTATTAATGTTGTTATATATTTTGTTTAATTAGGGAATGTTTTAAATAAGACTGCTTGAAATTAATAAGATTATTGTATGAAGAAAAAATAGTTTTTGAAGTTAGATAATTGTAAATAAATAGTTTAATTATTATACATAGACGGAATTAGGCGCATAAGAAAAAGTTTTGAAAGTGCGAGTTTTTGTTTTTTGTCTGTTACAGTTTCCCTCTGTGGTCGCACTAGATGACCCCAAAAATGTGACCAGCTACTGCAAACCTGACCAGTGTGGAGAGGAGGAGTTGTGTAACTGTACATACAGCATCAACCTTAAGGTAATTAACATCTGTAACTGTACATACAAAATCAACCTCACGGTAAGTAACATCTGTAACTGTAGCATCAGCCTCAAGGTAAGAAACATCTGTAACTGTACATACAGTATCAGCCTAGAGGTAAGTAACATCTGTAACTGTACATACAGTATCAGCCTAGAGGTAAGTAACATATGTAACTGTACATACAGTATCAGCCTAGAGGTAAGTAACATCTGTAACTGTACATACAGTATCAGCCTAGAGGTAAGTAACATCTGTAACTGTACATACAGTATCAGCCTAGAGGTAAGTAACATCTGTAACTGTACATACAGTATCAGCCTAGAGGTAAGTAACATCTGTAACTGTACATACAGTATCAGCCTATAGGTAAGTAACATCTGTAACTGTACATACAGTATCAGCCTAGAGGTAAGTAACATCTGTAACTGTACCTACAGCATCGGCCTCAAGGTAAGAAACATCTGTAACTGTACCTACAGCATCAGCCTCAAGGTAAGTAACATCTGTAACTGTACCTACAGCATCAACCTTAAGGTATGTAACATCTGTAACTGTACCTACAGTATGAGCCTAGAGGTAAGTAACATCTGTAACTGTACATACAGTATCAGCCTAGAGGTAAGTAACATCTGTAACTGTACCTACAGCATCAAGGTAAGTAACATCTGTAACTGTACCTACAGCATCAACCTTAAGGTATGTAACATCTGTAACTGTACCTACAGTATGAGCCTAGAGGTAAGTAACATCTGTAACTGTACATACAGTATCAGCCTAGAGGTAAGTAACATCTGTAACTGTACATACAGTATCAGCCTAGAGGTAAGTAACATCTGTAACTGTACCTACAGCATCAGCCTCAAGGTAAGTAACATCTGTAACTGTACCTACAGCATCAACCTTAAGGTATGTAACATCTGTAACTGTACCTACAGTATGAGCCTAGAGGTAAGTAACATCTGTAACTGTACATACAGTATCAGCCTAGAGGTAAGTAACATCTGTAACTGTACCTACAGCATCAAGGTAAGTAACATCTGTAACTGTACCTACAGCATCAACCTTAAGGTATGTAACATCTGTAACTGTACCTACAGTATGAGCCTAGAGGTAAGTAACATCTGTAACTGTACCTACAGTATGAGCCTAGAGGTAAGTAACATCTGTAACTGTACATACAGTCTCAGCCTAGAGGTAAGTAACATCTGTAACTGTACATACAGTATCAGCCTCGAGGTAAGTAACATCTATAACTGTACCTACAGCATCAGCCTCAAGGTAAGAAACATCTGTAACTGTACCTACAGCATCAAGGTAAGTAACATCTGTAACTGTACCTACAGCATCAACCTTAAGGTATGTAACATCTGTAACTGTACCTACAGTATGAGCCTAGAGGTAAGAAACATCTGTAACTGTACATACAACATCAACCTCACGGTAAGAAATATCTGTAACTGTACTACAGTATCAACCTCAATTAAAGAAACATATGTTGCTATACCTACAGCATCAAGGTAAGTAACATCTGTAACTGTACCTTTAGCCTCAAGGTAAAAAATTTCTGCAACTGTATTTAGCATCAACCTCAGGGTAAAAAAAAAACACCTGTGCAACCCCGCTTGCCACGATAACTGTAAGAAATATCTTGAGAGAGTATTTTAAAATATTTAATCAAGTATCAATTAGTATACCATTTGTAACATATTTTTCTATCTTAATTTGAAACTAGCATAACGCAACCTATCAACTGATTTTACTCAACAAAGGAGTAGGAAAGGGCTGGACTCACCCCATACATTTACATGGTCACTCCTTTTACCTCGTCAAAATGGGATATCCTAAGTTCGACGAAAAAACAGGTTTCGTTATTTTATTGAGTTCTTTACGCTACACATTACGCTTTTGGGGGGGGGGGGTTGAATATTGAAACGCCAATATCTATATATATAATTCTCTTCTTCGAGCCGTTAGAAAACAAGCTGCAAACGCTCTCCCTACCTCCCCACCCCTACATGGTTTTAGTGAGCTGTGTTCACTCTAAATGTTTACAAGCAGAGCCAACGATTTTAAACGTAAGGGGGGGGGGGGGGGGAGGAGGGGGGAGGGAAGGAAGGGGGGGGGGGGGGGTTATGGTCCTTAACGAGCTACTTATAGTGTTTTAAAGAAATATTTTCAGTGTCAGCGTTGGTACTGTCGAATTCACAAATTATGAATTATTGAAAATTAGAAACAACTAAATAGCGGCGTATGTTATGCCGCGGGCCGGCTCGTAAATATTAAATCCACTGTGATCCTCTACAAGTGATACGTATATCAACAGAAAATGTATCTTCAACACTTACAGAGTGTATTAAATAGTATTAATACTTTATAAGCAATGTATACGAGGTAAACTATTCTTGTTAGAAGAATGTGAACGTTTTGACGGAAAAGCCACGCATGCGCAGTTACAAATTTGCTGAAACGATATAAATTAAGATCTGCTTTCAAATGACGAATTCTTTTTCTATAAGAATACAAAGTTTTTTAAAAAAGATTCTAAAATATGTACTGGAAGAAAAACTATTCAGTAAATAAACACAATGTCTTCCAAGAAATTAAACGTTGCCATAAACTAATACAACTGTGACAGTGAACAAATCAAAGACGTATTGTAGACGAAATGAACATGGGCTTGCCTAACCATTCGGACGCCAACTACCATACATAACAAGAGAGGCCATGGCATGAAATCTTCAATGGAAAATACAAGAAGCGCGTCAAGAAAACCCTGGTTGAGATTTGGAGAGTGACACAATGATATTGGGTTACCTATCAGGGCGTTACAGAAACAAGCAAATCACTGAGCTGATTGTAATGTTCTACTCAGCGATCTAACCTAGTAGAAAACCTGCTAATTATTATACATGTTTAATTTTACGGTGCAACTTAATGGAAGGAATGACCAAAATCGTATATTTTTAGGTTTATTTTGTATATTGTTTTAGGTTTATACTATATATTGTTTTAGGTTTATTTTCTATATTGTTTTAGGTTTATATTATATATTGTTTTAGGTTTATATTGTATATTGTTTTTGGTTTATATTGTATATTGTTTATGGTTTATATTGTATATTGTTTAAAGGTTTGTATTGTATATTATTTAAGGTTTATTTTTGGGAGAAAACACGGACATCAACTGTACACGTAACTCCTCACTTGAAAACAGTTTCTGTAACAAGGCATTTTGGGCTAACTCATCATGGGGAGGTAACAATATTGAGGGAATTGAACTGGATTATCCCCCAATAAAGGACACTATTATTGTACCAAGCGGAGGGTAGATTTTTTATTTCATTATTTTATTCTATAAGGCATTTGTTATCTGTACCCCTACAAAGGGCAGCTGTGCTAACTGGCACATGTTTTTATGATCATCTCCACTGCCTGCTTATTTTGACTTGCTTCACGATTACGTCTCTTTATTGATTATTTTTCCATGTTTCAAGATTATGTCCCTTGATTAATTATTTCCCATGCCTCATGATTATGATCGCTGCTATTTGATGATGACATATACTTCATTATTACGTCCCATGCCTAATGATTAAGTCCCCTATTTTATGATTATGTTCCCTTATTTATGATTACGTTTTCTAAATTATGACTATGCCAGTTTCTAAGTTTCTATGTGATTACGCCCCTACTTCATGATTATATCCCCTGACTTCAGGTACGCTGTGATCCGTATCAGGGCCGACAACCCCGGCGTGTGGTTCATGCACTGTCACATCGAGCTGCACCACGTCAACGGGATGGCGCTCATGTTCAACGAATCGTTTGACCGGGACTATGGTTCAGTTGCGTCGTCTCTTGGTTTAGGTGAGATGTTGTTTAGTGGTTCAGAACAACCTTGGTCGATAAACCCTAGCCCTAGCCCTAGCCCTAGCCCTAGCCCTAGCCCTAGCCCTAGCCCTAGCCCTAGCCCTAGCCCTAGCCCTAGCCCTAGCCCTAGCCCTAGCCCTAGCCCTAGCCCTAGCCCTAGCCCTAGCCCTAGCCCTAGCCCTAGCCCTAGCCCTAGCCCTAGCCCTAACCCTTACCCTTACCCTTACCCTTACCCTAACCTTAGCCCCAGCCCAAGCCCTAGCCTTAGTCCTAGGCCTAACATATATCTAATGGGTCTTTGACAAATTCCAGGAACATTCTAGCCCGAATGCTGTTCCCCGATGGAAGTTTTCCCAAATAAACACTTGCCAGAATACAACAAATGCCTGAGTGGGCACTTGCCAGTATCAGAAATAGTTGCAGTAAAATATACAAATTAAGATTACCCTACACAAACTGACTGTCAGTTGAGCAGATGAGGTAGAGTTCGTCTGTTGTTTTTTCGTACAGTAGAACAAAGGGATTGTGTAGTCAAATTCCCATCATTATTCTAGCTTCGTCTCCATGGTATCATTCTCTCATTTATTTCTACTATTTTTTATTGCAATGTTCCTAAACTCCTACCATTCATCCTTTTACTTATGAATAAATATGTCGGTTGTTGTTTTTTTCACAGAAAGTATCGTCACTTTGATGAGTCTGTCCATTCTGTGGTTCGTCGACTTGCTTTAGGTTGTCCCTACTCCACTTACTAATTTTACATATATGTAAAATCATGCAATATCATACACATATGATGATGTGCAGTGCGCATGTGTGGATTGTATAACCACCAAAGACACTAATTTACGCTTATTACTAGCACACATGTTATGTCAATTACAGCGGAATGCATCCACACACAAACACAAACACACACACAAACATACACTCACACATATATACGTAGTCTACATTTTATTTTTAAGCCTTTTTGAAGGGTTTTTTTTAAAGTTTATAATGTTTGTTAAATTATTAGATTTTTTTTTTTTTTTTTTTTTGTAAGCTTGATATATTACTTTTGGGTTTGTGGCAATTAAACTAAATTTAGACAGACGTCTAATGCAGCGATTTCGTCGCTTATGAAATCTCCTAATATTTTAGTGACGATTATTTTTATTTAAAAAGCGAATTTTGTTTTATTTTCTATTTTCAGTTCATTTAAAAGCTTATTGTTATAAATGTTTTTCATAGTTGTTGTATGTATAATATCAGATAGTGATTATAGCGTGTGTATTGTAAAATTAATATTTTAGATTTTTTAATAAAACGCTTACGCATATTAATGTATGCATGTGTCTTTTTACTTTACTTTGGTGCTCACAACTCTGGTTTCCAGCAAGTTTTGGGTTCTATCCCACACTACGTTTTGAGCATTTTAAACTACTGTCATCTTAGTCTAATCCGTGTATAATCAGCTACATGTCTACATCGTGTTCCTTATCCAGGTCAAAATCTACTTCCAAGTATTTAGTTGATCAGTCTAATGACATGTTTTAATAATCTTTGGTGGTCGACAAAGATAAAGGACCTGAGCGCATTAGAATTTAGTTATGTGTACTGAGTCAAAGGTCAAAGGGGGATAACTGTGTTATATTTGTTTGTGTAATTTAACAGAGTAGCTCCTCTTTCAGTGTAATTATTCATGATATTTCTTTAAACGAACATGGGAGAAAACTCATATGGGTACATGACTAGAGTTAGTTCCAGTGAAGAAAATAGCGTATAGTGCTAAACTCACCTGTCAGATATAGAATTTAAATGAGGATCATGCTTCATGACTAAAACAGAAGCATTAATTTGAAAGTCAGTTATAATATTTTTAAGTTACTAGAATATTTCTGAATATTTGTTTTGGAAATAATGTGTAGCTACAGTTTATGAAAATACCAAAGTGAACATAAAAATCTGAATTAAAGTAATGAGATATACTAATCTTTTTAAAGAAAATTGTATTATTGTTATATCGATAATAGGGATTAGATTTTTCTATAATTTTTTTTTCTATTTCGTCCGAATGGTGGTGGGGTGGTGGACGTGCTCCATGGGGAGGGGGGTAGTGTCCCGTGGGAGATCGCTGCAGGAATATTCTGAATGACAGCCTTAGTTAAGTACAAACTACATAGTCCCACAGTGACGCCAAATCTCGTGTTAATTATTTTTTAATGATGGGGATAGTGAGGACAATATATCATTAATATGTTAAGAAAGGTCATTTTACGTAGATATAGTTAATTAGAGCCACGTCAAATTCTTATGTTACTTGGGGCCACACGCTTAATAAGACCGCGAGTATCTTGAGTGGTCTAGCGGTAGAGAGCTGGACTGCTAACCCGAGTTCGAATCCGGGTTCAAGTCAGTAGACAGTCCCTGAGTCCACCCAGCCCTGCTTGGTACCTAACTCACATTAGGGAAAGTAAAGACGGCTGGGCATAGCGCTGACCACACTATCTCTTCATATGCCGAGGTCACAGAAACAAGTGAACTCTACTTCACTTGCCCTACAGACCGTCAGGTTTGAAAGGGAAGTTTACTACTTTACAATCTTGAAATATTTTGGTTATAATGCAGAGCCTCGCAGATATACACACAGGAAGAGCTAGATGGTTTCACCAAACATTCAAAATAAAGAAGAGAAGATTTGTTTCAAATTATTGATACGATATGAAACGATATCTTCTTTGGGATGTCGTTGAATAAAAATAAAAAAATATTTTTTTTAAATATTCAATTCGAATGTTTAGAAATATAAAATTAACACACATATAAATTATATACATTTAATTTATTTATACCTATTTGTATTTCGTTTGGTCTAAAGAATACTATTTGAGCTGATGAACGTTCAGTATACATTTAAAATAACATAAATTTGCTTTTCGCTGTATTATATAGAGTTGGTCGGACAAAGTTCGCCCAGTATATTAATTAATCCTATAACTTAATAATGTATCACATTAATTCTAATTTTAACTATTAAATTATTCTTGGCCAAACGCACTAATCCGTGTCTTAAAAGTTTACCTAACCATAAGCTTCAGAAGAAACACTTCATCCCTAAGCTTCTAATCTGCATACTAATTAAATCGCAATCACATTAAACAAGTGTAAAATAACAACGTAAACGTATTGTCAAGTATTAAATTCCTCTTAGTACTATTTTTGTTCTCCACTGGATGGAATTTCTCTGTTCTCAGATGTTACTTCTATTTCTGTTCCTCGAGGAACTGCCTTTTCAATTTCTGAATCAACGACCACTTATGTTTGAGACTTAGTTTCATTTTTAGTTTATGATGTAATGACCACTTCCGTTTCTTATTTAACTTCCCTTTCATTTCGCAATCTCTTCCGTTCCTTACTTAACATCCCCTTCATTTTCTGATGTGACGACCTCTTCTGTTTCTTATTTAAATTTAACTTCACTTTCATTTTCTGCTGTCTCGACCACTTCTGTTTCTTACTGTACTGCCATTTCCGTTTCTGTTGTAACTTCAATTTCCGTATGCGCCGGATCGGGATTCTCCTTTATACTCACAGGTGCCACGGACCGTTCAGCTTCACACCTGCCGTGTACGTACGTACGCAATGTGTACAAGGCGAACTGGAACAGATGAATCAAAGGGATCGCCACAAAGATGACCGCCGCGACTAGACCCAAAGTCGGTAGGGTGTTGGACCAATCCAATGCCTTGTAGATGTATGGGAGGGACTTTGTATTTGTTCCTGAGGGGAGACAATTCAGGGGAAATTATTATTGTCAGATTTAAAAAAAATTGTTTATTTATTGATGTATATAACTTGTTACGGGTCAGTTGTAGGTTAGACTAGAATAGGATAGAATGATCTAGAATTAGGGGAGAGTGAGTGTGTGAGTTGAGTTTACCCTAGAATATTGTTAACCCCGGTGTGTTTGTGTATTGTTATCCCAAGGTCGAATGCGGTATAAAAGCTGGAGTGAATGGTTGTCAGGGGTTAGTTAGTTGGCAGGGTTAGGTCGAGGGCTATGTTGTAATGTGATATGTGAGACCTAATAAACGTATCGAACGTTAACCCGAGTCGTTCTTGAATTCGAATCTAACCCGGACGTAACATAACTGTAATAATGAAGTGGGATTTTAACCGATTATAATTAAACTAATAAAATTGTATTTTTTTGTCGACATATCCCACCATATCTGGAGTCATACCCAGCTAACTAATGTTAATTAAACAGCCGTCAAATTCAAAGGCTTTTGAAGAGGGTTGGAGCTATAATTCTGATGACAGGGGGCAGTTATATCAGAACACTTCTGCGTTGACGAAGCTTCGACTCATAATTACAATGGTATCGATACCACTTAAATATCTATACTCGCAATGACAAATGTTTCGATACCCCCTCATTCCTAAAAAAAAATCGAAATTCAGAAAATTCAGAATTATCGATACTATGTTACTTCTTATTACTCACCATTACACATTTTTGGATACCGCGTTATTCCTTATACTGACCATTACAAAAGTATCGATGCCAGCTAAATCGTTATAATATCCATTACAAAAGTCTCGATACAATATTATATATTATACTCGCCACAGTAGCGTAGCGAGGGGGGGGGGCGGGGGGTACATATGTCCCCGGGCGCCGACCTTAGGGGGGGCGCCAAATTGAAAGTTTGAGGGGGGGGGGGGGTGCAAATGAAAAGTTCGAGGAGGGGTGCAAATCGAAAGCTTGAGGGGGGGGGGGTGCAAATGAAAAGTTCGAGGGGGGGTGCAAATCGAAAATTTGCTCCCAAGGGGGCGCCAAATTGAAAGTATGTCCCCGGGCGCCGGGAAGGGTCGCTACGCCTCTGACTCGCCATTACAAATGTTTAGATACTAACTTATTCCTAATACTCGCCCTTACAAAAGAATCGATACCACCTTCTTTCTAACACTCACCTTTGCAAAGTATCGATATTTGATTACTTGGACTCACCTTTACAAACGTAATAGATGACACTAAATATGGCGTAAAGCAGGGCGTACAAGGCGACGTAAACCACATGGAAGATCCTCACCGGAATTGCGTAAATGATGATGTCACTGATGACGTAGACAGAGTTGATGGCATGTGTGACCATGGACAAGGGTCCCAGTCTTCCTATTCAGTCAGGAATATATATATATATATATATATATATATATATATATATATATATATATATATATATATATATATATATATATATATATATCTATAATATAAGCGGGCTGAGCGTGTGTCAGTCCTTCCTTCTGTCATCGCTATAGCTTTTAGAACCATAAAAGTAAACATTCGCACCACGCAGTGCTTTTCAGTGCACCGCAGTGTCTTATTGTAAGTATTAGAGTAGGGTTTGTTTATATAGTGGCATAGAGCTATTTTATAATTTCCACTGTTTGTACAATTTTGCATAACGTAAAGAGAATATTAAATACATGCACATTGCTAAAACATATTAAAAGGATCAATGTCAAATATCGTTTTCGTTAATATTCCTAGAGAAAGGGGATACATTTTAATAACATAATAGCTGTAGGTTAGAAAAATCTAATTAAACTGTTTAGTAATTTTGCCAAGGGAGGTATTTTAAAAATAAATTGAACTCACGCTAAAAATGTGAATGCAAAATCTGCAAGACGGAATAATTGTTGGAATAATATAATTAGCAAAATGTGAATGCAAATTATGCAGACGTGTAAGAGTACATTATTGTTGGAATATTATAATTAGCATTGATTGATAAAAGGCTATTTTTTATTTATTTTATTCACTGAATGTAATGTTTACTACTTATAATTTTTAATCAACTATTAAGCACTATTATAGACGCGTCATCACGTTCATTCGGTGCGCAATGGTTTTAGTTATGAAACTCTATTGTAAATTTTTAAAATTTAAAGTACTGGGAAAAAATGCGTGAATGGATAAATAGAAATATTGTAGGTAAAACACGGATATTTTAAATACTGCCTATTATTTATACTGTTTACTAATTATTATTCTATCTTTCGGTTTGCGGACAAGCTAGGGGTTTTATAGGAGGGGGGGGGGGGGCGACTGTCCCCAGGTGCCAACCTTAGGGGGCGCCAAAGTGGGTTGGAAAAAATTTGCGAGGGGGGGGGTGGTGGAAATCGAAAGTTTTAGGGCGGGGGGGGGGGGGGGGGGAACAGGGGTGCAAATCGAAAGTTTGAGGGGAGTGCAAATCACCGGAAAGGGCGCGATTTGGCGCTACGGGCTAGACTGTGAGCAATATGCCTTTATGATTGCATTTAAATTGTGTTTATGTTATGAGTGTTATGTTTGTTTTTTCGTTTGTTTTTTTGCGTTCGTTTGTGTTGTGTTTAGTTTTGTTCTGTTCCCAAGTTGGTACATTTAAAAAAGATTTACCGTGGCGGAGCACGGGATGCAGCTAGTATCTATAATATAAGCGGGCTGAGCGTGTGTCAGTCCTTCCTTCTGTCATCGCTATAGCTTTTAGAACCATAAAAGTAAACATTCGCACCACGCAGTGCTTTTCAGTGCACCGCAGTGTCTTATTGTAAGTATTAGAGTAGGGTTTGTTTATATAGTGGCATAGAGCTATTTTATAATTTCCACTGTTTGTACAATTTTGCATAACGTAAAGAGAATATTAAATACATGCACATTGCTAAAACATATTAAAAGGATCAATGTCAAATATCGTTTTCGTTAATATTCCTAGAGAAAGGGGATACATTTTAATAACATAATAGCTGTAGGTTAGAAAAATCTAATTAAACTGTTTAGTACAACACCCCTATAGAGTTAACCCGGAAAAAGCTGCTTTGATAAAAGATGAAATTGATTATATGCTCAAGAATGATATCATTGAGCCCAGTTTCAGCAACTGGAGTTCCCCATGTTTGTGTTGTGTTTAGTTTTGTTCTGTTGGTACATTTAAAAAAGATTTACCGTGGCGGAGCACGGGATGCAGCTAGTATATATATATGAATATATAGATATATATGAATATATAGATATATATGAATATATAGATATATATGAATATATAGATATGAATATATATATATATATATATATATATATATATATATATATATATATATACATATATATATATATATATATATATATATATATATATATAGGTAATAGTATGTTCATATATATGTCAGAGTCCAACAGAACAAAACTAAACACAACACAAACGAACGCAAAAAACAAAACAAAAAAAAACGAAAAAACAAACACAACACTCATAACATAAACACAATTTGATTGCAATCATAAAGGTATATTGCTCACAGTCTAGCCCGTAGCGCCAAATCGCGCCCTTTCCGGTGATTTGCACCCCCCTCAAACTTTCGATTTGCACCCCTTCCCCCCCCCCCCCCCCCCCCGCCCTAAAACTTTCGATTTCCACCACTCCACTCCCCCCTCGCAAATTTTTTCCAACCCACTTTGGCGCCCCCTAAGGTCGGCACCCGGGGACATATGCCCCCCCCCCCTCGCTACGCCTCTCCAATAAAACCCGAAAGATAGAGTAATAATTAGAAAACAGTATAAATAATAGGCAGTATCCATAATATATACAATATTTCACTTTATCCATTCACGCATTTTTTTTCCAGTACTTTAAATTTTAAAAATTTACAATAGAGTTTCATAACTAAAACCATTGCGCACCTAATGAACGTGATGACGCGCCTATAATAGTGCTGAATAGTTGATTAAAAATTATAAGCAATAAATAGTAGGGCCTACATTCAGTGAATATAAAATATATAAAAGATTGCCTTTTATCAATCCATGCTAATTAAAATTTTCTAACAATAATTTCCTCTTACACATCCGAATAATTTGCATTCACATTTTGCTAATTATATTATTGCAACACTAATTCCTTCTATGACGAACGTATATTTGCATTCACATTTTTTATTAGCGTGAGTTTAATGTATTTTTAAATTACCTCCTTTGTCAAAATTAGAAAAGAGTTAAGTTAATTTGATTTTTCTACCCTGCTGTTATTATGTTATTAAAATGTATCCATTTTTTCTTGGAGCCTAAACGAAAATGATATTTGACATTAATCTTTTTAATACGTTTTAGCAGTTTGCGTGTATTTAATATTTTCTTGACGTTATGCGAAAGAGTAAAAACCGTGGCAATTATAAAATAGCTCTATGCCGCTATATAAACAAACCCTACTCTAATACTTATAATAAGACACTGCGGTGCACTGAAAAGCACAGCATGGTGCGAATGATTACTTTTATGGTTCCAAAAGCTATAGCGATGACGGAAGGAAGGACTGACACACTACCAGCAGCGTTATATTATAGATATATAGATATATATGAATATATAGATATATATGAATATATAGATATGAATATATATATATATATATATATATATATATATATACATATATATATATATATATATATATATATAGGTAATAGTATGTTCATATATATGTCAGAGTCCAAAGCGTGGCCAATGGTCAGTACGCGCTCTGGCAGCTAGCTTGTCCAAAGAGCTTAAAATTGACAGCGTATTTACTACATTAGCCAGCCAATGCGCAAACTTCCCTACCTGGAATGAAATTTACATTCGTACATCAGCCGGCCATTGCGCGAAATGGCCGAGATCCCCTGGCCACGGTCAGATGTAAGTAGCTGTACGGTGGCATATTGTAAAACCAATCACCACAATAACCTCAAGCTACGATAATCATACATTCATAAAAGTGATCAATGATTGAGAAGCAAATGTACCTGTATAGACCAATGTCCAGTAGAGTATGGTCACCACCACGGCTGTGTCAAAAGACAGAGTTGTTAAGAACCAGTTTAACTGTAGATACCACGGAGTCTTTGCTAGGATGTAAATAGTAGGATTTTTAAAACAATAATAATGTAATACATTTATTGAACACAAATCGGCAATTGATCTTTGACGTTAACTAAAAGTTTAATATATTGCAACTTTAAAAATTATTTTGTTTTAAAATTTTTAATTGTTTTCAATTGTTGTACATTAAAGTAATTCTTACTTTCGAAGTTTTTCGGATGTAATGTTCCCTTGGAGGTGTGTACAATGACCACAATAGCATACACAACACTCTGAACCACCAACATAAGGTAGGAAATATTCGTCAAATAGATCAACCATTTTTCATTACCTAAATAAAATGCAAAACAGGTAAGTATTTTTTCACGCATAGGAAAAATGTAAATCAACAGATTTTTTATATGTGAAGAAAGTATTTCAAAAATATTAATAAATTTACTGACGTAGGTAGAGTGTAAAGAGTGGAATGTTTCAAAACACCCGCCCTCCTTCATATCTTGGCAGCCTGCTGGTTTTACATTTAGGTTAACTGCGAAATCTCGCTTACAGCTAATACAAATTATGTGCTAAAAATATTAATTTTAGACTTAGGGGGAAAGAAAACTGCTGAGACATACCCTCACTATCAATGATGAAGTGCTACCACACATAAACTAGTGTAGAAAAAAGAGTTAAAGAACGTTGTTTAGATATACCCTCACTTTCAATGATGATGTACTACCACACATAACCTACAGGGTGGAAAATAGTTTACGGCTAAAGAAAATTGTTTAGACGTACCCTCATACAGTAACACACAACAAAGTTTAGTGGTGGAGAAAGTGGTTAGACGTACCCTCATACAGTAGCACACAACAAAGTTTAGTGGTGGAGAAAGTGGTTAGACGTACCCTCATACATTAGCACACAACATCAGTTAGAGAAAGTGGTTAGACGTACCCTCATACAGATACACACAACAAAGTTTAGTGTTAGAGAAAGTGGTTAGACGTACCCTCATCATCAATGCCGAGAATCAACCACACAACAAAGTTTAGTGCTAAAGAAAGTGGTTAGACGTACCTTCATACAGATACACACAACAAAGTTTAGTGTTAGAGAAAGTGGTTAGACGTACCCTCATCATCAATGCCGAGAATCAACCACACAACAAAGTTTAGTGCTAAAGAAAGTGGTTAGACGTACCCTCATCATCAATGCCGAGAATCAACCACACAACAAAGTTTAGTGCTAAAGAAAGTGGTTAGACGTACCCTCATCATCAATGCTGAGCACTAACCACACCACATGCCAGATGACCCAACACACTCTCCACATGAGAAAAACAATCTGAGGTATTTTCTTCCACTGGAAAATCAGGATAATAGAAAGATGAGGGTGGAAGTAGGGGTGGAGGTGGTGGGGGTGAAAATGGTGGGGGGTGAAAATGGTGGGGGTGGAGGTGGGGGTGAAACTGTTGGAGGTGGAGGTGGGGATGAACGTAGAGGTTGGGTGGTGGTGGTCGTGGAGGTGGGAGTGGGGTGGGATGAACTTGAAGGTGGGGGTGGTAGTGGAGGTGGGGGAGGGGGTGAAAATGGCCGGGGGTAGAGGTGTTGGTAAAACTGGTGGGGGTGGAGGTGGGGGCGAAAATGGTGGGGGTGAAGGTGGAGGTGGGGGTGGGGCTGAAATCGGAGGTGGAGGTAGGGTGGGGTGGGCGTGGAGGTGGGGGTGGGGTGGAGGTAGTGGCGAAAATGGTGGGGATGGAGGTGGGGGTGAGCTTGGTTATATTAGTGGGGTGAAAATTGAGGTGGAGGTGGGGGGTGAACTTACAGGTGGAGGTGGAGTGAAGCTGCTCGTGAAGGTGGGGGTGAGGTAAAATGTGTGTGACCGAGATTCAGGAAGGGAAAGTTAAGAATGTAACTGAGAAATATTACTTTGGAGATTTTTTTCCTACACATTTCTCTATTAACTATTTTCTGAGCGATATTAGATAGATAAATTACATGCAATTGATTGCAGTGTATTGAGAAAGTTCACATTGAGGATACACACTGAAGTGTAACTTACACGCAGAGCTTAAAAAAAAACTAAACGACACAGCAACACTTATAAAAGTGTGTTAATGGTTTAAAAATAAACTTAACTATAGATTGTTAGAATAACAAAACAAGCTACAGAATGAACCTGCGGGTAAACAATAGGCTTTGTAAACTGTTGCCACATATGTGTATAGACAGTGGCGTTGACAAATGATGTAAAGAGGTAGTTCAATCGACTCCCACTCTCCCGTGGTTATGAAAATAAGTTCTTATATATCTAATATATAAAGCTCAATTCTGTATGTAACATGTAATAAGTTTGTTTGTCGTGGACATACTTCGATGGTATTAAGTGTTAGATTATTATCGTGCTCATAGTCTAAATTTATGAGTTAAAAAATTATTATTGAAAGTGTTGGGAAATTATTTTCATTTTTCAAACTGATAGTAATAATTGTCGGCGTGTTCATTAAACAAATTTAAAAAAATATCATCTTTTACAAAAATTCTAATTATGTTTGAAAATTATTTATATTTAGTCCTTTAGCACTTACTTCCCTTTGATAAATTAGGAAAACACAATTACTTCCCTTCATAAAACATTGCATTAGTGGAAAAGAATTTACTTTTTATTACTCTGTTTTGGTGTTGGGAAAAAAATAATTACATAATTAGCGGGGATTGATCAAGTGCAAATGTTGTAGGTATTTTACGGATAAGCTTGGAGTATTATAATTGTTAATTTGGTTTTGTTTGGCACCTACGTTCGTTTAAGTAAGTGCAAAAGACTATGAATAAGTTGGGGTACTATAGTCGTTTATTAAGCTGAAACAGGCGATTCTACCCCGGGCTAGACGGTGAGCACTTTGCGTTTATGTTCGCGTTTGTGTTTTCTTTGTGTTTAGGTTGGGTTTGCGTTAGTGGTTGCGTTTTGATTTGGTTTGTTTTTGTTCGTTCTTTTTTCGTTTTCGTTTGTGTTTTTTTCTTTGGGTTTGTGTTTGTATTTGTGTTTGTGTTTGTGGTTGGTTTTGCGTTTGGATTTGGTTTGTTTTCATTTGCTTTTTCGTTTGTTTTTTTCTTTGTGTTCGTATTGGTGTTTGTGGTTGTGGTTGGGTTTGTTGTTAGGTTTTTGTTTGCTTTTTTGTTTGTTTTTTCTTTGTGTTTGTATTGGTGTTTGTAGTTGGGTTTGTTGTTAGGTTTTTGTTTTCGTTTGTATTTGTAATTGTGTTAGCGTTATGTTTGCGTTTTGTTGTTTTGGTTTTGGTTGGTTGTGGTTTGGGTGGGCAGTGCCGGGTTTATGATGATTACTAAACACACAGGTAATGGTCTTTAACAGAAAGGTTTTTCACAGAAGCCAGAGCAGGGCCTGGCCGGGACGGCTAGTATATATATATATATATATATATACATATATATATATATATATATATATATATATATATATATATATATATATATATATATATATATATATATATATATATATATATATTCCCTATCCAAATTAATCTCTGTGATAATGAAATCGGTGTAGCATTTTTCTTTTAAAAAATCAAACGTTTCAAAATACAATAACTAATTATTTGTTGTTTTTTTAGATTGAAGACCTTGTAGCCAAACAATTTACTTTGTCCAACGTATGAGCCGGTAGTTTTCTAAAGCGTGTAGCGGTGTTGCGTGGGTGGGGGGGGGGGGGGCGGGGGTCAGTACGCCCCACCATAGAGCAGTAAATGCACGTGCGTGTCACTCACCTCGGGCGTGACAAATCTGTAGGGTTCGTCATGCCGGAATGTGAAGTTGTTCAAACGAAACTGCTCTTTGATCAGCCCACACATCGCCGGAGTTGTCCTTCCTGTTTATCTAACTACGGCCTGTCGAAGTTGTCCTTCGTGTTGTTGCAACTACTGTCTGCCTATACGGCACACTGTACCTGCTTAGCAACGTAAATAAAATAGATAAAAACATGTTCCTAGATTGATAATGTCAACTGTTTCATAAATTATGTATGTTACAAAATAATATGTATAAGTATAGTCATCTTTTTTTTTTTTAGCTTGTTTTAGACATTACACCCTTGAATAGAATCGACAGAGAAAGAACACATAGGAAAGTTTTGGAAGGCGACTGTGTTAGGCGAAGCCGGGTTGACTTTAGTAAAGGTTCAGAAGATATCCATGAATAAAATTGCTAGTTCGGACGGCGTGGTTGGACGGTAGTGCGCACGACTGCTAACCAGAGAGTCTCGGCTTTAGTTCGAGTCTGTATGACGTCCCTGGATCCTACACATGGCTCACGTTAGGGAAAGTAAATACGGCTCTATGCAATATTACGACACAATCCATACATTCGCTCAAGACACAGAATGGTAAACTCTGTTTCATCCGTCCTATCGACCTATTTGTTGTATTGTAAACAAATCGAATCCATTATAGCTTAGTTTCCTAGTTTCTAGATCGCCTTAATAACTATAATAATATAGAATTTTGATTGTTTGTTTCAGCAGTCTTAAGTTCTCTAACTCAAATGATATAAATAAACCTACCCTACTAAAATGTTACATTTCAGCACTAACACATGGTTGAGACTAATTAACTAGCCTAATTAGATCAAACCATCTGAACACATAGCTGTCACAAATGAATAGATCGATTCCATAAAATTTACGCTAAACAATTCCTCAGTTATGAATAACGTCAAATAACTTGAGCTATCGTGCACGAGTATGGGATACTATGTGCTGTTTTATGTTTTTGCAGTAGAAATAGGTGTGTATTGAATCGTTCTTTCGCTGAAACTGACAGTATTGCACGGATATGGGAAATCTAGGAGCTGTCTGTTTTAAATGTTTTGGATGATAATACAAAAAAATAAAGTACTGATCTATACAGAACGTGGAAGAAACAAACAGATGGATAGAGCAATGAGAAGCGAGAACTTGTATTAATATAGAGATATTCTGAACACACTTCTCGAGTGATGCTCAACATACTCAATACGAAACAATGATTAAGACAGACTCTGACACCTACAGAAAAAAAATTATTATTTAAATTATCCACTCTCGTTACATAAAGGACCACTTTGATGATTTTCTCAAACGATTTATGGAAGCCAAAGTAACAATTATGCTTTAAAAGAGAACCAACATAAGATCTTTATAAAGCGGCCTAATATTTAATGTGCAAAAGGTTTCACCCTATCCGTTTCTAAAAAGCCACCCATTTTCCTAACAATAGCCAATGAAGATTACAATGAAATCTACCTCTGTATTTACATTAGCCGACAAACAAATATTGTGGAGGTTTTCTTTTGGAAAGATATAAACAAGCAGTGGTTGACTGGTCCTCCGGTTTACCTGGAAAAATCTCGGTAGGCCCCCAGGAAAAGTGCTGGTATTGTTTAGATTTTTTAAAATAATATTTTAGTATTTAACGTTATTATCACTTCCATTACTTCATACAAAAGCTTAAAATTCCAGCTTTGATACAATATTAATCTGGGGGGGGACGCGTTTAAAATTATATTGGCCTCTTGGACACATCCGCTACACCCCTGAAGGTTTTTGATATTCCCTTTTAGGAGGGATGATACCTTGAAGGTAATCGACAGTGGGGTAATAATTTCTAGCATTGTTTTGTTTTTGGAAGTGGGTAAGCATTAATTCAACCATCATGCCCAACACTACGCCCAGCATTATGGCCAGCACTATGCCCAACAATATGTTCAACTTTATGACCAAAGCTATGCCCAACATTATGCCTAACATTATGCCCAGCACTATGCCCAACAATATGCCCAACACTACGCCCAACAATATGCCAAACATTATGACCAACATTATGTCCACCATATGCCTAATAATATGACCAATGCTATGCCGAACATTATGCTAAACATTATGCCCAACACTATGCCCAACATTATACCCAACTGCCGTCAATTATTCACTAAACACACCTTCTCACAATATGACCAAAAGCTCTCATCGACGTATAGCCAATAACAGGAAATATACACACATCTTTAAGCTATAAACTTAAAATTAACAAAACTAAAACAAATGCTTATATTTTACATCATCATACCAAATACAAAAGCTAGTTTTATATGAAATGTTTTATCTACCCCCACCACCCCCTCCCTACAAAAAAAAAATCAGAAATTGACTTACACTTTGATGTCAGCATGGAACCTTTAGACCTGCACCTACTGAGTTTTGTCGTGGCTTGATCGTGGTGCTCCGTGCTGATGTACAGGTGGGTTGTTTGAGCGAACAATGAACCGACAACTCCATTCAATCAACCATTCCTATTGCTACGTCCCTTGACTCTCGTATGTACTGCTGATATAAAAATGTACATCTATACAACACTATACAATCAATGTATACACTGAAATAAATACGCGCTTAAGCTTACTGTGTATCAGATGGTTATGTATTCTTTGTGACGTGTTTTTTTTTTACCAAAGCCCGTAAAGAAAAAACAAATCAGGATTTGTAGATCTAAATTTAAGTATTGAACGTATTGATTAAATTTACAATGAATATAAAGTAGATATTATGTTATATTTATAATTCGTATAGTCATATTTTCCAATCGGAAAATAGGAATAAATTCAAATTTTGTTTTAAAAAATACACGGATATCGAAACAGAAATATTTCAAGCAAAGCTAAGACGTAGATTGGGAACTCTCACTTAACTAAAAAAAATGTTTAGAAAATAAATAAAAAATATATAGTTATAATTCGTATAACGCCACTGTTTATAAAAGTGTGTAGGGCTGCGGTGTGTAGAACTACAGTGTCTGTGACGGTGGAATTGATTGAGAACCATCCCAAGCTTCCTGTCAACGGGAGGAGATCGTGGTGCTAGAGAGTTATCTCCCTGGAACGTTATCTCGTCCCCCGAGTGACAATACCTGCCGACGGTCAATATTTTCTGACCTTGCTCGCAAAAGATGGATTGTTTTTTTTTTAGAGAAAAAATAAAATAAATTAACACCTGTGTGTTGCTGCGTTAGAAATATCAGAGACACAATAATATTGGTCACAACTTGATCCGATTAATGTTCGTACTGTGATTGTTTTAGTTTGATATAAAAATAGAATGTACTAAATAGAATTTATACGGAACATAATATATACCTTCACCTGTCCCCACCCCACTGGAAGTTTCAAGTGCCCCTCCCCGAGAAATATCTATAAGAAAAACTGAAGATATTATGTATTATTTAAAATATTTAAGTATATATATATATTATATATATATATATATATATATATATATATATATATATATATATATATATATACAGCCTCTGCTATGGACAATTAATTAAATACGTTACTTAATATATTCATAAGTAACGGATAGGGAAATAGAAAGATTATTGGGTGTCTTAATATTAAAATCTAGAATATAGCGCATGAATGGGTTGTCTGACTAGCATGAAGTAATCTGATTTTAGCACCTTACTACCTGAAGTGCCAGACTACTTGACCTGAGGCATCTGACTTTAGTACCTAGCTAATTGACATGAAGTGTCTTACGTTAACATCTGACTAATTGACATAAAGTGTCTTACTTTAATATCTAATTGACATAAAGTGTCTTACGTTAACATCTGACTAATTGACATAAAGTGTCTTACTTTAACATCTGACTAATTAACCCGATGTACCTAATTTTATTACCTAACTAAGTGAGCTGAAGTGCCTGACTTTAGTACCTAATTTTATGTTATCTGATTTATTTGACTTCAGAACCTAAATGCTGACTTCTTTACCCTGTTCCATTCAGTCTACTTGGCTAACTAACAAATGCTTGGGTCGATAATAAGAGAGAGAACCTGACTTTACCTGACCTTAATTACCTGACTTTAGTACCTGACTTTACCCGACTTTAGTACCTGACTTTAACTGACCTAAATTACCTGACATTTAATACCTGACTTTATCTGACCTAAAATACATGACTTTAGCACCTGACCTTACTTGACTTGAATTTAGTGTCTCACATTTATAATCTTAAATACCTAACTTTATACACAGTAGGGCCTACCTTACCTCACCTGATTTACCTGTCTTTACCTGACCCGAGTTACCTGACTTTATGTACACTATTTGTAAGTTCCCTTTACATTACGTAATAAAGAATTGAACCGTCCCAACTATACAACGTGTTAAATCAATATTCAAGTAAGAATACCATGTCGCCAGTGAACTCAAGCAAATACAAATACATTGTAGGTTTATAATCTTCTGCATTGTAGATAGAGCTAATAAAAAACGGATATTAAACAAACATATTAAGACATAAAGTCACATATACCAATAAACCTTAATAGAGCATTCTATAAACATACCAATAAACATCATAACAGCATTATACGAACATACCAATAAACCACTACTAGAACAGTATACAAACATACCAATGAACACTACTAAAACATTATACAAACATACCAATGAAGACTACTAGAGCATTGTAAGAACATAAACAGTAAAACACTCATGGAATTCTAAAGACCGACATACCGATTTACCCAGTGTCCTGAAACAGTTTTTTTTAGTCTGAAGCTCTAAAGGGAAGTAACTTTGGAGGATCAATACACGGCTATGGCGTCAGCATTTTATGACTTAATGGGCCTGTTTGAAACCAGTCACGTGGGAAATTCTAGTTAGGTAGATTCCCCCACCCTCCCTTGGTTGGCAGTGTACTAGAGTCAGCTTTTGATAAACTGTGTTTAGCACCGGCCCGCCGAGAGATGGCTTATAGGCAGACGTGTGACACAGTGGCGTTACTAGGTCGGGTGTCACCCGGTATACGCCGCACCCCCCCCCCCCCCCTCCAGATGCGTAGCTACCCTTCCCGGCGCCCGGGGACAAGCTTTCAATTTTGCGCCCCCTCGTGAACAACCTTTCAATTTTCAATTTGCACCCCCTCAAACTTACAATTTGCACCCCCTCCCCCCTCAAACTTTCAATTTGCACCCCCCCCCCTCTCCATATATTTTTTATATTTACCATGCAAAACTGCAGCTAAAATGATATTTTAATTTGTTTTTACAACCCATTTTGGCGCCCCCTAAGGTCAGTTAGGTTAGGTTAGGTTTGCCTGTCGTCCCTCCTGGGACATAGGCCGCTGACAAGAGCTTTCCAGGCGTCTCTGTCCTGGGCTAGTCTCTCCAACTGTCCCCAGGTGTATCCAATACATATTGGCTTTCACCACCCGGCTTCATAAAGTCATGAACATCGGCGTCACAGTTCAGTACTTTTAAAATTTATTTTTAAACTGAATTTTGACCTTTTTTAAAAAAGTTATTTATTTTAATAAAAAAAGTTTCGTAAATTTTAATCAAATGTATCGATTTAGCTAAGCTTGATCTGGTAAAAAAGAAAAAATAAACCCATCGCTGTAGATGTTTTGAATAGTTATTACTAATGATAGCGTTGTATTTTAAGTTTAAGGCTACATTTTCATTTATTTAAATCAAACCTAAGGTATAACCTGAAGTTTCATTTTCGAAAGACATAAGGGGTCGTCCATAAATGACGTCACACTCGTAGGGGGGAGTGGGGGGTCCGAAATTTTATGACGGTGTGTGATGAGCGGGAGGGGGGGGGGGGTGGTTCAGATGGTGTGACGTCACTTTTTATTGCATTATAAAAAACCAATGTTAGAAAACGAGTTTCAGCCTTTATTTCGCGTTTTAGAAAAGGGTTTTAATAAATTTTGATAGGAATTGATCAAAATACTCTATGTTGACAGAGTTCTGACAAAATTTAGTAAAAATATCGATGTTTTAAGAAAAATTCAACAGCAATTTTGAGGGGGTTTGGAGGCTGAGGTGTGGCGTCATTTTAGGGGGTTTAGCTTTTTGTGACGACGTGTGACGGAGGGGATGGGGGAGGTAAAAATCGTCAAAAAAGCGTGGCGTCATTTATGGATGACCCCTAAGACATACATTGATTGGTTATACAAAAACCCCGTGATAGATCTTCCAAAAACCCACTTTGTAATAGTTTGTTTTTAAAACTTTGCCGATAAAATTTTAAAATAAAATTATACTTTTTTTTAAACCACATGACCTAGTTATGCCATATCTACTTACATTTCCAGTGATAAATTGGAAAAAAAAAATCTTTTAACCTTCTTTTATTTTTGTTTATGTATTTTGTTTAGTTACCGAAAATGCTAAAAACATCAAATACGCACAACCTTAAATAAAAAACTGAAAAATAAAAATCTCTCAATAAAGGTTTTATAACCACATTATTTTTTAACAATACTGCATGCGGCTTTCTAAATATTCAATGGGCCTTCTAGACGTTGACTTCCACTTGAATAAACTTAGTAAATAAACAAAACTAGAATCTGTGTATATTACTTTTACTAGATCTCCATTAGTTTTCGTTTATATTTTTTTAAAATAGGCCTATAAGCATGATATAAGCGAAACATATCTATTTCTTATAAAACATAACATTGGACAAACCTATGTGTCATAACTATTTAGATCTACTTCTAATTTAAATAGCTCCTTCCTCTAAGAATATGCTAGCTTACTAGTTTCTTTCAGTGGACGTGGTTCCATTTTATATATTTTAATTTACCTTTGTTTTTCTTTTCTGAAGTGTTGCACCGTGCGAAACTAGTGTGCACTGCTTTAGTTTAGCGGTAATATACTTTATACATGGTCTAGATCTATTTACTATATTGTTTGAGTTGCTTTTTACTTTCTCTTGCACGAAGTATAGAGGAAGTCTTAGGATGGTAATCGTGCACAAAAAAAATTCGAGATTTTCACAGATCCCGACGTTTTACACATGGGACGAAAAAAAATAGTTTTGCAATTTTGTCCTTATGTCTCTCTGTGTGTGTATTTGTGTGTGTGTATGGGTGTATCTGTAAACACGATAACTTGAGTACGGTTACAACTAGGTTGAAACAATTTCACATGTAAGTATTCTATCAAATTTATCGTTCTGTATCAACTTTTCAGCGATTTCCGATAACCGGAAGTGGAACTTGGACGCGCATATCACATCATCTTTGCCAAAGACAAATGGGGCAGATAAAGTAGAGTTCATCTGTTTCAGTGACTTCGGCATTTAGGGGGATAATACAGACACTAATATATATATATATATATATATATATATATATATATATATATATATATATATATATATATATATATATATATATATATATATATATATATAGTTTTATATAATCCTCAATGTTCTCACCGATTGTGTAGTAAAAAATCAATACCTTTAATGGTACTTTTGACAGATAAAAAACTGAAAATCCCAACAAACGTTTTACAAATTTGGTATGTCTCTCTAAAATAAATGTTATAACTTAAAACGTATTTGTGATTAGGTTGGCCCATACTAAACAGCCATACACCCACATCAAAATAAAGTGGTAATTCAGTAAGTTTCGTTAAGACTTCTAGTTAAAAGATGTTTTTAATCAAAACATTGGCGATTAAACTTTTAAAATAAAGCGAAAAAGTTACAGGTTTTTTAAAAAAATCCAACTTACTTGGTTTTTTGTTTCGTTTGTGTAGCAATATAGAAACAAATCTGAAAGAATTTCTGTAGCACTGGCCTACAAGACATCCGCTTTGCTAATGACAGCAAATTTTATCTTATCCTTATTCTAGAATTAACAAACGACAGCAAATCGTATCCTTGGTCTAAAATAAAGTAATCACAATTGACAAGAAATCTTATCTTATTCTTGGTCTATAAGAAACTAATGACAGCTTAACGTATCCTTGTTCTAAAATAAACTAATGACAGCAGATCTTATCCTTAGTTTAGAAGAAACAAATGACAGCAAATTTTATATTGTCCTTGGTCTAAAATAAACTAATGACAGCAAATTTATCTTATCCGTGGTCTAGAATAAACTGATGACAACAAATATTATCCTTGATCTAGCATAAACTAATGACAGCAGATCTTATCCTTAGTTTAGAAGAAACAAATGACAGCAAATTTTATATTGTCCTTGGTCTAAAATAAACTAACGACAGCAAATCTTATCCTTGGCCTAGAATAAACTCATGACAGCAAATCTTATCCTTGGTCTAGAATAAACTAACGACAGCAAATCTTATCTTATCCTTGGTCTAGCATAAGCTAACGACAGCAAATCTTATTCTCCCTCCCGTGTGAGCTAATGACAACAAATCCCATTCCTTCTATCCAGCATCAATGATTTTCTTCACAACCGCGGCACTAGACGCGCTGATAACAGCTCACAACAGCGAAGAAAATAATTGATTAAAAAAACAACACAGATACAAAGCTAAAATAACGTTTATATATAGTGGAGCAATCGATAAAAAGACACTTCTGACATTTCCCCGATAATGACAGGTCTGTCATTTCGGCGTGACGTTTACTAAACTCAACGCAGATTTAAAAGCTACTGTAGTTAAGTTTTATTATTCTAATGCCTATGTTGAGCTATTCAACAATTTTCTATAAAAGCTTTTTCATTATGTTTTTAATCGTCGGTATAAAATGGGCTTTTCCGTTAACGGGGTCATGTATTTAACGACTGGTTGAGTGGAGGGGAGGGGGTAGTGGGGGAGGGGGGATTTTACAAAGAGCATAATTAGTTTTTAATTTAATTCAAAAGGAAAATGTGCGCTGTTGATGAACCAAATGTATGTGGTGGCAGGTGTTTATACGTAATTACATTGGGCAGTTATGTTATGCGAATAGCAATTAGTTTGTAACATTTAATATTGATGTTCTACTACCCATGGGTGTCAACGTTAACTTTTGCTTGTCATTTATTTTAGCGGCATTACTTCTTCTTTTTCGTTCTTAATTGTATTTGTTGGAAGGAATTTCCTCCAACACAACTAAGTAGGCCTACTATATTCAAAAAAGTGACTCAACCTTTTTTTTTCTTTTTGGATTAGCTTCCAAAGCCTTTGTCCACCCAATAACAATATGCACAGCAGCTGGACACTGGTAAAAATATGTTTTCTATAAAAATTCCATTTTGTTTGGGTGGGGGGGGGGGGGGGGCGGCGGCGGTAGACATTCTACGTAGGAAGGGGGGGGGGGGGGAGGCGAAGAGATGCCTGGAAGAAACTCTGTTGTTTTTTCAACATCTTTTTAATTGTAATGTCAAACTGCATTTTCTTATAACACAATTAAGTATTACCTGTCAACCTGTTTCATATAGGCCCTTGACTCCGATTTCAGCCTGCTTTTCTTTTTGGATTTGCTTGCATAGCCTGTGTCCATCCAAGAACAAACTACAAGACATTAGATTTTATTTTATTTTGGGGTTTCCTCTCCTAGATGGGTAGCTGTCCCCAGCTATCGAGCCCATCTGCCCAGGGATCCAAACTCGCCTTGAAACCCTAAAAATCTGGCTAGAACCATCGCAATTTTTAGAACCACTGGCTTGCAAACCATGGAACCCTAAAAGTAGTATGTGACCAAATAAACACGCACTGCACCTTTTGAATAACCTCAGCTGTCAACTCCCCGAATCTTTTACTTCACTTTATTCAACAAGATAATTACCACCTTAGCTCGCCGCTACAAGTTTTTAAAAACACACTCCAGAATTAATTTTAAACGTAACAAAACAAACTAAACATGGACAAAAAATCTCTGCAAGGCGTCTTTTATACGAGCTTGTAAATCAGTTCCTATGTAGTAGACTACACTGTATTGCAAAGCGTCAGGTATGTAGAAGCTAAATAAAGGCGCGTTCCTTCACGGTGATTAAAAACTTAACTGCTTCGTGTTTGTGCATTAGGATCTGCTCCTAATGTTTGCCTTGATTGTGATTAGAGAAAAAATAATGTGTTACGTTTCTTTTCAGAAACTATTATCCTTGATTAATAAGTCCAATTAATTCTTCTTAGATAAAAAATAAAATAGTAATATGTAATTATAAAATAGGAATTCAATAATCTTAAAATCTGTTTAATTAATTTATTAAAATCTTAACATGAAAAGAAAAAGATTTGTATAAGATGTTTTAGTTACAGTATAAGATCGTGTATACTATACACATTCCATTCGATGTCTATTTAAAACAATAAACTTAATTGCCGCAATAATTTCTTGCTGGGTCAAAGGCAATAGCGTACAGGTGGTGTAGATAATGGTAGCATTCAGGGAGTGTAGGTGATGGTAGCATATAGGGAGTGTAGGTGATGGTAGCATAAGGGAGTGTAGGTGATGGTAGCATACAGGGAGCGTAGGTGATGGTAGCATACATGAGTGTAGGTGATGGTAGCATAAGGAAGTGTAAGTGATGGTAGCATAAGGGAGTGTAGGTGATGGTAGCATACAGGGAGCGTAGGTGATGGTAGCATACAGGGAGCGTAGGTGATGGTAGCATATAAGGAGTGCAGGTGACGGTAGCATATAAGGAGTGCAGGTGATGTAATCATATAGGAGTGTAGGTGATGGTAGCATATAAGGAGTGCAGGTGATGGTAGCATATAACAGTGTAGGTGATGGTAGTATATAAGGAGTGTAGGTGATGGTAGCATATAGGGAAGGTAGGTGATGGTAATATTTAGGGAAGTAGGTGATGGTAGCATAAACGAGTGTAGGTGATGGTAGCATAAACGAGTGTAGGTGATGGTAGCATACAGGGAGTGTAGCAGATGGTAGCATACAGGGAGCGTAGGTGATGGTAGCATATATGAGTGTAGGTGATGGTAGCATATAAGGAGTGTAGGTGATGGTAGCATAAGGGAGTGTAGGTGATGGTAGAGTACAGGGAGTGTAGGTGATGGTAATATTTAGGGAAGTAGGTGATGGTAGCATAAACGAGTGTAGGTGATGGTAGCATAAACGAGTGTAGGTGATGGTAGCATATAAGGAGTGTAGATGATGGTAGCATAAGGGAGTGTAGGTGATGGGAGCATACAGGGAGTGTATACACACCTTCACAAAAGTGATCTTCAGGGACCAAACAAAATACAGTGTAACTACTTCATAAAGTGATGTCTAGCAAGATAATATGCTTTTTATTTCACTAACAATCACCAGTTTGCTTTTTAAGAAATTAATATCGCTGTTAAATATATTAATATGTGTGTTACGTTCCATTTCTTCTCCCCCCCCCCCTCCTCCGTGCTAACAGATGTTTCCTTTTTTCCCTTTTAACCACACATCTGTCAGAACACACTAGCATTGTTAAACTTGAACTAGAGGGTCTAGATACATTCCTACACCCATCGAACACACACCGACATCACAGAATCTCAGTACACATTATTTACACCAAGCACTTACAAACATAACAGAACCTCACTACACACTATTTACACCAAACACACATAAACATCACAGAACCTCACTACATATAATTTACACCAAGCACTTACAAACATCACAGAATCTCAGTACACATTATTTACACCAAACACTTACAAACATCACAGAACCTCACTACACATTATTTACACCAAGCTCTTACACACAAACCCCCTCATTAAACACAAACCCATCGACCTACAGTCACCAGATAAAAAATTTAATGTTTTTTTTAATTGTTTACCTCCCTTTCATCTCTTTGATCATTGCAGATCACTGAAGCACATGTTTCTTTCAGGCACAATCTATCATAAATAAAATAAAAATGGATATAGAAAATAAATACACCTAAGCAGCAACAAACCTTACGGAGTTTCCAGGGTACAACTCATTTAACATTTTTTGTCATTGAGCCATTAATCTTTCTTGTAACTTGTCTTTTAAAAAAGCACATAAACCTAGCAATGCGATCAGTATTTGTTTTTAGACATTTTTCTCAGTGGATGGTGCGGGGTGGGCACTTGAAACTAGAATGCACACTTAAATTAAATAATTGTTGTTTCGTCTGGGTGGGGGTGTGACGGTGGGCGTACCTCGCCACCTTCTCCCCCCCCCCCCCCCCCCCCCCAACACACACACACACACCCGCCGCCTCCATCAGAAATGGGAAATAATTAGGCATTGCTATTTATATCGATAATATTAATCGAGTTGCTTCCCCTTACAATGAAAAATAATGAGTTACTGTAATACTTCTTAGGAGCTGTGCATAGTTGACGTCACACTACGGGCTGGATTTGAGGGAGGGGGGGATTTGGATATTTGCGATGTGGGACTTATCACTTACATTTAAAATATCATTTTTGTGTTTAGTTTTTTTCAATTATTTTGCATTTATTATTATACATATTAAATGACGCCACACAATTGTAGCAAATTGTTATCATCACAGCCGTTTTATTTTAATTATTTCTTTAGGCAATCCTTTAATCAATTCACATTTTTCAATTTCCCTATCGCAAACACACCACTCCACAGATGTTACCGGGCCACATGCAAATGTTCTAGGTCAATTCGGTTTACTAGGACAAAGCACACAACACACAATAAACAACGACGTGTAGGTTCTCTGTGAAATGCCATGTGTAGGTCTACCAATCAAAGATGGAGCACTCAGCTTAGTGCACTCTATACTCTATACATTAGGCCTATAAGTATAATCATTCATGATGCTTATGTAAGAAGGTCAAGACAAGAGGTAGCAGAGCCGGCGTTAGGAATACGCGGGGCCTAGGGCCAACCATCCGCGCGGGGCCTTTCCATTATATATATATATATATATATATATATATATATATATATATATATATATATATATGTATGTATAAAGGCCTATATAATGTGATGTACACTTAATAACACACATGTTTTGGATTTTATAAGCTACTGTCAAACTTTCCACTATAATAACAGATTTTATCTCTCCCATGTATTAACCCAATGTTCGTAGTTTTTTTCCTTTGCTAAGATATTAAATCACTTTTGACAGTTATGTAATTCATACCAAATCACTTAAGAATATTTAATCACGTGCCGAAAAATTTGGAAAATATAGTTTACGATACAGCGAACTCGGCCTGATGTATCAAAACAGTAGGCCTATAGACTTCAAAATTTGTTTAGAATTCATACAATATTTTAAAACCAAAATCCTTATTGTCTTAATTATTGAACGGGTGAATCTTTAAGGTGACACAACATAACAACAGTTTTAACTTTCTTCCAAAAAATAATAATAAATCACTCTGTTTAATGCCGCCTGATATAGATCCTAAGCCCCCCCCCCCCCCTCGTCGCCCTCCTCCCACCCCTCTGCATGCAACTGAATGTTAATTTTGTTATACCAAGACAAGTAGCCCCCACCCCCCGAAAACGAAATGAAATTTATATAATTCATATAGAAAATATATACTTTTAACAGTGTCCGCCCCCCCCCCCCCCGAAGAAAGTCTACCGCCCCCCCCCCGAAAATTTCAAGTGCCCCTCCCCCCCCCCCCCCGAAAATTTCAAGTGCCCCTTCCCCCCCCCCACCTCCCCCCGGAGAAAAATGTCTGGAAGAAACACTGTACATATACGACATTATACGACATCTACAACAAGAAAGTCAGGACTAGTTCATCAGGTCACCAACTGTCTACTACAGACATCCCGTCTGCTCACTAAAAGGATGTCTTCATGGGTCCGCATACAATAGGGTATCTCTTTACGTCGTGGGCTTATTCTCGACCGCCATCTCCAGTTAGCTCAGGTCAAATGCCATGCGACCGTACCCTACGCAAAGGGGAGGTGTGACACTGTTTTTGTATCGAATTACGGCCTGTCCCAGTTCAGGTGGGACTCACCAACATCAACCGTGGCCTCAGTTATAACAATCAACAACGTCGGCATTCGACCATTTAGTTTTTCCCAATTGAATTCAGCAACAATTTTTTTAAGTTTACGAACTAATTCAGATAACAATGACATTGCTTAAGCGCGGGGCCCATTCAAGCGCGGGGCCTATGGCGACCGCCCCGTTCGCCACCCCCTAACGCCGGCTCTGAGAGGTAGGACCACATAACAACAACACCTTGTGACATAAAATTATTAGATTCTAGATCTAGATCTAAATGACAAATGTTATTATAAATAATAGTATAGTATTAGTAACCCTGCCCTTAAAATTAGTACTACTAATCTAATTATTGACATTGCATGCCTACAGCTAAATGGAAAAATACTAAAGTAAAGTTAATGTCATTTTTACTATCATTCGTATATATATTATTAAATTAATAATTAATTAATTTTTAGAGTAGGTCTAAAACGTAGGCCTATTTAGTAGACTATTTAATATTTAAATGTAGGTCTATTTACTATTTAGTAGCCTACAAATAATTACTCAAACCTATTCTTAAACATAATATTATTATGTTTAAGAATAGGTTTGAGTAATTATTTGTAGGCTACTAAATAGTAAATAGACCTACATTTAAATATTAAATAGTCTACTAAATAGGCCTACGTTTTAGACCTACTCTAAAAATGTAGGCCTAACGAACTCTGAACTATCTCTAAAACTGCAGTGGTAGACAAGGTCATGGCAAATTAGTGAGAGAATATCTTGGCTCAGGTTTCTTTTCACTCAGATATTTTTATCTGGCAAGGGGGATGGGGGTTGGGGAGGAGAAAAACAGCACTTGAAACTTTAATTGGGGGTGGGGCAGATATTGGTTAAAGAAATAAAGTAGTACACTGATTGGTCTGCAATCACAGCCCTCAAAATTTATGGGCCACAAATAGCCTTTTTACAGTAGATAGAAATTTTAGAATCACCTACTAAACTAGCCCTAGACAGACCAGATGATTTTCACCCTTGTTTCTCATTTGAAATTATTTGAGTTTATTGGCCAAATTTTATTGGTACACAATTGATTATATAGAGGCCTATAGGCCAAGTGATAATTTTAAAAGAATTTTTCACCATTAAGCAATAAAATAACAAACTTATATTATGTTGTCATATTAGGGAAATAAAAGCAGCAGAGCATAGTGCTGACCACACTATCTCACATATACAAGGTCATTGAAACAGATGAACTCTACTTCATTGGCCCTATATGTTTTGGGCACAAATGGTAAAAGATGACCATAATGAATGATACTGTCCAAACTTTTTCAGGTAAAAAAAAAAGAAGACAAAAATGTTAATTCCTCACATTTTGAAAATCAGAGGACACAGATCTGCTTGTATTCTATTTCTATGTCGCCATCTGCACAATAAAAAACCCCACAACTGGAAGTCATGGAAAGCCTTGAATGGAAAGGTAGATTGTGTGATCTGTCTGTTATCTACCGATATACTCATTAGTTATTAGTTTTATTAATTTTAAAATGCAGCTTTTAAATTTTTAGTTAGACCAGTGGCTCTGAAACTGTATTCGATTGAACACAAGTGGTTCAGTCAGTATCAGGAGTTTGGTGGAGGTCAAGGCACACACCCAACTCATTTGATTCATGATAGGGTTTTGTTAGTGTGGACGATAGAGTTATTACTAAGGGTTTGGTGAAAGCACATAGGAACCTGGTGGGGCTTATTACCTCTAATATTTTATAATAAGGTTAACTTCAGGTTAAGAATAACTGATTTAGACCAACGCCTACTCAATAGAGTAATGAATACATTTTTATGTTTTGTAACATGTTTGTTATTTTAATAATCGGATAGACTTGAAATGTCTTGTAATGTGAAACCTTATGTTTTTGGTTTAAACTTTTATAGGGGAATTATGTTCTGATGGGGAACCCAGGCTCTGGTAAGACCACCACTGGTCAGATAGTGGCCCAAGCGCTGAGGAAACAGGTGTTTGATGTAGATGACCATCTGCTGACCCCAGCGTGGGGGATGAGTGTGGCAAGCAAGGTGAGAGCTCGACAATTACAGGTGCATCATTGGTAGAGTGGGGTGGCATGGTCGAATGGTTGAGTGTTTGCTGCTAGGATTCGAACTTGAGACTTTAACACCTCCCTGCGTCAACCCCACTCTGGTAAGTTTCTGACTCACAATAGGGAAAGTATAGGTGGTTGGGAATAGTGCTGGCCACACCATCATATCAAGAAACACTAGTTCTTCTGCACTGTGGATCTTAAGGTCCTTAAAAGGGGAACTTTACTTTTATGGTATGCTATCTAGGTCAGAGGTCAGCAATATAAATTATAATAGACAGGAGTAGTTCTTATGGCAAAAGTCTTGTACTACCACAAACTTAGCAGACTTTCATAGATCTTCATTTTAATTTTTAAAACTTACTTTAGCTATGCCCCATATTTCTTGAAAGAGGCTAAACTACTTTGTTTATAGTCATAAACTTCCAAATTAACAATAACATAAGAAAATAAATTATGTGTCAACAAGTATTTTCTTATCTTCCATAGTAAAATGTTATTTAATAAAACTTCCATGTTCAATATTATAGATATTTATCTCATGCTTTTTAAACATATGCTCCAGAATCAAATCATTAAAAAAATCTATTTCTGAAGCATATAATCCCAACAGCTTAAAGAGGTCGGTGAGCAGAGATTTCTAGAGGAAGAGGGAAAAGTCCTGGCCACCCTAGATGTACAAAACACAGTTGTCTCCCTCAGTGGGTCCAACCCCCTGCAGTACGGGGCCATGACAAAAGTGGCAGAGGCTGGGGTCTTCATTTACCTGGACGCTGATAATGAAACCATTCTAAAACGACAAAAAGTAAAATTTAAAAACTGTGTTGCACTAATTGTTAAACCTCTGCAGCATTTAAACCTCAGCAGCATTCACAGTTTTTATTTATCAGTATTCTGCTAGGAGATAAATTTTAAAATTATAAATTGTAGAAATTCAAACTTAAAATTTGTAAAGTGTAAATTATTAAACTTAGGAATTTATTTATCACATGCTGCTTATTAAACAATAGTAAAACAACAAATATGAACATTTAAATTGGATTCTGTTAATGAAAATATGTAATCAATATTAATTATTTAACCCTTTCCCCGGCAACATATTTGGTACCCTGTCCCCGGCAACTGGGTGGATTACACCCAAAGACTTTCTTATAGTAAATTCTTTTCTTTGTTCATTGTGGGGTGGGTAACAATACTGACACAGTTAAGGTATTCAGGGCACAGAGGCCAAGGGGAACAAAAGACATGTTGTCAATGGGAGAGCTGTAATATGATACTACAGGTTGATGGGATTCTCAAGCAAGAGTTAACCTGTGGGTGGACACATGTAGTGATTTATAGTCTTTGCTGGAGCTCTGACTTGCAGTTACAGACAGAACTCTAGTTCAGAGTTACAATAGGTTAATGAAATGCAGGGGTAAGATTGCCTGTGGGAGGACATATATAGTGATTTGTACTCTTTTTGGGAGCTCTGGAATGTAGATAGAGACATTCGAGCCTTTTAGAGTAACTTGACATTAACCTCATTAGGAGTACAAATGAGGACAAAAAGGCAAAACAACTTTGTAATGCTGCTTGAAAGTTAATACTGGGCAATTAATTGATCAAACTGGGAGTGGGGTGGGTGTTCTACAGGTTGTGACCCTGAGAGTAAGGTTTATAAATAGTCACAAACGTTATTGAGAACACAACAGAAACAAGTCTTGAACGCTTTTGTCTAAACTCAAGTGCTAATGATAAAGGAATATATTTGCCAGTTTTAGTATAGCAGGTGAAAATGACCAACAAGTTTTGAGTCTGAACTATTAGTATCAGAGGTAGAAGATGAAGAATGGCAGCCATCAGTATCAGAGTTAGAAGATGAAGAATGGCAGCCATCAGTATCAGAGGTAGAAGATGAAGAATGGCAGCCATCAGTATCAAGCAGCTCTGATGACGAGGTCTACCCAATATACTGCATTTCAACTATCAATAATGTGTCAACAGTTGGCACTCATAATAAAATGAAACTGCTGGTGCAAAATGAAGAAAAAGAAATATTTTCAGGAAAGACAAAGTAACAGTACACTAGACCACTGCCTGAAGTGCTAATCCCAGGAAATTTATAAACAGCCTGACCCTAAATATTTCTTCTGTGCATGAATACAAAAAATAATACAACCAATATTTGACTGCATTAGCAGGGATGGAGAGAAAGCAAGAGGAGACACTGGCACTCTGCAGAATAACAATTTAGTTGTATGTCAATTCAGTTCTGCTTATGGAAGTTTTTGGAGGCAGAATTTTCTATGAAGAGATTCAGCAACCTTCTGGGTCATATTCACTTCCATAACACTAACAGTCCATCAGGCTCATGGTATATTTAAATTTGCTTCCATTATGGTAGATATTCCATACAAATTTAGCAGGGTGTTATGTTTCTGGAGAGATCATTACTAATTGGGCAACTGGTTGATTTTAGAGGTGGGAGTAGATTTATCCAATACATACCAAGCAATTCCGATAAGTATGGAATTAAAATATTTTGGGCATGTGACTCATGTAACACCACTAAAAGGGTGCCCATATTTTGTCAAAGAAAACTAAAGTTCCCTGCCAGCAAAAGGAAATGTCCAGTTATTTTAATTTTATCTAAAAAGTGTGCTCTCTGAGGTATAAATTATTAAAACGTGTTAATGTTCTATTATTTTATTACTAAAGTTGATTACTTCAATTCTGTTTGATATTTTTGTTACTCAAATACCTTCAGATTGTTAATGTATAGTTAAACTTTGAAAATGTAATACAATGACTTAACCCACAATGGGTAAAAACAAATATTTAGTAACCAGTTTATAAGTTATAAGTACTTTTTCCATTCAAAATTGTGTACGGGTGTGTAGCACCCAGTTGCCAGGGACCGTATACAAAAATTTCAAACCCTCATAAAAAATTTTTTTACGAATATTTTTAAAATTTACAACCTCCAATGTGTTCATCCCAACCACCTTATAGATGGGAATGAGGCCCAGAAAAATTTATAAAACGAGACTCGAGATATGAGCAAAAATATAGCGACTTCGGGTCGATTACACCCAGTCGCCGGGGAAAGGGTTAAATAAGCAATTTATCTTAAGCAACTAATTACAAATAGTGCTTGTCCTAATCAGGCAATGAAGGTTGACCGTATTGTTGGAATGGCATCAGGGGCTACACTAGAGGATGTCATCAACTTCAGGCGAACGTGCTACGAAGATTGGTAAAATGTAGAGCATGATAAGTGTATGATTACAGAGATTGGTAAAATGTAGAGCATGATAAGTATATGATTACAGATATTGTTAAAATGTAGAGCACGATAAGTATATGATTACAGAGATTGGTAAAATGTAGAGCATGATAAGTGTATGATTACATAGAGACAATAGGCTTATAACTAGTTTAATATACTATGAAGATTCATAAAATAACATGTAGCGCATAATAAGTGCATGATTACAGAAAGACAATAGGCTTATAACTAGTTTAAACTATGAAGATTGGTAAAATAATATGTAGAGCATGATAAGTGTTTGATGATCAGAGATATCAATATGCCCATATCCAGTTTAATAAACCTTTCCATATAAGAATTACATTTTATTTAACTGTCATATTTTATTATAATGAAAAGAAAGCATTATAGAAATGTATTACTGAAAAAAAATTGCATTAGAATTCTAAATGTCGTAAAGGTAAAATATGTTTTATTGCCTAAAATAAAATAACAAAACCAAAAAAATCATTCAGATTTAGGCATTATAGGTCTGTTTAAACCCCATTAGTTTATTTATATGTGGATGTACTACTTTTTTTATGTGAGATATAATAATCCCTGTTACTCTTTAAATACAGGTTTTTCTATTACACTGCTATTCCCATCTACAGTTATGTAAAAATATTCCCTATCTAGGCCTATAAGTATTCCTTTTTACTGTAAAGATATTTCTTATGTACAGGTATTCTTTATATTATATAAAGTTATTCCCTATGTATAGGTATTTTCTATTTACAGGTGTTCCTTTTCTAGGCATACAGGTACTTTTTAAATACACAGGTATGATATCAGAGTCTTAGTAGACAGAACTGACAGCAAGGAGAAAGTAGCGGAGAAAGTTTTGAAAGCCATTGAGAAATTTGAGCATGACCCAGGCTATGTTTCAACCAGAGGGGTCAAAGGTGACAAGAGCAGTGTGACATTTTTAGATACAGTCCTACAAGGCAAGGCTCAGTTTCCAGCAGTTTAAAATTAATTCTCTTCCAGTCATGTAGTTTTTATTTTATTTTCATTTAGTGACCATTGTGGTTGTAGCCCTTTGTTATGATTGCTTAGGTTTGTTGGTAATTTTTTTTTTTATCCTCTGAGGCTAAATATAAAAAAAACAACCCAGAAAGTTTCATCAAAACTTAGCTGATTAAGAAAAATAATGTTTTATTATGACTATAGGTCAAAGTGCAGATATCAACATGGCCACCAAAAATAATGACACATTATTTTTACAAATGATATTTTACAGTTTATAAATTATTCATTGTTACTTCCCATAATTTACTAGCCCTTATGTCTTATAATAAATTAGTTTTACCAAACTTAAAGAAAAAATTTTTTGCCTTGAAGGAATTGCCCCAGATGGCGGACTGTTCGTTAAAGGAGGGTCAAGACCACAGCTCTCATTAGCTGACATCGGCCGGCTCGTTAATATGAGCTACAGGGAGAGGGCGCTGAGACTTCTGGAGATGTGGATACATCCACTGGATATATCCCCACAGGAGCTGAGAGGATTCATCCAGAAGTCGTACAGTGATGAGCTGTTTGAACCGTGAGTGGGTTCAACTTTACTAAGATAGGGTTAATGACTTGTATACCAGTTTTCTTATCATGGAATATTGGAAGCAACATGGTCGAGTGATAGAGAATATAATAACCTACACAGTCCATCAGAGATCAGAGTCCATATATATATATATATATATATATATATATATATATATATATATATATATATATATATATATATATATATATATATATATATATATATATATTTATATGTATGTGTGTGTGTGTGTTTGGCGTCACAAAGTCGGGTGTCCCCGGGCACCCCTTCCCCTTCAACAGTTTTGTATTTCTGGTTTGTTATCACATTTCTCACCTACTATTTTATTATTTTGACTGGATAAAAAAAATTATTTTGACAGTAAATTTCTATGTTTTTCACATAAAGTTTTCTTCAGAGATCAGCAGTGAAAATAATTGTATTTTAGCTTGAGATGGGGGTTGGCGGGGTCAAGTAAGTAAAGCTTCTGGTTGCTAAACCAAAAGTCTTGAGGTCAAAAACCCTCTGGCAGATTAGACTCGACAGCTGGGGACAGCCACTCTTCTAGGAGAGACAACTCCAAAATCAAACAACTGTTGCCTTGTAGTTTGTTCTTGGTTGGACAAAGGCTACAAAAGCAAATCCAAAAAGAAAAGCAGGCTGAAATTTGAGTCAGCAGTCTATATGGCACATAACAAGTTGACACTTATACTCAAGTGTGTTGGAGGGAATCTCGTCCAACTTTAAAATTAAAAATGCAGAAGAAACAGCTTTAGATTACAGTTTTTAATATATTTTATCCTCAGATTTGATCTGGCTCCTGTGGTACAGTTGGGAGAGAACCAGTTTGTCCAAGAGCTGTTCCATGGGCCAACAGCGTCCTTCAAGGACTGGGCCCTACAGCTCATGCCCAGATTCTTCACTAAAGCAATGTCTGCCCAGCCAAACCCAGATCTAAAGTTAGTATTTCTCTGGTTGTCAATAGAGAGGAGGTAAATCTAAAGGGTATGTAGGTGTTCGATTGGAACAGGGGGGTAAATCTAAAGGGTAGGTTGGTGTTCAATAGGGGCAGGGAAGTAACTCCATAAGGCAGACAGGCTGTTATGGATTACAATTTGAACATTTTATTTTCTATTTTATTCTGGTGTACGACTTAAAACCGAAATTCACATTATAAAGAGCTGTGTCGATGGCATTTGTCATTAGATAGAATAAACCATAACTTTTATTAATTAACTCACTCAAAGATTAGAGTAGTTGGCACCAGTTTCAAGATTAATTGTCTCCCAAAATGTTATTAAACGGTTAATTATCTCCCTTTAATGTATAACAATTTCTTTCCATCAGATACCTGTTACTTGTTGCCACCTCTGGTGACACAGGAAGTGCCACATTGGATGGATTCAGCAGACATGCAAGTTGGTTTGATTGGTTATATCAATTTTATAAAAAAAAATTATAATATTTCATTGCACCAGGTTTTTTTATGCCAAAATTATAATAATTATTATAATAATGGCCTAAACTGATGTTGGTTTGGCTTGCTATTGCTCTACTCATTATCTGCGTTTTTCATATACCTTATGCAATTTAGGTTTAACTTACAAAAAAACAGAAATAGAGAAAAAAATAATGACAAATTTACCTGTATAATTTGATTGAAAGCCAGGTGTGTATTTTTGGCTAGTGTATTTTCTTGTGTGGCTAACTGCAGCAAGGGTAACTATGTTTTCAGGTGGGGCAAAACTTGGGGTCATCGTCCTCTACCCAACCAAAAATGTCAGTGAAATTCAGAAGTGGCAAACCACAGCTATGGAAGGGAAGAACATTACAGTCATAGGTAAGTTTTGTATGACAAGTTGTCATGGCTCCTTTTATAACAATTATGTATTCTAATTCTAATTTATATATGTCTACATTTTTTTGTACAGAGGAATATATTGTAAAATTTGTAATCAATTTTTCATCGATATTTTAAAATAGATGTCACTATTGGGCTATTAATTAATTATCATTATTTCTCATGTGATTCTCTTTGTTTTTATCTACAGGAGTCGATAGGGATTTTGACTACTGTCAAAAAACTGTCAAAACTATTTTCAGAGATGAAAACATCAACAAGTCATTGGGTGGTTGTAGACTCAGGTTACTTTTTTTTGTAGTTGACTTTCCTTGGTTCCGATGAGTTATCCTCCTTGATTTGAGTTACATTTCTTCATATGAACTACTTTCCACAATCTCTTATATAACTTTTTCAGTTGGTTCTTTTATAATTACATTATAACAATATTAAAAAATTATTCATAATAATTATTCAGAATTTTAAAAGTTAAATTATGTTAAGGTGTGGAGTTATTTCTATGAAACTATATTTACTATTAACTACACCATCACTACTAATATAGATGATTTTAGGATATAAGCTTTTTTTTTTCTTCAGAGGGAGTGGGGGGGGGGGGGGTATTTTAATTGTTAAATTATATATTTTCCATTTTTTACTATTTGCTGGGGTGAGGGGGTGGATGTACTCCAGGGGTGCATAACCCCCAGAGAGAAATACTGAACCAATACCTTAGTCTTACTCCTAGCCCTAACAATCCTAGTTGATATTACCTAAAAATCCCTTTTTCCATTATTTATTTACTGTTTATCATCTGCAATTATTATTTTTTTTTGTTTTGATTGCAGTGCAGCAAACTCTATAAACTGGGGGAGGCTGTTACCCCAAACCTTGTACCATGCCAGCGCTTACCTCGACCTGGTCAAGGCAGGTCATGTTGACCTAGGTGACCCAGTGGACTACTGTGTCCCAACTGGCAATTTTGGCAACATACTCAGCGCCTACTATGTCAAGGTCGGTCATGCAGGCTTAGTATGTAAAACTTAAACCCAGGTGGTAGAACACCATGCCTGAAGGCTCAGGTCAAAACAATATTACAGCTGACATGGTGTAGGAGAGGGACAAGAGAATTTTTAAGTCAACTAGACATAAAAATCTACTTTTTTAGTCATTGCATAACTGTTTTGTTTATTAATATAAGATAGGGTTTTATTTTGGAATTTATTTCCATGCTTGTTAAACCCTGTATTCTCTAATTAGTTTTGAAATCTATCAAATATTTTGTACATTTAAACATTTTTTAAAAAATATTTTTCATAAGAACTATGATTTCTTTACAAATAAGGAATTTAATTATTTAGAATTGTAGTTTGTTTTTGTGCATCATTAATTAAATATTAAATTAAATAAATGACATGCTTAAAGGATATTTAAAAATAAAGTTCATTTGGTAGGCCTACATGATTTTCAGGAGATGGGTTTTCCCATTCGCAAACTGATATGTGCTTCAAACTCCAACAAAATCCTTACAGACTTTCTTCTCTCAGGGAGCTACAGTCCATCATCTTACAAACTAAAGGTAAACACAATTGTTCCCTTAAAAAAATATTAATTATACTGTATCCATGTAGGACTTTTTAAAAATGTTGTCTGTTTTATAAAGTTAAGAGCTGTTCAGATTTTGTAGATACAATTCTCTCACTTTGGTGTTAAGTCTACATGCTTCTTTACCTAATTTGAATCAATTTTTTAAACTTTACCTTAAAAGTACCTTAAATTATCTTACCACCAGCTTACTATCTTTATAAAACCATTTACTTTATAAAACCATCTACTTATAGTGTAAAGGGAACCCTCATTATATCAATAAATACCAGCTAAAACGCTATTATTTTTTAGCGCCTTCTTTGTTCTTTATTGTACTTTTTCCTTCCTTCCTTATACGGAAACCGGCTCAGAAGGTTGACTTCCATTAGCCAGGCAGGCCTCAGTGTAGCAAACTCCGACCACAAGAGTTTCCCACACATCGGTCGCTACTTCCGTCGGCTCTCACCGGGCTTTCCTCCCCCACCCACCAGACGCGGGACGTCGTCCTACCGCCTGGTACCCAGCTTGATCGAGGGGGGTGTTTGGCCGTTCTTTGAGCCTAGCGCATACAGCAGCTCTACTTGGCCAGGTCAAAAACCTCTAGCTGCTGTTGGCTACCACTAGCCATTCCACACTCACTAGGGGGGTCATGAGCTTAGTCCGACTGGTGGCACTCTTCCGAAGCCACGTGAAGGCCGCAGTTTAAAGTCAAAGTATCTGGTTAGGATCACGAGCAGACCCCTTTTGGTTCCCGGCAGTCTTGCACCTCTCCTACCCCACGCTGTTGTGTAGGGGACTTGGGAGTCCGACGTACCAGGCTCTATATTGAACAAACAGAGAGGATTTCCTCCAACACAATTTTTATGTTTCGAGTTTTACATGGTGGTATGGTTTGACTTAGACATCAGCCAACTTTTCATTCTGGATTTTCTTACATAGCCTTTGTCCACACAAGAACAATCAGCAAGCAGCATAGTTCTTTGATTTTATTGTGGCTAACAAGTCTCATCTGCTAGGGTCAGAACTCCTGACTTGTGGAGTTAGCAGTCATCCACTCTTCTTCTCACCATCACACTATGTAAACAAAGGTGGGGGGTGGCAGATTCAGCCCTTAAGAAGGGTGAGTTAGATATAGGCCAAAATATATACTTTGGGGAGCTGGCTAGGTTCTATGTACTGCCCTAGATCTGCCAATAGCTATAGGAATATAAGTTAAGAAATATAATAACAAAAAACTTACATAATTTGTCATAAAAATGACAAATATGTGTAATTTTTTTAGGCCAACATTTTCCTCAATTTTTCTTATATATTTTAGTGGTGGTTGTGGTGTACCCTAACACACCCCTTAACTACACTTATAAATAAATCCAATCTTTAAAATCTTCCACATACCATGTCCCGATCAATAGACTAATCTAATCCTCTAATTAATAAATCCCATCTTCCACAGGCTACAATGTCCCCCTCAATAGACATCATCCAATCCTCTAACCTAGAGAGACTGTTGTATCACCTGTCAGGTGAACACGCAGCTATGGTCAGCACATTCTATTCACAGGTCTCTAAGGAAGGAACAGCTTCAGTCTCACAACAGGTTGTACACGTTGTTTTGTACACTTTGTTTCTTGTTTGTTTTGTACACTTTTATTCTTGTTTGTTTTGCACCCATTAATTATATGGCTAATTTTCATGTAAAGGATTTCAATGGAAATTTGTTTATCTCATATCTTCAAAAGGGAACCTTTAAAATGTTGTTTTATTATGTTAGGGGTTGAGTTTTGTGTAAATCCTATCAATACCATGCTGGGACTTAATGGTCTATAGAGTAGGTGGAGTTTCTTTGCTGTAGATTTAAGAAGGGAATGGATAGTTTAGTTTCTTCATTTTGTAGCCATCAAAGCTTAGATGACTATGACAATTGGGTGTTGAAGTGGAGTCCAAATGGAGTCCTGCCGGTTGGCGTTTTTTTAAACCAAATCTGAATATTTTTATTAAATCTTTTTTTTTAAGTTAGGAAAGCTACTTTCGCTTTTGGCTTCAAAACAAACTCAAGAATTTAGAATCAGAATTTCGTGAATTTAGATCTAGAAATCGAGATAGAAAATTAAAATCTAATCTAGATTCTAAATCTAGATCTAGATCTAGATAAAGAATTGACTTTTCAGATTTTAATATAGTCTAGAATCTAGAATTATATTTAGAATATAACCGACTCGTTAGATTTAGTTTTAGAGTTTTAGTAGTTTTAGATTTTAGAGGTAGATTCTACTAACTCTAGATCTAGAAATCTAAATCTAGAATCTTGATCTGATCTAGGGACCGTAGTCTAAACCGATTTTATTAGAAGAGTAAAGAAGAGGTTGTAAAGTCAAGTCTAAATAATTAATTAAAGATTAAAGAACTTTAGTAATTAGCCTATATATATTATAATTAGTTAGGCCTACTAATTACTAGGCCTATGGCCTATAGTAATTAGAATTAGATTCTACTTTAGTGTACTAACTTTGTACTAAGTACTAGGCCTAAAATTAATATTAATTATTAATGATACGTCATACACTCATATACTTTAAGTTTAATTAAGTCTAAAGTTTAAGTTATAAACAGTAGATCTAGATCTAGATACAATAATAAAAATATACCCTATTAATTATAACAAATCGTCAAATAGTATTATTTACTAGATCTAGGGCCTATGTATTTTATTTAGATCTAGATCTCAGCCTTATTTTAGTTAGACCTAGATCTATAATAATAATAGTATTAAATTAAGTATAGGCCTGTTACTGTATTATATAGACTATAGCGTATTTTCTTTTATAGTGAACTAGGCCTATATGATTAATATGAATACTTTTATTAATATAATAGTAATAGGTGTTAGTATTAGTTTAGTTAGCTAGCTAGTATTTAAGCTAGATTTAGTAATAATAGAATAATTATTAATTAGCTAGATTTATGTAAAACAGAAACCTTTAGACTTTAGACTTAACTTTTGAATGTAGGCCCATACATTTTTTTCTAGACTTTCTTTTGCTTAGAAAGTTAAGAACTGATTAAATTAGTTATTAGGCCCTATGTATTAATCATATTATAGTTAATTATAGGCCCCTAATTTAAATTAGGCCTATTTAGTTATAAAGACTTTGCCTTTATTCATTTTAATAAATAGGCCCCTATTTTAAATCAATGCCATATTTAAAAAAAAAAAAATCCTTTTCCTAGTACTTTTTCTTTTAGTACTAGATCTAGATGTAGATAAACTAGATATTACACGGTGACAGTAGGCTAGACCTAATAACCGTAATTACTAATTAGTCGTCTGCTTAGTAGTTAGTCCTCGTAGAGATAGTTATCGTTATATATATATAGACAAGTTATAGTGTACCAGTATTACTAGATAAAATTCTATATCTAGTAATAGCTCTAGAAATTCCAAATTTGATTTAAGCCCAAAGTGGGCCTAAAAATTGGATTAATCTAATAATTACTAACATTAGGGCCTAATTAGTTTAATTGTAATAAGCTTTGTTTGACTTTGTGTTACTGTCATTGAGCTTTTAGTTTAACATTGAAAATTTAATTCAAAGATTTAAAAAAAAAAATCAGCAACTTCAATTAATCTATATAGCTAGATTCTAGATATTCATACTGTTGTACAAGGCTTACTTAGTAGAAATTAAATATGCTATAATTACAGAATTCTGACTATATCACTCAGAATAAACAGATATGACTAAATAAGCCTAATGTATATTACATTGTTTTAGAAGAATTACTTTTGCTTTACAGTAAGCATGTATTTTTAGTGTCTGTGTACACTAGTTAATATTTATTTTTACTGTTAATGAAAGTATTATTCCACAGATGAAGCATGTTCCACTTGTAATAATATTAATAATGTCTTGTTTTTTTTACTTAGACCAATAAAACAGTTGTGTGGTTTACACTTAAAGTCAGTATCTCAAGCCAGTTACCCTTAATGATAATGTACTCAAGCCCTCAAACCACTTCTCTGGTTTATCAATTGTGTGCTCTACTGCTTGACCAATGAATCCCAATTTAGTATTTGTAGGTCATTGTAAAAATATATATTGATATATCCTAAATAAATCTTTTATCAAGTGTTAAGATTTATGTTATTTTTATTGAGTGTTGTTTTAATACGTTCTTTGTGTTTGTGTGTGTTAGTTCAGTGATTTTGGAAAGCTGTAGTGATTGAGGAAACTAAACAGTGTTTAACTTGCAAATTTTATATGAAGAAAAACACACTGGCGCTAGACTGCCATTACTACTAACCCAAAGTCTCAAGTTAAATTGAGGTTTAAGTCAGTAAAAAGTCCCTGTGTGCACCCAGCAATGAGGGGTACCTAACTCACATCAGTGAAAGTAAAGGCATTGTCATAGTGCTGACCACATCATGGCTTCGAATGCCAAGTTCACAGAAACAGTTGAACTCTTTGCAATCTGATCCATGGACAAACAGGCTAGAAACAGGAACTTTTCAACTCTCACTGTTGTTTACAATATTTTCATACACTAACAATAACATTAACAATCAATAAACAAATTCAATGATTAAGACAAGTTCAATTTTTATTAAATAAATTAATAATTTATTAAGTATTTAAAGATAAAGGCATTTTATTTAATGTAATATTTGTCCCTTAATTTCAGGGAATTTAATTTTTTCCTGCATCAAATATTGTTATTCATAAATTGCAGACTCAGATGAAATCTTCATTCTAAAACACATTTTGATTTCCTATGTTTTGTTGATAGTCTTAGTTAAGGTTGCCTGGAACATGTGTAGGGTACTTTCTTCTGTGTTTACTAGAGGTCTATATGCACTGATTTAATTCAGGTATTCTGAAAAATAGATTTACACACAATATTTATACTTAAAATTTTGTCTTATAATCATAGTTTACATAATAAGTGTATCAAAAATATAAATAAAATTGCAATCAAAACTAGCAATTAAATCTATAACTTCAGTTCAGGTCAATATTGATTTATCTCTTACTAAATCTAAACTCTAGATCTAATAACCATAATTCAATGCCTACTAAAATAACTGGGTCTTGCTAGATTTACACATAAACTTCCTACATCTAGATTTCTAAGTAAGCATATGCCTACTACTAAGTACTACTCTAGTTAGTAGCAGACTTTCTTAATCTTTAGCAGTCAACTAAACTTTAAATCTACTTCTTAAATCAAATTAGGTCCTATTATTAACTTTTTAATTTATTACTTTTAAATATTACACTCACAGTGTTGCATTCACTCTCTACTAAGTCTTCTTCAGTAACTATGCTCAACTTAACTACACTAACATCCTCAGTAGTCTAGTCTGCACTTAGACTAGTCGTAGTCACTACTTGTACTTAGAAGTACTTACTAGAGTCTAGATCTAGATATTAGATAAGTACTTGCAATCAGATCTCTACAAAGTCTACAATCTACAAACATACACTAAATCTAATCACTGTCATTTTTTATTTAGAGGGATCAGTATAGATCTAGACTCTAGTTAAGGAAGTATAAAGAACAGATTTAGGATCAGGTAGATTAAGATCTATTACTAATAACTATTAGATATCTAGATCTAGTTGCAATATGCTGAAATAAAGTGTAAAGTCGAACTTGATAATCGTGTGTTTACTGTTTACCAAATCGTCCAGTAGGAGTAATGTCCCCTGGGGCTAGGCTTGCTAGGTCTTAGATTTAACTTTTAAAAATAATTAATTTACTTACCGCCACAAAACTTTTCTGTCAGAATTGAATGCAAATACATTACTTCCCAACCGTACGTACACAATAGACTTGAAATTTTGTATATTTGTTGCATATTGGGAGTTCATGATGAGTTTAAAATCTTGAAGCGAAGTCAAGAAACAAGCAGCCGCCATGTTTTTTTATCAATGGGAAACATGATCACAAAAATTCATTTAGTTTGAAAAATTTTATCTCTCCCTGGCGGAAGTTTTTCCAAAACTTTGAATGGATTAATGAATTAATATTATTAATTATTTCAAAAATTATTTTCAATAGTTTATCTTGAATTAAAAAATTCAAAACACGTAAAAATCAATACTTAATATTTTGTTTTAATTTTTGACAGCTAAAACATAATTTTAGCGCTTGCCAATTAATTTATATAATTTTTTGAAAATTAGCATGTTATATAGCAAAGTATTACTGCAACACCCAATAGACTTGAAAAGCTGCCCTGGTTCAAATGGTTCCAAATTTTTGTTGCCAGAAAGCATATTTTTCAACCAAAATTGAATACATTATAACATTTGTGTAAAAAGTTCATAATTACTTCTGTTTTCATTAAGGCTAAAAATAGTCAAAGAAATAATTACTTGTAATATAATAGTAATTTAGCATACACTTTTATTTTTAATTTGGAATAGTAGAGTCAGGGTGTTGTGGTGATTGGGGATGTTATATTATTTAATATAAATACACTCTATACACCATAGATCACCATAGTATTTTTATCATGAAAAACAGTTGTTCTGATTTTTTTAGTATGATTACATAGACTTTTCATGCCTAGACACATTTTCTACAGTATTTGAACATACATCCTTTGTTTTCAAATAAGCGCTCTACTGTTTGACACTATTATCACCGTCTTCACACCTACACAGGCATATGTAGCCCATTTTGTAAAAACATTTTTGATATCACTGATTTAGATCATACAAGTATTTCTAAAGCTTGCCCTTAAAAAAACTAGCAAGCTGGAGAGTTCACATTAAATCTGTGATGGTTACAACAACAATGTTTTTAAAACAATGTACAACTTAAATTAGAACAAATATTGTACACAGCTAGTTCATTGTTTGAATTATTGAAACAGGTACATTCTGCCTTGAAGGATACATTTATACCAGGATTTGCCACTGAAGAGAACACAAGAGAAACTATACGCAAGGTTTTTAAACAGAAAGGTATTATGGAAACACACAACTGTGATTTTATTAAAGCACATTAGAATAACTTTATGAAAGCATTTTACTGTGGTTTTATGGAAACACATAAATGTAATTTTATTGAAAGTCCTACCAGTAATTTTATAAAAACAACTAATTTTTCTAAAAATGTAGTTGACCCTTAATTATTAAACAGTTCAACTTTTAATATATTGTAACATTTCAACTTAGTTTCACATTTTTTTTAAATTATATAATTTGTCTAAATATTTGGCAGTAAATATTTCATTTGATTAAAATAAAATTATGAATAAGTCTTGTAGCCTCTTCTTCCTATTTGGAACAACAAACCATTTTCTAAATTTTACTCTCCCCCCCCCCCCCTTTTAGTTAAAAACAAACATGAATAACTGATAAAAGGCATCAATGTAAATATCATATTTACAAAATACTGTGCTAAGTTGACACAACAAATTGTTACCATCTCTAGGTTACCTAATGGACCCACACACTGCCGTAGCCCATTATGTTCTGTCTGGGTGTGGGGACCCCACCACCCCCACTGTGATATCTAGCACTGCTCACCACGGGAAGTTTATTGATAACATTCTGCCCATCCTTGATCACAACGGTAAAACATTTGAATTATCTGTAATGGTGAAGTGTTATTAGCTCAAAATGTTTTATATAGTGATTTTAAGGTTTGTATTAAATATTTGTCAGTCAGCAATTCCCAAATATTGGTGTAACGAAAATTGTTTTAACCCTGATGCTTATTTAACTATTAACCTTAATCTTAACACTATATGCAATACATTTCACTTATTAACTGATTAAATACATAGAATAGCTTTGTTTAAAATGTTCAATAAGCATAGGTCTTGGCAACCAAAAAATATGTGGATATGACAAATTATTAAGTGTCTCTTAATATAGTGCTTTCTCCAGTATGCAGATGACTAGCCATCTTTTTTTTACATTTTCTATTTATTTTTTAACTTGATCATTTTTAGTGTAATTTCCCTTCCTTTCATTAAGTGCCCAAAGTAACTTTTATGATTATCAGACCTTCTGTTATAATTTAACTCTTCTTATTCTTCTCACCTCACACAGAAAATGTTTCAAGCTTAAGTGTGCCAGATCTGATACAGAGGGCAGCAGAGGTTACCAGACAACCAAAAATGAACAGATTCTTGACCACAATGGTCAAGAAGAAAGTTGTACATACTGACACAGTGTCGGCTGATTATGATAAAATTTGTAAGAAAGTGGTCCAGTTCGCTCAGAAGCTGTAACAACACCCAAAAATTTGTTTTGATAAAATGAATAAACAATTTTTGTAAAATTGAAAGTGACGAATTAAATACTTTTTAAACCAACTTGTGGAACCAACCTCTTGAGAAAAATTTTGATTATCCAACTGGGATTTCTTCTTCTTCGTTCTTAATTTTTAGTGTTAGAAGGGATTGAGCCTTATCTGCCAGAGGGTTTGAACTCGAGACTTTTTTATAATTTATCAACCATGAGCTTTAGCCGACTCAACCACCCCTCCATCACAATTGTGTCAACTGGTTATGCGCCATTGAGGTCATTGACTCTGATTTCAGCCTGCTTTTCTTTTTGGATTTTTAGCCTTTGTCCAACCAAGAACAAACTACAACGCAACAGTTGTTTTTGATTTTGGAGTTGTCTCTCCTAGAAGAGTGGCTGTCCCCAGCAAACGAGTCTAATCTGCCCAAGGGTTCAAACTCGAGACTTTTCGGTTTAGCAACCATGAGCTTTACTGACTCGACCACGCCGACCCCTCAACTGGGATTTCATGCTTTGGTATTTTACATTCATTAAGAGATCTACATTTTCCTGAGTATCAGTTTCTTAAGTTTATTTTCTCAAAGTCATTGATTATTTTTCTGGCCTACATCTATTTGGGTGCATTACATTTTTGCCTGGGTGCTAGATGTAATTCATTCCACCCATAGTGACATCACCAACAAAATCAATGCTTATTTTTTTAACATCTCTATATATTTATGGTTAGGCATAATGCATACTATACTATTTCTTCATATGCTGAGGTTACAAAAACATGTGAACTCTACTTCACTTGCGTCAAAAAAGGAACTTTACTTTTACTCTATATTGAAAAATACATGTGTTGGCAGATCTGATTTTTAACTACAGCTTTGTAAGGATTTCAAGCAGTGCTTTAAATTTGTAAGGATTCCAAGCAGTGCTTTAAAAAAAAATGTAACACTTGTATTAATGGGTGTGACTATAGCTTCTTCCACACATTGATAATGAGCTGTTGGATACAATGTAATCTTTGAAAAATGTCAAGTTTTAATGTTTGCGGAATAGGCTTTTGTCTATAAAATAAAAATTAAGGTAATAATTGTTCCATATTTTATTTCATGTTTTCGGTTTCCAGTTGATTCATCAGAAGCCGGTGGACTACATAAAATGGATTCAAGCCCATTATCTTTCCCTTAATGTCAAACTAATTAAGTTAGCACTTCAAAGATTTGTAATTTAGTAATTATGCTAGAAGTTGCCTTACACTTTACATGAAAATTGTAAAGAAAGGAGTGTTGCGATTTTGATTACAACTGTGTGGTAAGCACTGTGTCCAGCTGATTCATCAGAATCAGGCGGTCTACAAAAAATGGATTCAAGCCCGTTATCTTTCCCTGAATGTCAAACAACTTTGAACTGAAAATGGACCTATTTTTGCGTGGCAGACAGTCACTTTATCTTTGTTTACACTGTGCTCCCTAAATTACTGATTACAACAAGTAGTGAATGAGTTGGTTATATGCTGTTTTTTTGGGTTCACAAACAACTTAACAAACAGAAAAAATGGATAATGAAGAAAGCAACAAACTGTGCTGAAAGGGTAAAATACTCTACTTCATCAATTGAATTGTTCTTTAAAAAAAATACCTAAAAAGCTTGAAATCAACAAAATCAAATAAAAAGTGTCTGTAGATACTTGCAGTTTTATTTTTTACATTCAATAAGTGAACTATTACACAGCATAAACTTCATGTTGTTGTTGTATGAAAAAAGAACAGTTACAATCACAGAGAAAGTTAATAGAAAAAAAACATGAATAAACAAATTACTCTTAAATAAAGCCATTGTACAAAACTATCAACGTACCTAAATGTGAGGAACAAATGTCTACATGAATATATTTTCAAACTATAAACTCTTCCTCTGGGAATTATTTACATTTTAACATAAAGGGGAGGTAACTATAGTATTAGACTAAGTTAACTCCCTTCATATACAACAACAAAAGAAGATCAGGTGGTTGAAAGCATGTATGTGACCAAACATAATACAACTCAAATCATCCCAATAAGCAACTGTTAACACAAAACATAAGCAAGCTATAATTTCAAAATCTACCCACTATCATGATTGAAATTATTTCTGTAAAAGTATTTAGTTTGAATAAATACAAAATTGTCATGAATAAATGTTTAATTTACAGTATTTTAGCCATTCTCACAAGGTATTAGAGAACACATTTAAAAAATTTGGAAGCATATTAAGCATTTTTATCTGGTTTATGAACAAGATAAAGAAAAATTGACAAAAATTTTTATTTTAAATGGGTCAAATATGCAAACACACATTTTAAAAATTATTATTATAGTTTAATAATTACATTTAACGATTAAGCCACCAAATTAATTTCCAGAAAACCAGTTTCCTTAAGCTGAAAATAGCAGCTTTGGTCATCACAGGTCTATGCTACTATGTTAACTGTTATTAAAAGGCAAGGATATATATGCCAAATACAGTTAGGAGACAAACAGCAATCCTCTAAGTTAATAGCTGATGGCACAACATTAATAAAGGGGAGATCACTCTAAGGAAATGTGTTATGTACAAAAAACTTAGCACTAAAGTGTTTGCAGACTAGGATAGGGTGTTTGGCCAGTCTAGGATAAAAAATACAAGATGTGCTTACATGCTGTAATAAAGTTAATTGGGGCACAAACTACTTATCTTTAATTAACGTAACACACAGAATTTAATCTATTGTTGCATAGGCCAAAATGTTGACATGAAGCTTGCATCCATTAAAAATCTCAGATTTTAATTAAACTTGTTTTGTATTAACTTTGGCTGATATTTCAATTCTGATCTTAAGCATTTTGTGAATCTACAAAGCAATACATAAGCTATACCTATACAACTGATATGCATCAAAATAATAATTTGAAAAGACAAAACAGATAAATACACATAAAATCCACAACTTAATTGTTAACAATAAAAAAATTAATGAAATAATTAAAATAATTCACTGATTTGAATGTCAAAAGCAGATAAAAAAAATATTTAAAAAAATAGTAAACTTAATATAAAAACAGAACCATACAAAGGACAATCAACATCAAATGGCATATAAAGGAATGGATGAGAATAGTCAATACTGAACTTCTGTTTTTTCTCTTCAACAAACACAAAAATAATTTCACCCCAAAATGTACAGGAATATTTTATTTATCAATTCTTATTACAATTGTATTGCACTATGCAAAGCTATCTAGGAATATACTACATCTGATCTCATAATGTAAATCTGAACAAAACATATGTAAACGTTTAAAAATTTCACAAATCAAAGCATGCAAGTGGACACACAAGTCACTACCACCAGACAGGCTGCTTGTGATCAAACAGACTACCCATGCAACATCCTAAACATTCATAACAACACTAGGCAAACAGTCAAGGTACTTAACCTCATCTAACTAAACATGGGTGACCAACTCAACTCAAGCGAATTACCAATACATAAATGCTGGAAGGTTTTATTTATTTAAGTAATTAGCTATAAATAAATAATTAAAATTGCTATGGTTTACTATTTGATGTGAGCTAAAATTCATTACAAAAAAAAAATATGTTTTACAGTATTGAATTAAAAGTAGGCATTCCACAGCTCTTATAAAAATTAGGAAAACTGGCTGGTATCAAACAGATTTAAAATTTATGTTGATTTGGAAGTGTGTAAAAAACATTTTTTTTTTAATTTTAAAAAATTCTAACTATTAAAACCATGTATTTACTCAATTACATTAATAAGCTGTTAATCATTATTTCATCTACTGATAATTTTTTTAAACAATTTTTTATATTAGACTAACAATAAAAACTGTAGAAATATTTTGATTAAAAGGTAGATAATACTAGTTACTTTCAGGAGGGATGATCATCAAAACTCAGCATTCACACAAGATTGAAAAATATACATTACAACACAGATAAGTGAATCCTTACAACCAGTATGCAAATATTACAACTATATGTGGTGCTGTCCCTTTAACTGGTGCACTAGAGTTAATCCCCCTTACACACTCTCTGCCCTCTAGCAAGGTGTGAACATGCAGGATGTTTCAAGTCTGCACAAATGTAAGCTATGGTTGAGGTCAAGGTAACAAATTCCACATCAGGAAAACCATGCATTAAAAAAAAACACCTAAGTCCAGGTGATTACACCAGGTGTTCTCTTCAAGACAACAAAATGTTCGTTACATGTATCAAAAATCTTTACCTCCACTATAATACCTTATCAAATCCTATGCCTTACAACCAAATGTTACTTGTATCAAAAATCTTTACCTCCTCTATAATACCTTATCAAATCCTATGCCTTACAACAAAATTTTACTTGTATCTGAAATCTTTACCTCCACTATAATACCTTATCATATCCTATGCCTTGAAACTTTTTTCTTCCGTTTCTCTTGCTAAAATTTCAAGCTTCTGTTTTTGGCTGTGGTAAAAAAAAACCTGGGCGGAATTTTTTTCCTTCTTAATTATCCTAAGGAAAGCACAACTTCGATAGACTAGCTAAAATGTATGAGTTTGTCTAGGTGTACCGTTGAGATGAATGGTGTTTAGCTCATCACCACAAATGAATTTCTCGAATTTCTCCTATTATCTGGCTAGCTCGCTGCAAGGCCTAAAAATAGAGAAAAATGTTAAAAAGTTAATGGCACAGTATGGTAGTTGTTAATGGCTGCTAACCTAAAGCGTTGAGTTCAGGTCCCTGGTTTGAGTCCATAAAACTCAGATGGGTACCTGACTTAGGTTAGGAAAAGTAAAGACGGCTGAGCATAGTGCCAAGATCACACTAACATTAACTCTACTTAGTCTGCCCCATAGACTGCAAAAGGGTAACTTACTTATTGAAAGTTTGCATCAAAATTAGAAAACTATATTGCATTGAACATAATCTACACTAGTGTGTATGCTACGTTACCTAAAGCATTAAATAATAATGTAACTGGTTCTTGATCTTGTTAAACCATATAAAATAATGGTAAACTATTAAATCATGTAAAATAAAAAATATTGATTGTCATATAAAACTGTAAATGATGATCTAAAACATGAAACAAAAGTGTGTCAAACCTGCAGCATTTCTGAGGCCTCTTTCCTCCGAGCTGCTATATGTACAGATTCCTCTAGAAGGGTCTCTATCTCTTCTTTCTTATACAGCTGGCTAACAAGTTCACTCTGTCAGGGACAAGAAATGTGTTGTGTTAAGTTATGGGGAGAGCGGGTGCAATCTATGTCAATGGGGTTGTTGTCTTAGATGATGCATGTAAGGCTGATCAAAGACTCACTGGCTGGACCTACCACACACCCAAAGTTAAAGTCACAATGGCATAGATTTGTTGATTTTTTTCTGGGATTAATGTTTTGTTTGTTTATTTGTAAAACATTATACTATTTAACCTCATCATTTTCCTGTAAAAGGCTTTTTCTTAATGCTTTTTTTAATGTATTATTTTAGTATATTTAGGTTGAAAAAAATTTTCTTCACACCTGGTTGAATGGTAAGTAAATTAATTTTTATGCCCATACTGTAACTGGTTAATATGTTTTAATGTATGTGTAAATTTTAAAATAATTTTTTATAAGTGTTGAAGTTGAAAAATGTAAAATCATTTTTATGCCCATACTGTAACTGGTTAAAGATCTGACCTACCTGAAGATGATCCTTCACATGGTTGACTAAGAAATGCATGATAGCCTTGGGTGTGCTATCCTGGATATTTTTCCGCACTATCATGAAGTAAGACTTGATCAAGCGCTCTGAACCAGAATAAAATATGTTAAACTTAGCAAGCAGCCAATGTTTATTTTAACTGATTTCATCTCATAACAATCCTGTCTTTATGTAATATAAACTCATATAAGCAAACAGACCCACAAGCTCCATACAATAAACAATACATCTTCACTTATTATTAATTTACACAATGATTAACTTAAAAAAAAACTCGATTCATAACTTACATTAAAACAAATAAAAATGTAAAAAAATATTAATAATTTACACCATATACAAAATAAATCAACTGATTTGTTATTTACATAACAATAAATAATATCTCAACTGACCAACCCATAACTTGCAGCAACATAAAAGTAAATAAAACTGACCTATAACCTCACAATCTCTTTGTTCCCTCTGTGACAGTTTCATAACAGGCTGCTCTGGCTGGTAGATATGTGTTAGTGTTAATGATATGTGTGTTAATTAGTGTCTTAGTTAATGATAATGAGAAAATCTACATTATTAATTAACCCTTTCAATCAGAGCTTGCTCACCAACAAAACAAAAGCTACATTCAATCATCAAACCATTCAATTGAAAAGATTTTTGTTTTTTTCTCCAACCCATGTGTGACAACATGGTTGGATGCTAACCCAAATGTCAATGGTTCCAAGGCTTTAGTCTGTAGTATATCCTCCAGTCTACCCAGCTCTGATTGGTGCCTGACTTACATTAGGGAAAGTAAAGGCATAGAACTGACCACACCAAATACTGAGGTCACAGAAACAGTTAAACATCTTTGCCAAACGGAATGGCCCACCAAATATAAAAGGGTAACTTTACTTTAGGAATTATACTGACACGTCCACTGTGTTAATTCTGTTCAAAGATAAAACAAAATGAAAAAATATAACATGTTGCCAGCAAAAAACAAAATCAAGACAACATACCACTTCAGGCAACAGGTTGATCCCCTTCTTGGAGCGTGACGGGGAGGGGGAGGCACTGTTAGCGCCGCTGCCAGGTAGTGAGTTGGACGGCTCCGAGGACCTGTCACTGGCCGCTGTGTCCAAGCGGTTGGACCGGATGAGGTTTGTGATCTTCCACGAGCCACCATTCATGTTGTCCGTTATAGGAGGTGGTGTGGCCTAAAAAACAAGGGCAAATTTTTAGGAAATTAAAAAATATTCTAACAAAAACAACTTGATGCTGATGAACAAATGTTAACTTTGTAGAAAATTTAGCAATAAAAATATACTCCTTATTTAAGCTAATGGTTAATTATTTTAAAATCCAGTTTTGTTTTAGTATCCATTTATTGAGTAATAGTTTCTGGTAAATAAAAATTGAGTATTATTATTGCTGTTAGGCACTAAGAGGCTTAGATAAATACATACCAAAAGACAACTCAAATAGGTCTATGAAATTGGAATATCAAATACAAGTAAACCTCAAACAAAAAAAAATAAAACATTTTGAATTTCAAAAAACCCGATTCCAAAATAATTAACAGTATCAGAACAAGAGTAAAAAAAAAATGTTATAATGTCAAAAACTCTCCACAGTAACTCTCAACCATAGTTGTTTCAATATTCAAAGTAAGGTTTCCACTACAAAGTTTTTTAAAAATTAAACACATGGGATGTTAACCACCAATAACTACCATTCAAGACCAAGTTATAAAAATATTAACAAACAAACGCATTCAAATTTCATCTATGACTCACTAAACACAGCAGTTCTTCAAGTCACACAATGAGACAAGTAATGGACTCTAGGCTCCATGCAGCAGAGATCTGACAATATGATGACAACAGCAAAGACAACTAAACACCTTAACTATATTACTATTCTTGCTCCAGAAGGATTAAAGATTTTTAAAAATGTTTTCAAAGAACAAATATTAAAAAGTATATATTAGGTTGAGAATTGCTGAATATGATGGCAAAATGTTCATTTTTAAACAGAACTACCAAATTTTTTTTTAGATTTTAAATAGGCCTACTGTAAGCCACAAAGTGTTAGATAAAAATCTGGCCAATGCAACAAGAAATGTAACAAGCTGAAGCACTAAGTGGCTACTGATAGACAACCTGTACCTTATCTGGTTTCTTTTCTCTAATAGCATGAGCAGAACCATCTCCCGGCACACTCCGTACATTTGTATAGGAAGAAGTTCCCTTTATATACATTTACACAGCGTGAGTTACATTATTTTAAAGAATTCATTTCATCCTCAACACAAAAAAAAATTGGTACAGATATCTTAAGTTTTGTTAAGAAATGGTAGAGCTATATTAGGGTATTTTTGTTAATTTAAAAATACATGGATTAGGTTGCCTGATGTCGCTAATTATAAACATACCCTAATCAGTATAAAAAATAAGTCCAATAACAACTATTTACTTTAAATTCAGTGTCTGCCTGATAACAGAAGGCCAGAAAAGTATGTTTTTAACACTTGGAAAATAATTCAGGCATTGAGGGGGGTTATATCCCAAAAAGCGAACTTTTTAAGTTTTTTAAAGTCCTGGAATGATTGTTACACAGCAGAGGTCAAGCTATGCTTAGTAGAGCAATGTGCGTGTTCTGTGCTTGTGTCAACACTCACCCTATCCTTATGTGTGTGTCTAGTGTGTGTTCTGTGCTTGTGTCAACACTCACCCTATCCATATGTGTGTGTCTAGCATGTGTCAACACTCACCCTATCCTTATGTGTGTGTCTAGCATGTGTCAACACTCACCCTATCCTTATGTGTGTGTCTAGCATGTGTCAACACTCACCCTATCCTTATGTGTGTGTCTAGCATGTGTCAACACTCACCCTATCCTTATGTGTGTGTCTAGTGTGTGCCGTGAATGTGTCAACACTCACCCTATCCTTGTCCTCCTGGATCTTCTCCAACACATTCCTCTGGCTCAGGGTCCTCTGAGCGTCAGTCTCACTCATCCCACTCATCATGGCCCTGTGGACTTGGTGGGCCTCAGAAAAGTCTGGATGTTTTGTATTGATGTAAGCCAGTTCTATCTGAACTAAATTTTCTACCTGCACATGAGGAAAATTTGTTGGATCATTGTACTGATTCATCTAAAGTATATTTTCTAAGTGGACAAAAGAAATTTAACTTCCATTTTAGCATAAATAATAAATAACTGCATATAATTAATTAAATATCAAATTTTTCAAATTCTTAAAAAATCTTATTTCCAAAATTCATTAAAAACCTTATTTCCCAAGCTCATTAAAAATCTAAATTTCCCATTAGAATTTGTCTATAAATTTCTATTCTTTGTTGTTTTTTTTACTAGCCGTTGCAGCGTACAATATTCAAGTAAAATTTCTGGTAGATGAGTGGTTCAAAAATGTTCATCTAGAGTTTTTAAGTATTTGAAAAATGTAATATGGAAAGAAAAAAAATATTGTGACAAGGAAACTCAGGCACTTATGAATACAAACAGCATCATTAATGCTTGAAGATTGTAAGAAACTTATCAGTTACCATGGCATTTGTTGGAGGTAATCGCTGGCGTAAGGAATTTGTTACCACATCCACTATCCGTTCATGAAGTTTTGGAAAGCGCAACATTTCTTGCTGGAGAAAGAAAAATAGAAATTTACAAGTACTGCTATGTAAAACAGGTCTACAGAATGTATCAGAAGTCTGCTGTGTGGTTACTTAATATAATTCAGGTAATAAAAGGGCTTTTGTAAAACACAGGTACACTATTCTTATCAAGGTTTACAGAATGATAAATTACTTAATTTGCTTTAAGGAATATTAGTATTAAAAGATAATTTATTCTAAATTGATAATATTATGCGTCTTCATGCCAAACACTTACATTTAATTTGCTTTAAGGAATATTAAAGGATAATTTATTTTAAATTGATAAAACACATACATTTATTTTGCTTTAAGGAATATAAGTATTACAAGATAATTTATTCTAAATTGGTAACATTAAGTGTCTTCATGCTAAACACATACATTTAATTTGCTTTAAGGAATATTAGTATTAAAAGATAATTTATTCTAAATTGATAATATTAAGTGTCTTCACACCAAACACACACATTTCATAAAAAAGCTCTGGGAAGAATATTTTTTGGTTAGGTGATTCAACACCTGACCCCTAAAACCACTGACCTGTGTGCCGCAATGTTGTATCATTCTTTGCATCTCCTCATGAACTAGTTCCACACATCTTAAACTTGGTTCCTCCAGCCTGCGAATCTGTCTCTTCACCAGCAGCTCAAAGGATATTTCTGGGACAAACAGCGCTGGTCTTGGACCCTACATTTATAAAACAGCTTCGTCAATAAATGGACTAATAAAAAGCTTAGAGTATTTTATAAATGTATAGAAATTTAACTTAAGTAACTAACTACCTAAACATAGTTTCAGGTTTTCCAAGGAAAATATTTTTTTAAAATTACTATAAATAGAAGAAAAAATATACCTTTTTTTTAAATTTCATTTATCAAAATTTTGTAGTGAATATTTTCCTAAAAACAAAAACTAGATATTTTTTTTTATCTTTGAAAAATATTTTATAAAAATTGTATAGTTATCTTACACACAAAAGTGGCTAAGATGAAAGAAGCTTACCGTAGCATTTCTGATAGCGGTTAGAATATCTCTAGTATTTAGCCCTCCCAGAGGATCGACAGACTCAAGTGTTCTACCAAAAGTTTCGTGAAATATGTAACAAATGCGTGCACCGCCACAACTGTTGATTTAGAGAGTGTGAAAATAGTCAGTCAAGTACAAACAAGATAACATAACTAATGCCACATTTTAACTGTTGTAGTGTCAAAACTTAGTGTTTAGATTGAGTAGCTATAGTGCTGTGATCATGTGAATTAGTTTAAGAATGTTTTAGATTGAGTAGCTATAGTGTTGTGATCATGTGAATTAGTTTAAGAATGTTTTAGATTGAGTAGCTATAGTGTTGTGATCATGTGAATTAGTTTAAGAATGTTTTAGATTGAGTAGCTATAGTGTTGTGATCATGTGAATTAGTTTAAGAATGTTTTAGATTGAGTAGCAATAGTGTTGTGATCATGTGAATTAGTTTAAGAATGTTTTAGATTGAGTAGCAATAGTGTTGTGATCATGTGAATTAGTTTCAGAATGTTTTAGATTGAGTAGCAATAGTGTTGTGATCATGTGAATTAGTTTAAGAATGACAAGGCATAGTGGGGCGGGGGTGTTGGATGGTAGAGCATATGTCAGCCAACACCTAAGTCTTTGAGTTCAAATCTGGGGTTCCTGTCAGAAGGACATCCCTTACCAAGCAGCTGGGTATAGTGCTGACCACACTATCCCTTCATATGCTGAGGTCACTGAAACAGGTAAACCCACTCCACCTGCCCCATGGACTGTCAGGTTTGCAAGAGTACTGGACTTACTTTAGTAACAGAGCATAACTATTGTCATCCATACCAAGTGTGAATATATAAGCTAAAATCAGAGTTCACAGTGATAACTTTTAGAGCTTCACTACACACACAAACAATAATAATGTAGGCTTACAGTTCCGATGTTTCTATATTTCTTGATGTTCCCTCTATTGTGTTACAATAAGCTGAAGCAAATCTTGTTATAATTTGTAAAAGAAGCTGACTCTGTAAAAGAAGTAAAAAAAAACTTACAATCAAACATGATGTAAGATATATATTTTATTTTTAAAATTAGTATACAAATTTAGTTCATATTTATAGAAGAAGCTGACAAACATGTACACAATCTTAAAAACACACATGGCTTCAGATTTCAAAACAACCATTCCTATGAAATAAAAGTAGAAAGTAAAATGGTACCTTGTCACTGATAGGTTCACCAAATGAATTTAGAAGAGACTGGAACTGAGCAATAAGTACATTGACTCTGGTCTTTAGCTCAGGCAAGCAATCCCTGATGTGGTGCATCAAGAGCTGGCGAGGGAAAACATGTATGCCATAAAAACAGGTTTAATTAGGGGGATCATGCTTGAATGTGAATACAGATTTTGTAGTTTTCAGGCTTTCACTGACAAACTTGACCATCTTTCCTTTAAATTTTTTATATTTAGGACAGTGTGGTCCCTCTGAACAAGCAAGTTATATCGTATTGCAATGTTAGTTATATTTTTATAATGACTTACTCTGTTTAAAGTTTTTGCTAGGTATGGTGTTCCATTACGATTAGCTATTGATGGATATTTTTTCTGAAGAAATGATGCTTCATCTTTTAAGGAATCTGCCAGATTCTGAGTGATAGAAACATTTTAAAATATAAATACATACAGAAATAAACAAATCAGAGACTATAACTATAGAGGGAAAAAATGTAACAAACATTTTTATTTGATGAACAATACCTTTATACTAAAAACTCTTTGACACCATTAGAAGTAAATCCAACATTATCTTATTGATGTTCAACAGAGCATTAATTTTTTATTATTATCACCATAACAACCTTTTTGTTGTTTATATCAGCTTAACATGGTAATGCTTGGCTAACCTTTTTGCTGCTTATATCAGCTTAACATGGTAATTCATGGCTTACCTTTTTGTTGTTTATATCAGCTTAACATGGTAATGCTTGGCTTACCTTTTTGCTGCTTATATCAGCTTAACATGGTAATTCTTGGCTTACCTTTTTGTTGTTGATATCAGCTTAACATGGTAATTCTTCGCTTACCTTTTTGTTGTTGATATCAGCTTTACATGGTAATTCTTGGCTTACCTTTTTGCTGCTTATATCAGCTTAACATGGTAATTCTTTGCTTACCTTTTTGTTGTTGATATCAGCTTGACTGCGGTTGACAACTCCGATGATCCCCAACTTGACTGGGATGACCCGACCACACAAGACGTCCATGGCGTCTGTGCCAGCGTCCATCAAATCTAGTTTTGTGATGACAGCCAGAGTTCTTCTGCCTGAAGATCGACAAATAATGGAATAATTACAAGGGATATCTACAGGTTTTATTTACAAGGAAGCCAAAAATAAAAAGTTGGTTTCAATTTTAAATCAACTGACAAGTATCTTGTTAGAAATGTATAAATGTGATGATTGATTTTTTGACACACCAATCATCTATATATATAATTCACTACATCACCAACCTTGCGAGACACCACGCCAACTCACTAACCCTCTTCCCGCCCCCTTCCTTGCTCTCCAGGCATGCGCAACAGTGTGTAGCCACACACCCCATTTGAAAAACTGTCTTTCAGGAAGTCTTCACCCGTCGCAAATAGCGGCGAATGCTACGCAGCAAGTCGGCTCGTTAGATAATATATCAACTATTGCATGTCAGAAGGTCACTAAAATGGAGACCCAAAGTAACACAAGGATGTTGAGAACTAGAGACTGATGTCAAACTAGATCCCACTTAAGACCAGGAAATGACATCAAAATGTCAAAGTTAGAACCAACGTGCCAGTACAAAAGTGTTGAAAAGTTGTAGTTAGTGACCATGGGGTTTTGATGGGTAATGATATTTAGAAAACAACCTACCATCAGGATCAAAGTCTCGAGCTAATTTTAAGGCCTCAGAGGTGGCGAAGTCTGTGTTTGCTGCAGTGACTGCTAGGATAACTGAGTTGGGGTTGGAGATGTAGTGGATGGCTAGGTCACGGATCTGGGCCTCTATGTCTGGGGGCTGGTCTCCCACTGGGACTTTGGTCAGCCCAGGCAGGTCGACAAGAGTAAGATTTACAACTTTGTTGGAATAGATCTTCAATGTGATGGGCTCTGCGCAGATGCCCTGCGGTCAAGAAAAAAAGTAGTTTGAAAACATAATCAGTTCAAATAAAGAATGAAGTTGAAAATTTTTTTTTAAACAAGCCCTTATTATTCATTAAATAAATATTTGTTTAATTTCTATGGTAACTTCCTTTTATACAGATAATTTAATATTTATCTATATAATTTAATTTATCTATATAAATTTAATGGGCAAGGTAGCTAGAATTAGGAGTAAAGTCTATTTGATTATAAGAGTAAAGTCTACTTGATTATAAGAGAACTGAGAACCAACAATACTGGCTATTTTAAAACTAAGTTATACTTACAACCTTGATCAGATATTAATTACACAATGATTATCCAGTCACTAATTAACTAAGCAAGAGCAGAAACAATGATCTGATGATGTGTAAGCATTAACCATTCGCCAACCTTGTTGGTCCCGGACATGCGATCTGTTTCATTTTCAATTTCTTTGCAAACTTCTTGAAAATCTGTGTAAATTTTGTTCTTGGTGTGGAGAAACTTCGCCCACTCTCTGGCTGCAACTTTCTCTATGGGGGACAAATAGTCAGAATGTTTTGTGTCTTTTTTATATCCACTTCTTAATTATCTTGTTAAAAATAAATTTGTTTAAAGGGTATGGTTAAGGAATGCACAACAGCCAGCCTAAATATCCCAAGCTCTAATTCCGGGTTCGAGTCAGTAGGACATCCCTGAGTCCACCAAGCTCTGATGGATACATGACTTAACATTTGGGAAATGAAACTGACAACACTATGCTTTCAAATGCAGAGGTCACAGAAACAAATAAACCTCTATTTAATCTGCCATATAGACTTGTAGTTCTAAAAGGGTAACTTGTCTGCTTACGCTGATAGTTGTTATTGAAATCAGGCAAAGAAAATGAAAGCACACTCAATAAATACCTTACATCAAATAACAGTCAGTCTTGCATAGATTTATGTTGTTATAACTAACTTACGCATATCATCTGTACTTGGCTTGTGGTTGTCATTTGAAATATGTAGAAGCTGCAGCACAAGAGGTCTGCGAGTCACTATGCCAGTCCCCCTAGGCAGAAAATCATGACCCACCAGGGTCTCTAGTACAGAACTTTTTCCCGAACTCTAAAACGATGATAAACAATTCATTTTGTTATTATTTAATATTGCACACTAACACATTTGAAAGTAAAAAAAAAAAAAAAAAAAACAATTATTTTTATGAGTTATATTTTTATAAATTATACTAAGTAGCACTTATAAGTCATGTTCAAGGCTTAATTTGTATTTAACAGTAGCCCTAGCAGTGTAAGTCTAGTAATTACATGCAAGTAGAGCATTATATAAAATAAGTAAATAACTATTCTTTTCAAAAGAAACTGTTAATAATTTAATGATAATTAGGCCAATAAAATTAAAACTAACTTTAACATTGTTTGCCTGCAATTCATATGTATAACTGTTTGTTAGATTTCTTATACTTAGGCCTATACAACATATCTTTTTCAAAAACTTGGGTGCACTAAAGCCAGAATTTTAGTGTGAGAGCAAATGACTAAATAATAGATGATTCAATTCAACATCTTGGCTTGTGTTGTAAATAGTCTGATATTTGGCACCATTTTAAAGTTGAAATTATAGTTAAAAGCATATTTCTGTTCTTTATATTTATAATATGGTAGGCTATTAATTTAAATTAGCCTAAATCTAATTAATAGGGCAACATATTCAAAATCTATATTAACAATAGATGATAACTTTGATGCAATTTTGCTGTATAGACCCATTGCAGCATGTGAATAAGATGGAAATCAAAGAGAAAGTCTCCACATGCAACAAGGTATACATGAAGGGCCATAACAATACAAAGTGAAAAATGAGATCTGTAGGATTAAGTACACAAAACAAACAACAGAAAATTAAGAGCTGCTAGAAATAAAGAAAACAAGTTAATTAAAAAGTCTAGTGACAATTTTAGCGCAATTTCCTTATGTTATCTAAAAATAGCTCTGTCGTAGCGTAAATCAAGAGCAGGGTTAGTAAAACCATTGGTCAGTTATTAAAACGTTTTTTATTAAATAAACCTAACTACTAACTAAACTAAGCACCTTGAAATCAAGAGCAGGGTTATTAAAACCATTGGTTAGTTGAACTTGATTATCAACATGATAATCATTAAGATGATAGATCTCTACTTCTGGCATGTATATACAACCACACCACACGCGTCATCACGTTCAATAGATGCGTCATCGCGTTCCATGGCTGCGCCATCACGTTCAGTAGGCGCGCAAGTTAATTAAAAAAGTCTAGTGACATTCATGCGCAATTTCCTTATGTTATCTAAAAATAGCTCTGACGTATAATGATGGGGTGCGTTCAAGCTAGAAGAGCGATCGGTTTGTAGGTGTTTATGTAATTTTAAAATTTGTGACCGAACGAGAGGATATTTTTGAAAACTGTCTTCGGCAATATTGTTCTAAATTATGGCAGGAATCGATCGGTACATGTTTCAAGTCGCTAAGTGGTCTGGTTGCCGAGATATGGGCCAAAAACTGCATTTTTTCGAGGTTTTTTGGCTTTTACGGGAAATACATGAAAGAAACCCGGAATTTTTATGGCCTATGCTCATTCTTGTAACTTGCTTAACATAATTGCTTTTGGAACTAGTCATCGATATTGCTTCGTTGAGGAGGAGATACGACTTAAAGCCCGGACACACATTCATCCATTCATTCATTCATCCATCCATCCATCCATTCCCAGAAATGACGAGTTAATAAACGCAATTCTCCAGAATGGAAATTGCGCTAAAAACACCTGAGAGAGAAAATCCTCTAGGAAAGACAAGGACCAACAGATGAAAATGAATGGAGAATTTGAAACTGACAGTGATATATGAAATGTACAAAGATTTAATAATAGTAGCAGAAATTTAAAAAAGAAGACTGCAATCGTTATGTTTTCCAAAAAGAAGAAATAGTATAGACCTTGGCCCTATAGTAAAATTAGTTGATTATAGGGCCTATATAAAATATATAAACAAAGTCCCAAAGCTTGGAGTTTAATCAAAGATGAACATGATAAGTCTGGGTGGGAATGCTGGGGAAATAGTGGTGATGCTGGCCAGAACTCTCCCAAATAACATACTAGAACTAGAATGGACTTCTAAACTAGCTAGAGCTGGGGGCTACTGGGATGGATGATCATTTAATTTATGAATTGATAAGCTGATTATGACTTTATTTAATATTTATTTATACTTAAGAAATGGGCCTTAAGTCGCCTTAAGAGTTTGTCGCTAGTCTTAACTGCCTATGTCATTTTTGTGAGTCAGAATGATCTTTTAACTTATTATTATTATTCAGATTCTAAATCTAGATAAGGCTAGACTGGAGTGCCTAGAGTAGGAGTAGAGTAGGTGACTGGATTGTCTGATCTAGAACTCAACTCATTCTATCATTCTAGATTCCTAGATCTATATCTTCTCTGGATCTAGAATTTACTTGACACTAGATTTCTAGATCTAGATCCTACTTATAAACTAGTCTAGACTAGTTAGTAGTTCGTTTAGTAATATAATAAAGATAATCTAGATCTAGAATTTGAGAATCTAGATCTTAGATTAATGATTAAACTTTTAAGTGTCGTTGTGTACAAAGCTGAGTCGTCAAATCCTTAGGCCTTAGATAAATTGAAAATTCATCTTTAAAATTAAAATAATTTGCTGTGCCAAAAAAATCTAGGCCTATTTCTTTAGGCTATTTTAGATCTATCTAAAGTTGTACAACACAATACCAACCTGATTTCCTAACACTACAATTTGTGGTAGTTGAATCGTTTCAGACCCAACGGTATTAAATACATCTTGAAGTTTGTTTATGACTGGAATTAATGATTCCATTTCGTCTAAGAACTGACGAAACTGATGTCGGTCGGGGTTTAGAGGGCAGATAACTCTGGATATTATTCAACTTCCGGGAAGGGATGTCACTAAGAAAATAGTTTCAAGGATACTGCTCGCAGAAATGAATGTTGTTTGCTGAAGTAATCTGATACAGGTACGTTGACACTGTTTAGCTCACGACTACACTCCAGTCTTATAATTATGCTCACTACTAGGTCTAGAATATTAATCTAGATTCTAAAAGTCTACTTAAAATACTGCCTTGTGGCTACCTTGAAAAAACAAAAAGTTGTCAAATAGCCTACTCACACTGACTGTCACTGACTAGAAAAAAATCTAGATCTTGACTAGGCCTAGGGCCTAGATCTAGAATCTATCTAGATCTTCTAGATCTAGATCTAGGTTAGTTAGAATTAGATCTAGATTCTACTAATTCTACTGAGACTGAGTACTTCACACCGCTGCCCACTACTGCAGAGTCCGACAATCTGAGGTAATCTATCGTTTTAGGTATGTAAAATTGCCCGCAACTAGAAATGTGAAAAACAGTTGACTCCTTAAATTTTAATAATTATTTCACATTTTGAGGAGGATTTATGTTTTGAAAAATACAAAAAAAAAATGTTTCCTTGTTTCATTTATTTTAATTACCTACAACTGAATTAAAACTTTTCAGTAATAAATGAAGACTAGCAATGTTTCCAACAGATGCAACCATCATTCCATGCTCATTTACTATAGCAGCCATCTTGTTTATTATTTTTTTATTGTAGACTTATAGCGCTAACCCTAAAGCCATATAATAAATAGCACTTTATTTTCATATTACTAGCTTCAGCCGATTTTTACGCACCTCAAACGATAGATTACTGGGATCGGTTTAGCATCACCTTTTTTTATACATTAGCTAGCTATGTGTGTATTTTAGTTTACTACCAGTAACCTAGCACCCCCTTTTAAAGTAGATTCTATTATCGGACACTGGTATATGACCTTAATTCCACCCCTCAAGTTTTAGGCCTATATGATGTTGAATTAAAGGGGACAAATTCATTATTGAAATAATTTTTGTGCACTGATATAGTCTAACCTAAATAACACGAAAACAACTAGGTCACACTGATGCGGTTTGTTTGTTAACATAGTATGACTAGTACATACTACAAGAAAACATTGCTGTGAAGGAAGGCAATAGTTTTTTATTTGTTCTTTATAAATCTAGGTTTGTTATGGACATTGTAGTAAATTTTGGGTGTAGTGTTTTAAATTGTATAATCTACCCTAGGATAAATAATGATAGATTTATAACCTGTTATATATTGTTTGTATTTTAACTAAGCCTAATCAGTATAAACATAAATTATTTATTTGTATTTTTAAATGATCTTATTTTCAGAAATACAAGATCCATAATGAGTGAGTATGCAAGGCGCATAGCGTTCCTCTCAGCTCGCATATTTGGTGAAGTTGTTAAAGGAACAAGCTACAGAAATGAAAAAATTGTGAAACAAATGGCTGCCCTGCCACACCATAAAAATCCATTTTATACACACTACTACCCACCTTATCAGAAGATAGATCTTGCTATGCTAAATTTACGGAAGCATGGCTTATTCAGGTAATAAAACTTTAAAACTGCTAGTAATGACTAATCTCTTTTTAGAGTTTAGGTATAGTAATCATCAGTAGCAATGTCATTAAATAATAAGGTTCAAATTGCTTTGTCATTCATCTGTTCTGTTTTAACTGTAAAGTCCTAAATTAGGCCTTTTAATCTTATTAGTAGTACCCTTTCAAACCTGATGGTCCATGGGGAAGGTGAAGTAGAGTTCACTGTTTCAGTGACCTCTGTATGTGAAGGAATATTGCCATCAATACGATGCTCACATTCCAGCTGCTTTTATTTTCCCTAACATTAGTTATCTACCCATCATAGTTGTACTCTGGTATAATCTTGTTTTCATCAATTAGTTAGGCTATTGACTATAGGAAAATACTTTCATTAATGAGCCGAAATGATTCATGTTTTTAATACTTTCCTTCAGAGACGAGCATCAAGATTTTGTTGAAGAAATGACCAGACAAAGAATACTACGTGGCAAAGTAAAGCCAAACAAAGGAGAAGGAAAGAGAGCCATGAAGAGGAAAGCAAGTGGTCAATGAAGAGGGAAGCTAGTGGTCAATGAAGAGGGAAGCTAGTGGTCAATGAAGAGGGAAGCTAGTGGTCAATGAAGAGGAAAGCAAGTGGTCAATGAAGAGGGAAGCTAGTGGATAACTTGTTTGAACTGTATTGTGTACATGTTTATAGTTGGCTGATCTGGATGTGGGTAGCCTATGCTTGACTGTTGTATTTGTGAGTGTTCAGAGAGAAATTTTTATTTGAGAGTAGATGGATACCTGATTTTAAATGTTTATGTATGTGATTGTTAATAAAAAATCAAATTCATAAAACGTTGCTTATTTTTCATAAAGCATATTTTTGTTCTGTGTATTGTTATAATTTCCTACGGGAGTACAATAGGTAAACATTTCCTGGTTGTTTTTTTATATGTGACTCATGAATGATAATGAGAATTATGGGTTTGGATCTGTAGATTATCCTTGAGTCATCCCAGCTCTATTTGGTAAATCCATTTTCTGCATATTACTGATAACAAAAATCATTCTAACTGCGTGTACTACAAAAGCAATTTAACTGTATCATAAAAAGTGGCAACATTTGTTTTTTATCCTGTGTTTGTGTCAGTGAGAAAAAAATTGGATAACTAAATAGGAATGGAGATGTTAACTGGACCATAAAGAAAGTCACATTTTTTTAAAAGGGGGGGGGGGGGGGCTTCATTCCTTTTGCATATTAAAAAGTAATGTTAGAAACTGAATTTTAGCCAATATTTTGCTCTTTTTCAAAGTCCTCTTATTTTGTTAAAATAGATAAAAACAATGTGTAGGCTGACCTCAGTAAATATTTTTGAAACAAATTTCTGTTTTTAAGAAACAAAAATTAGAGTTTTAGTAGGCTGAGATTCCATGTAACTTTTCTGTTGGGGTGGGAGGGAAGGTGTATTGTCTTGCTCCAGGATATATATACTTTACTAGCCGTCCCGGCCAGGCCCTGCTCTGGCTTCTGTGAAAAACCTTTCCGTTAAAGACCATTACCTGTGTGTTTAGAAATCATCATAAACCCAGCATTGCCCACCCAAACCACAACCAACCAAAACAACAAAACGCAAACATAACGCTAACACAATTAGAAATACAAACGAAAACAAAAACCTAACAACAAACCCAACCACAACCACAAACACCAATACAAACACAAAGAAAAAACAAACGAAAACAAAAACCTAACAACAAACCCAACCACAAACACCAATACCAAAAAAAAAACAACGAAAAAGCAAACGAAAACAAACCAAATCCAAACGCAAAACCAACCAAAAACACAAATACAAACCCAAACAAAAAAAAAACGCAAACAAAAACGAAAAAAGAAAGAACAAAAACGAACCAAATCAAAACGCAACCACTAACGCAAACCCACCTAAACACAAAGAAAACACTAACGCGAACATAAACGCCCGGGGCAGAATCGCCTGTTTTAGCTTAATAAACGACTATAGTACCCCAACTTATTCATAGTTTTTGCACTCACTTAAACGAACGCGCCTGTTTCAATTTAATGAACAATTATAATACTCCAAGCTTATCCGTAAAATACCTACAACATTTGCACTTGATCAATCCCCGCTAATTATGTAATTATTTTTTTCCCAACACCAAAACAAAGTAATTAAAAAGTAAATGCTTTTCAACTAATGCTATGGTTTTATAAAGGGAAGTAATTGTGTTTGCTTTATTTATCAAAGGGAAGTAAGCGCTATAGGACTAAAGAAAGACATAATTAGAATTTTTGTAAAAGATGATATTTTTTTTAAAACTTGTGTTTAATGAACATGCCGACAATTATTACTATAATTTGAAAAATGAAAATGATTTCCCAACACTTTTAATAGTAATTTTTTAACTCATAAATTTAGACAACTGCGCACGATAATTGATCTAACACTTAAATCCGTAGAAATGCCAACGACAAACATATGCGTTACAGAATTGAGCTTTATATATTAGATACACATCAACACAGATATATATTTGTATATAAAAAAAAAAAAAAACAAAAAAGAAAAAAAAAAAAAAAAAAAAAAAAAATATATATTTGTATATATATATACATATATTTATATGGGACGGGGTGGTCTAGCGGTAGAGAGCTGGCCTGCTAACCCGTAAGTCTTCGAGTTCGAATCCGGGTTCAAGTCACTAGACCGTCCCTGAGTCCACCCAACTCAGATGGGTACCTAACTCACATTAGGGAAAGTAAAGGCGGCTGGGCATAGTGCTGACCACAATATCTCTTAATATGCCGAGGTCACTGAAACAAGTGAACTCTACTTCACTTGCCCCATAGACCGTCAGGTTTGAAAGGGAAACTTACTTACATATATTTATACATATATATACAGTGCAGTCACAGTATTACATTCTGTTACTCCAGTTAAATTGATCATACTTTAATCATAGTAAAAACAAAAATTTTAATTCCTTATTGTTTACAGACAACATTGTAATTATAAATAACCATGCAATTCTGATACACTTTGGTTTAAATATAATTTAATATACCACACAGCAACATCCATTTTTTTGTTTTCAAGCATCCACTACAGCTCAAGTTAAAAATACATCAATATAAGAAGGAAGGTGATGGCTACAATCACAAGAAGGGGACCAAGAAAGTGAATGCTTGTGAGTGAGTTCTGTGGCTTAGGAGTTTGTGTGAAGCTCAGAGCTACTTTACAGGCTTGTCTTGTGGTGGCGCTGTTCGGATCCTCATTAGGTACACGGGCTAAGATCTGAACACAAACAGTCTTGTTAGAATATTGTGTGCATTCATTTTTAAACATGAAAAACAAAATCCCATTTACAGATGCTAAAATACTGAACACTATTATTTTAACAGTAAATATCGTTTATTGTAAGCTATTAATTAAGTGAATTAACGTATTTTACATTTCTTGAATCGAGATCTCAGTTGCTAAGACGTGAAGAGTCTTACTGCTTTATGGCCCGATAAAAGATGTCATTTCTATATGCTGTTCACTGCCATCAAAATCTATTCATTTTCGTTCATCACAAACAATATAAACTCTCCTACATCGTACAAAATCAGCTGACCGCCACATAGATACCCCCGCCCCCGAACGGAATGGAACTTATATAGAAAACATACTTTTACCAGTGTTAGCCCACCCCCCTTCCTCCCTCAGAAACACTGTAGATGAGTACTGAACAACTTTGTTAAGTCACATGAATAATTAATTCCTCTATGGGGAAATCAATGTTGACCTAGTCCATCTTTTTAACATATAGAACCACTGTGTCCCTAACCCTAAAGCGCACTTAAAACCCAGATACAAAACCATGTTTCGCTGTAATGTTTGTGGTGTTGGTTTATAGAGTTTATACTATTTATAGTGATAGAAAAACAAAGATTTAAAAACAAGAATCGGATTTTTGCTCCGGTTGTTCAGATCTCAACTGACGATTCCTAATACACCTTACAAACGCCAAAAGGGAATTTACTCCATGTTTCTTAACATGACTACCATGGTTAGCTCCCCTGTATGTTGTGAAATACGACACCAACTACCTGATCTGTGCAACTTCAGATGAGGTTTTCTTTTACTTTTAGGCTCTTTTCTCCAGAGGGAGGCACTTACAATTTTCAGTGGGGAGAAAGGGGCACTTGAATTTCTGAGTGGGGGGGGGGGGGGGGGAGACGCTGGGTAAAATATATACTTTATATATAAAGTATTTTAAGAAAATGTCCTCCCAAAGAGAATCTCTGCTCCTTAGATCCCAGAATATTTTGAGACTCGGAGTACTGAAGTAAGAGCACAATCATATCTACCTCGGAAATATAGCGGGCATTCATGGCCTTGACTTTATCAATGGAGGTCGAGTTGAGCATGATGTGGGCAGCCTCCCCCTTCCTGATCTTGACGGCCCCGTGAAAGACCTTCGGGTTGTTGTAAAGGCTGCTTAGTGTGGCGATCCCCATGACCTGTGGACATGACGTCATCGATTAAGGGGGAAGGCTCCGGTAAAAAAAACTTTTTTAATACTCGTTAGAAAACAGTTATTTCTTTACAGCTTTATTAAGATACATCCGCATATGCTTTTCCACTAAAAAAAATTTTGAAAAAATCTTGGTAACTATGACAACGGCGGCCATCTTGAAAAATTAACCCCTTCGTAGGTTTTCCACCATTCATAAAGTATTACACTTTAAGCCCAATAAACAATCAATTCATAATATTCTTCCATATTTTGGGGTAATCAGCTAAAAATTTTAAGTGCATATCTTCAAACTAATTTTTTATGAATTTTCAAAATTTGTGTCCGTTCAAAACACTTAACTTTGGGGAATTTTGGGGCATTAAAACTAGTTTTTTTTTACCGGAGCCTTCCCCCTTAAAATAGATTGACAGCACTCAGTGCATTGGCAACTTTGATTGGAATAGCCCAAATAACCCTCGTTTTTTTTTTTCTTTTTGTTTGTTGTGAACTTTATCATGGAAAGGGATAAAATATGTTCAACTTTTTTGTTCATAAGTATTGTGTGTGAATATGTTATGCGAAATATGGCCTGTTCCGCCGACTTTACTTTCCGAATGTGTTTTGATATTCTATGTCCACTCAAGAACACCTGGATTGCAAAGCATCAGTTGATTGATTTTTAGAGATGTCGGTCTTAGATGATTTACTGATCTAGCTAGCTGGTCTCATCTGCCCGGGGAGGGGGGGACCGAACTTGGGGCTTTCATGTTGTGTACGCTATCACACGTTCATGTCGTTTACATTTGGTGTATAGTGTAGTTAGTGATAGAGCGTGTTGCGTGTACTCTCGTTAATCGGACTATCGTGCACCATCCATTCCTGAGTCCACCCAGCTTTGATGGGTACCGGTAGGTAAAACAGAGTGTCGGAAGAATAATCACCATTGCCTACACAGTCGAACTCTACTTTATCTGCGCTACGTATGAAAATGTGATTTGCTACAATTACAGATCTTCCGTAACCGCTCAAGTACCTTTTCAAGTCGTTATGTTTGTTTGTGTGTTTGTACAACTCACTTGTTGTGTATTCAATGAAAATGTCCTATGCGTGTCCTGATACAATTTAGTGTTTAGTTATTTATTAACGTGTTTTGTGTGACGACCTTGATTACACGGTGATCAGAAAAATGAGCAACCAAAAACTGCGCAACTAAAAACTGCGCACAAAAATGTGCGCAATGACCACATTTGTTTTTTAAAGTCGAGCATTTATAGGTATTTACGAAGAGTGACTACTTGTAGATTGTAGAATAATACAACATATTACATCGAAATACAACACAACGTAAGTGTATTAGTTCAATCAGTTTGTGTTTGCGCAGTTTTCCTATTGCGCAATGTTCTGGGAATATCACTTGAGCTATGACGTCACACATCACAAGTACATTAACCAAAACTCAAACCTGAGGAATTACAAAATTAATAGCCGGGGATCGGAAGGAAATGGTGGAGGCCCTATGTCCCATAAGGAGCAAAGAGGACTAAGTCAAGTCAAGTAAGTGAAGTCCTATGTCCCATAAGGAGCAAAGAGGACTAAGTCAAGTAAGTCAAGTCCTATGTTCCATATGGAGCAAAGAGGACTAAATCAAGTCAAGTAAGTGAAGTCCTATGTTCCATAAGGAGCAAAGAGGACTAAGTCAAGTCAAACCTGGGGTATGGCGAAGAACGTGAGGCACTCCTGACTAGGGCAGCGGGCCAAGAAGTCCATACATGACGGGATCACCTCCAAGCCCAGTGTAATGAGTTCATTGAGACAGGCGCGACCTCTGTCTTCTCCATCAGGACTGGTAAACTCTCGGACATCGGAGGCGTATTTCTTCCACACCTGTAGTACGACATAGAGCCGGTAGTGTTAAGTCGTCAATGAGTTTTCGTAACAAAAAAAAATTATATGCATAAAGGAGCTAATAGAGTATTGTGTCAAAATAGAAACTACAGAATTAGTCGCTCAAAGAATATGGCATAAAAATAGATAACAACATTTAAAGCAAAAGAAGATTATGATTGATCTGTCGTTACGAACATTGCATCAAAATAGATACTATTTTCCATGTCGTTTAGAGATAGTGGCACTAATTGTATGTCGGTCAACTTTTTGCACTAAAACTTTTGTCAACCTTGGACTAAAACTTCAGTCAGCCTTGGACTAAAACTTCAGTCAGCCTTGGTCTAAAACTTCAGTCAACTTTGGTCCAAAACTTCAGTCAACTTGGGTCTAAAACTTCAGTCAACTTTAATCTAAAACTTCAGTCAGTCTTGGACTAAAACTTGTCAACCTTGGACTAAAACTTCAGTCAACTTTGGTCTAAAACTTCAGTCAAATTTGGTCTAAAACTTCAGTCAGTCTTGGACCAGGGGCGGAACTACAGTGCCGCCAGACCCCGCAATGCGGGGGGGGGGGGGGGGGGGCCACGACGTTTAGGGGCCCAATTCCGACCAAAAAACAATGAATTTTCTTTTCATAAATAATGTTGTTCGTGCACCTTGATAGTGGTTTTGTAAAAAAACAAACATGTCTACTATAGCAGTGATTGTTCTACAGTAACTAACACACACTGTTGCGTAGAAAAATATAAAATTTTTAAGAGCTCTACTTTGAAAGATAGGCAAACGTTCACACTACTTCCATGACTTACTGCCCTTCATTAAAACACGGGTGCCCATAAAACTCATTTAAATAGTTTTGTACTATGTAAATTAAAGAGCCATTTATTCTCTTAATTATTATTTAAATAAGGCATACTAAAAAAATCCTATGCTATAAAAATGAATGTATTCAAAACTAATAATATAAATACAAAAAAATCATAAAAATAAACATAACGCAAGAAACCACTGCAAAATCAAGCTTACGTGTTTATATGATTTTGATCAGCCAGCATTTGGACGCATGTTTTGTTTTATTAAACAAATGAGTTCGGACTTATTGGTGACCTTGTTGTCTGGTTCGTTATATCAGAGTGGTTATACATTGCAATAAAATAGATTAAAATACTCAGGTAATAGACTATATAAAATTTAGAGAAGCGGGCTACTTATATATATATATTTGTATGTATGTGTATATATATATATATATATACATATATATATATATACATATATATATATATATATATACATATATATATATATATATACATATATATATATACATATATATATATATATATATATATATATATATATATATATATATATATATATATATATATATATATATATATATATATATATATATATATAGGGGGGGCCCAAAAAAATTTTTTGCGGGGGAGCCTTTTTTTCTAGTTCCGCCACTGTCTTGGACTAAAACTTCAGTCAGCCTTGGACTAAAACTTCAGTCAGCCTTGGACTAAAACTTCAGTCAGCCTTGGTCTAAAACTTCAGTCAACTTTGGTCTAAAACTTCAGTCAACTTTGGTCTAAAACGTCAGTCAGCCTTGGACTAAAACTTTAGTCAACTTTGGACTAAAACTTCAGTCAACTTTGGTCTAAAACTTCAGTCAGTCTTGGACTAAAACTTCAGTCAGCCTTGGACTAAAACTTCAGTCAGCCTTGGACTAAAACTTCAGTCAGCCTTAGACTAAAAAGAAACTCAACTTAGGACTATATATCACTTACTTTTGGACTAAAATCTAACTCAGCTTCTCATTAAATGTCAATTAACTTTGTACGAAAACGTCACTCAATTTTCGACTACTAAAACGTTAGTTATTTCCGACTAAAACATGAGTCTGCATTGAATTAAAACGTCAGTCAGCCCTGGTCTAAACCTCAATAGATTTTAACCAGAAACCTAGCCCCCCCCCCCATGGACTTACAGACTCCGGCCATAGACGCTTCCTGCCAGCCTGCAGATCCTGGTAGAAATCCCTCAGATCGTTGGTGACCTGTATCAGGATCCCGTAGTCCTCTATCACCTTCCTCTCAGCATCACTCACCGGCTGGCAGGCTCGAAACATCTCGAAGACTTGGGTGGCGGGGATCCCAGTGGCGTAGCGAGTGTACTGGGATACAAGTAGAAATGTAAAGTTACAATTTCAAACCTGATGGTCCATGGGATAGGTGGAGTAGAGTTCACCTAATTATGTGACCTCTGCATATGAATGGACGGTGTGTGATCAGCAATATGCCCAGCCGCCATTACTTTCATTAACGTGAGCCAGATACCATTATGATACCATAAACGTTTTATATATATATATATATATATATATATATATATATATATATATATATATATATATATATATATATATATATATATATATATATATGTGTGTGTGTATATATATAACGTGTAAGATACATTAAATTACAATACGAATAGTAAAATAAACAGTAATATTAGCGTCTTGACTTCTGTTCTTTAAAAAATAGATAAATAAATTTTAGAATAATACACATATATATATATATATATATATATATATATATATATATATATATATATATATATATATATATATATATATATATATATATATAAGTACAAGCATGGCATAAAAATATTATGATTATATATTGTTTTCACTTTTCATGCCGTTTTCTTGTTGCTGTTGTTTATTCCCAAATAAAAGCAAGCCGGAATACCTTTTTGAACTCTTCCACATTTCGATATGGCATATCCTGCGATGTAGACAAACCTTCTCCGATCTCTGGCACACTGGCTAGTATCGTCTGCTGGTACGATACGGACAACAGACTAAACTCTTTAGAAATCTGGAAATACAAAGAGCACAAGTGGTGTTGCTAGTTCAGTCAAAGTTAGATGCACACGATTGGCTATGGTGTAGCACGAACAAATAACATTTGTGAAGGATGGCATTTCAAGTTCCATTTGTATTTAAAATAAATCGATGAGGCCTAGCACCAGCCTTTATGTGCCGACTAAAATATAGTTCTTGACTTTTTACTTTCTCGTATATACGAAGTATAGATAAAGTATTGTAATCGTGCAAAAAAAAAAATTGAGATTTTTAGAAATCTCGACGTTTTACACCTCACTGATACGGAAAAACATAATTTTGCAATCTTGTCCGTATGTCTGTGTGTGTGTCTGTCTGTCTGTCTGTCTGTCCGTGTGTAAACACGATTACTTGAGTACCGTTACAGCTAGGTTGATCAAATTTCATATATAAGTATTTTATCAAAATCGTAGACCGGTATCAACTTTTGAGCAATTTTCGATAACCGGAAGTGGTAATTTTCCTACTTTGAATTTTTCAAACCTATAACTTGAGTACTATTTCAGATAGATAAATGAAATTTCACAAGTAAGTAAAAGATCTAATTCTCTACCTTCTGTTAACTTTTGAGTAATTTCCGTTGACCGAAAGTAGTAATTTACGCTACTTCCGATTTCTCAAAAAACTAATGTAAATTTTTAAAGTACTAATAATATTGCGCACTATTATGCACTTTTTTATTTGCCGTTCACTTGGTGTGCAATTCTTTTGTCTACGAGATCTATCTTTATACTACTAAAACTCAACTTTGTTTACATGTTTGAATATTTATTTGTTTGTCTGATTTCGTACTGTAAGGAAACTGCTGTATATGGGGGGCTGTAAAATGGTATGTAGGTAGAGAATAATTTTTTTATTGCAGACAGACTATTAATCGCACATTTATTTAAAGACGTTAATTAATTTATTGATTTATTCATATGTAGATTAACCACATTTTTTTTAAAAAGATTAGAACAACCACTAGACTCGACGGAACCATGACGTCACAGTTTTTTGTCTACTTTTTTGTACAATAAAATGGCGGCGTCTATCGAAGAAAATTGTGTTCCCATTCAAAAGTTTAACGCGTTCTAAACAGGGGCGGAACTACAGTGCCGCCAGACCCCGCAATGCGGGAAGGGGGGGGGGGGCACGCCATTCAGGGGCTCAGAGCCGACCATAATAAATTTTTTTATAGTTAAAAAAAAAGTAAATATTCTTTCATTTTTGACTTGATGGTTGTTTTGTAAAAAATTACCGTAGTTGCGGTTGGATTATCTTTATTCTATAGACACCACCCCACGCTCTTGTATATTCTTTTTCCCTTTGTTTTTGAACCACTGTGAAAGCCGAGTCTTTCTCCTACAATTAAACTTATCAAAGATAAGCAAACGTTCAAACCAATTCCATGACTTATTTCCCTTCTTATTAAAATAGTCAAATAGGGGTAATCATAAGCTCCTTTTAATAGATTTGTACTAAGCAAATTGAAAAGCAATTACTTCTCTTAATTATTATGCTTTTTATAAAGTAATTACTTAAAATGACAATGTATAAAAGGGAAATGTATTAAATCAATAATTTTAAAAATTAATAATATAAATAAAAAAAAACATATAAATAAACATAGCACAAGACACCAGTACTTATACAAAGCTTTCATGTTTTATATAATTTTGACCATCTGGATATTAGGTAGGTGCAAATCGAAAGTTTGAGGGAGGGGGGGGGGGGTGCAAATCGAAACCTTTGTCCCCTGGTGACGGGAGGGGCTGCTCGCCTCTGGAAGGAGTTTGTCGATTTAAAATAGGTGGTGCCCGCCACCCTACCGATATTTTAGAATGTGCTCTAGAGAAAAAAAAGGTTGGGAACCCCTGATCTAGATTCTAGATCTACTAGATTCTAGACTTAAGCAAACGAGTCGTAGAATGTAGATCTAGATCTAGATAATTTCAGACCTTCTTTATTTTATATAAATATTTGTTTGCCTAATTTAAGATAAAATTTAATTTGAAAGTTACTACTACTAGACTTAGATCTAGATCTATGCGCGTAAATCAAGTTGCATTAGGAGACTCAAAGTATTAAAGTATAGTATAAAAATTCATCTGTGACGTCACGAGTAAATAGCAAAGTTGTTAGTGTTATCGGCTCTAATGCGGGTGGCACAGGTTCTAGACCAATTCGTCAATGACAACTATTTTTTCAATTTTCCATATTTTATTTTTTAGATGTGAATGATAAAGTTGCCTATCTGAACTTGGCGGGATACAGGGCAGGTGAAGTAGAGTTCATCTGTTGCTTTGTCCTTAGCATATGGAGGGATAGTGTGGTCAGAGACATGCTCGGCTGGAATCGTTTTTTAAACGATAAAAACATGTTGTCTGAGACTTTGCGGGACACTGGGCAGGTGAAGTAGAGTTGAGTAGGTCACCTGTGACGTCAATATATGAAGGGAATGTCCGAAATCGGTGTTTTCGGTGTTTTTAAAAGATAAAAAACATATTTTTAAATGTGGGGTCTGTTTTTTTTGGGACGATAAGTGACACTGCAGTAGCGTAGTGAGGGGGGACGACATATTTCCCCGGGCGCCGACCTTAGGGGGCGCCAAAATGGGTTGGAAAAATAAATTGAAAGGTTGAGGGGGTGCAAATCGAAAGTTTGAGGGGGGGGGGGGTTGCAAATCGAAATCTTGCGGGGGGGGGGGGGGGGGGTTCAAATCGAAAAGTTTGTCCCCGGGCGCCGGGAAAGGTCGCTACGCCTCTGAGTGACAGACGTGATGTTTTTTGATGGATGACCCCCGAAACCCACAGTTATCCAACGGATGACGGGTAGTCTAGTTTTATTCTATTTTTAAAACTTTAAGTATTTAAAATGGATTAAAAATCATGTCTATAGCCCGAGTTCCCATTCCCTGTTGTTTTATATAAGAATATTCGAGAAAGTGTTGGGGAGATCACTCCCGGTTTATTTTAAATACATGTTAATTTCTATTAACGTACTCTCAGGAAACGTATAAACTCGTATTAACTGTATAATAAATTTAAATCATATAACAGTTTATAATTTATATTTTAAAATCTATATATTATGGTTAACCCCCCTCTGTGGTCAAAGCCCCGTTGCGGTCAAACCCCTATGGTCAAAGCTCCGCTGCGGTCAAACCCCTATGGTCAAAGCTCCGCTGTGGTCAAACCCCCTATGGTCAAACCCCCTAAGGTCAAAGCCCATCTGTGGTCAAAGCCCCGCTGTGGTCAAACCCCCTATGGTCAAAGCTTTGCTGTGGTCAAACCCCCTATGGTCAAACCCCCTATGGTCAAAGCACCTGTGGTCAAAGCACCTATGACCAAATATATATATATATATATATATATATATGTGTGTGTGTGTGTGTGTGTATGAGTTTGTATGTGATAGAGGGTTATTATTGTCGCACCAATCTACCCCCCCCCCCCCCATATACAAGACTTACACATGGAAACTGTTCCAACACAACAGCATCCTTGTCCTGACTCTGTGTATAGCGCCAGTTCGGGTCCTTGACTATGGTGACGAACGTTCGCAGGATGGAATACTTGACGTTCGCTGGAATGGTCATGTCGTCCTCGATCGTGTCCATGGCACGGAGAATCAGGTAGTACACGCAGATGGCATCTCTGGAAATATTGCGTGTTTGTTAGTGGTGTAAATAATATGAAAATGTCATGTGTTCGTTATTGGAGTCAGCAGTTGTGAAATGTCATGTGTTTGTTATTGGTGACAGCCATTTGAAATATCATATTTTTGTTATTGGAGAAAGCCATAGGGAAATATCGTGTATTCATTATTGGAGACCAGTGGCGTAGCGAGGTCGGGTGTCACCCGGTGCGGCACTTAATGGTGTCACCCCCCAGAGGCATAGAGACCCTTCCCAGGGACAAACTTTCAAGTTTTCGATTTGCACCCCCCCCCCCCTCAAACTTTCGATTTGCACCCACCCCCTCGAGTTTTCGATTTGCACCCCCCCCCCTCGAGTTTTTCTCTATATATTTTGCTATTTTTTGCCTTGGTGTCACCCCCCCTAAATGGTGTCACCCGGTGCGGTCCGCACCCCCCCGCCCCCCCCCCCCTCGCTACGCCCCTGTTGGAGACAGACATCGGGATATATCATGTTTTTGTTATTTAAGAAAAATTAAAGTGTTTGTCATTGGAGTCAGCCTTTGAGAAATATCATGTTTGTTACATTAAGCAATAGCTGGAATGACTCAATGGCCGGCATCCAGAAGTCTATCTAGCATCAAAGCCAAACGGCTAATAAGATTAACCCAGAGGCGTAGCGAACCTTCCCGGCGCCCGGGGACAAACTTTCGATTTGCACCCCCCACTCGAACTTTTCATTTGAACCCCCCCCCCCCCGTCAAACTTTCGATTTGCACCCACCCCCTCGAACTTTTAGGTTGGAACCTCCCCCACTCAAACTTTCGATTTGCACCCCCCTCGAACTTTTGGTTTGCACCCCTCCCTCAAACTTTCATTTTGGCGCCCCCCTAAGGTCTGCGCCCGGGGACATATGTCCCCCCCCCCGCACCCCCCCCCCCCTCGCTACGCCTCTGGATTAACCTGGACTAAAAAAACTGACTGACAAAATGACTATTTCGACCAAAGGTGGACAGACAACAGTACAATTTTGACTTCAGACAGCCGAATGTCCAAAATGAAAAAAAACAAGTTAATTAAAAAGTCTAGTGACATTTAAGCGCAATTTCCTTATGTTATCTAAAAATAGCTCTGTCGTAGCGTAAATCAAGAGCAGGGTTAGTAAAACCATTGGTTAGTTATTAAAACGTTTTTTTATTAATTTTTTTTCAGTATTTACATGTTTTTTTACAATAGAGTTACATGACTAAAAACCATTTTTGCGCCCTTGCTACCGAACGTGATGTCGCAGCCATTGAACGTGATGGCGCAGCTATTGAACGTGATGACGCGTGTGGTGTAGTTGGATAAAAATGCCTACTAATTCGGTCCAAATTTTAATTAATTAAAAAAATTTTTTGTGACCGAACGAAAGGATATTTTTGAAAACTTTCTTCGGCAATATTATTCTAAATTATGGCAGGAATCGATTGGTAAATGTTTCAAGTCGCTAAATGGTCTGGTTGCCGAGATATGGGCCAAAAACTGCATTTTTTCGAGTTTTTTTTGGCTTTTCCGGGAAATCCATGAAAGAAACCCGGAGTTTTTTTGGCCTATGTTCATCCTCGTAACTTGCTTAACATAATTGCTTTAGAACTAGTCCTCGATATTGCTTCGTTGAGGAGGAGATACGACTTAAAGCTGCGGACACACATACATCCATACATTAATTCATCCATCCATTCCCAGAAATGACGAGTTAATAAACGCAATTCTCCAGAATGGAAATGGACACAAGCGAGAAAAGTCTCAAAGGTATTTGAGAGGTGCATACATTAATTTAAAAATCTTGCACGACGTAGTTACAATTAATATGGTTATAAAATCCTGTCTGTCTGGTTTTTTTCGGACTTTACTAAAGATTGGACGTATTTGATGTTTTTAATATTTTCGGTAACTAAATAAAAATAAAAAAAAAAGCAAAAACAATTTCGTTTTCACGTGTAATGGCGACATAAACAATGGCATCCTGCTATTGGATAGGCCGATATAAATTTTATTGTACACATTGTAAGCTAAAAATAGAAAACTAGGTCATGGGGTTTTAAATTTGCATTGTTATTTAAAAACTTGATCTGCAAAGTTTTGTAAACATCCGGTTATAACTTAGGCTTGATGAAAATAAATAGAAATGTAGCCTTAAACTCAACAAATTATTTTCAAGTTCTCTGGATTTGCAACTTTTATAGCATTTATTCTAAAAATCTAAAATTTCTAAATTAATTTTAGGCTTAAGTTTTTATTTTTTATTTTTTTTTACGGTCTAAATCTAAAAAGCACGTTTTTATTCCATGTCAACAACACTATGGAAGGAATCTCGTCAACTCGCTTGTCTCCATTGCGCTAAAAACAATGACTCAATTTATTTCCTCTGCTAAAAAATTAAAACGTGCAGGTTTTCCGAAGTTAGTATATCTAATTTCACTGAGCACTAACCATAAACTTAACCCAATGTAAAATGTTGAGTGTTCTATCAGTGATAAATATACGCGACTACAAACAACAGAATAGATAGTACATGTATCCAAGTATATATTAGATGTATTTAAGTTTGTATTAGATTAGATATTAGATTATCCAAGTTTATATTATATTAGATGTATCCAAGTATTAGATGTATTTAAGTTTATATTAGATTAGATACTAGATGAGCATTAGAAATCTTACCTGAGGGGTGCCTTCACGGCACTTATAACCAGGTATAAACTCCGAGCTGAATGCTTGAGCAGCTCATAACACTTCTTCAGTGAGGGCCTGGTCGTTTCCTGTAAGGGAGGATTCGATCAGATGTTGTGGGAACGGTGTGGTCGGGTAAGTTAGAGTTTGGCTAGAGTAAGTAGAGGTTCATCACGTACTTATACTTGGAAATGTGAAGGCACCGGATTTTGTACTGGTCAAAGGTCTTCGATCACTGGTAGTCGAAAGGTTCCCTCTCTCCGTGACTCTCCTCTTCATGACTGCGCTCTTCATAACTCCCCTCTTCACGACTCCTTTCTTCATGACTCCTCTTCATGACTCCTCTCTTCATTAATCCCCCTTCATGACTTCCCTACATGACTCCCCTCTTCATGACTCCCCTTCATGACTCCCCTTCATGACTCCTCTCTTCATTAATCCCCCTTCATGACTCCCCTACATGACTTCCCATCATGACTCCCCTTCATGACTCCTCTTTTCATTAATCCCCCTTCATGACTTCCCTACATGACTCCCCTACATGACTTCCTTTAATGACTCCCCTTCATTACACCTCTTCATGACTCCTCTCTTCATTAATCCCCCTTCATGACTCCCCTTCATGACTTCCCTTCATGACTCCCCCTACCTGACTTCCCTACATGACTTCCCTACATGACTCCCCTACATGACTTCCCTTCATGACTCCCCTTCATGACTCCCCTTCATCACTTCCCTTCATCACTTCCCTACATGACTTCCCAACATGACTTCCCTACATGACTCCCCTACATGACTCCCCTACATGACTTCCCTACATGACTTCCCTACATGACTCCCCTACATGACTCCCCTACATGACTTCCCTAGATGACTCCCCCTACATGACTTCCCTACATGACTTCCCTACATGACTCCCCTACATGACTTCCCTTCATGACTCCCCTTCATGACTCCCCTTACATGACTTCCCTACATGACTTCCCTACATGACTCCCCTACATGACTTCCCTTCATGACTCCCCTTCATGACTCCTCTCTACATGACTCCCCTTCATGACCCCTTCATGACTCCCCTCTACATGACTCCCCTTCATGACTCCCCTCTACATGACTCCCCTTCATGACTCCCCTTCATGACTCCCCTCTTCATGACTCCCCTCTACATGACTCCCCTTCATGACTCCCCTCTACATAACTCCCCTTCATGACTCCCCTTCATGACTCCCCTCTACATGACTCCCCTTCATGACTCCCCTCTACATGACTCCCCTTCATGACTCCCCTCTACATGACTCCCCTTCATGACTCCCCTCTACATGACTCCCCTTCATGACTCCTCTCTACATGACTCCCCTTCATGACTCTCCTTCATGACTCCCCTTTTTATGATTTTCATATCTTCATGACTCCCTTATTTCACAAATACGGATCGGATTTTCCGCACCAATTATCAATTTTATTCCAGAAAAAATACTGACTTAGCAAACAATCCTCCGTCCTACCTCAGCTAATGATTCCCGATTGTTTTGTCTTTTAAAATCTAATTTTACATGTGAAAAAAATGACTTGTCGCAAACTTGCGTTCTCCCTACACAGCCATTTCTAGCAACTTCTCTCGTTTTTTTTTTTTTGGTTACTTTATTCCGTTTAAATCTGACTTCGTTTACATTTGCAACTCCATAAAAATGACTGCCTAATTTTTCTAGTTACGGATTCTAGCTTTTTCCACACTCTTAAAATATTATATATATATATATATATATATATATATATATATATATATATATATATATATATATATATATATATATATATATATTTATTTATTTATTTATTTATATATATATATATATATGTATATATATATATATATATATATATATATATATATATATATATATATATATATATATATATATATATATATATCACTGCCTTCCCTTACTCCAATTCAAGCAACGCCCTAACAACACCAAATATGACCATCTCAACAACATCGACAATAACAACATCGGCATCAACAAAATCAACACCATTAACAACTTATCACCAACAAGATGACAACAACATGAACAATAATAAAAAACGGCATCAACAAAAACAACACCAACAACATCATCACTAAAAACAGTAACAACAAAAAAAAACAATAACAAAAAAGGCATCAACAAAAACAACGCCAAGAACATCATCAACAATAACATCATTACCAACAGTACAATCATTGACATCATCGTCAGCCACGAAAACCACAACAACATTTGATACAAATTTAATCAAAGTTAACAGATTATCGACGTGCCACTTAATCCCTTACCCGAAACAAAAAAAAAAATCTTACCTTGTCTAAAATCGTCGCCTTGTCTGTTATATGAATTTTTAATTTGATCAAAGACCTCATTTCGTCCAAGCTTTTAAACAACCTGGTGATGTCCATTTTCTGGAGTGTCTAAAATATCTACTTCACCCACTTTAATAAAACCAACTATCGTTGAAAAATTCACACACGCCAACAAATTTTATATTGCGTATAAATTGAAAATTTCGCTAAATATAATTTGAAATCATAACTGGTCGATTACATTTAAGTGTATGAAATTTTATTTTACACTGCAACTTATTTACAGCTTAACGTCCATTTGACCACGCCCCTTTTTGACCTCACGTGATATTAATAGCGCCGCTCAATAAAACATCTGTTGCTAAATGAAGGCGGGTACGTACTAATTAAATTGAACGGATATATAGATATTCGACTATAATTCATATTAATTTATTAATGTTAATTAAGTAAACATAATTTAAAAAAAAAAAGGTTTAATGAAAGCAATCTTGTTAGTAAATGCGTTGGTAAATTTAGAAGAGGTCCATTAATGACGTCACACTCCAAGTGAGTTCGGAATTTTGTGACGATGTGTGGAATGAAGGGGGGGGGGGGGGTGGAGCGTGGGTTCAAAAGTTTGATGAGACACTAGCATTTAAAAGAAAATTGTAGAAACTAAACATTTTAGCATTAATTATTTTTTTATAGACAGTTTTTAAAATATTGTAATAGAAATTGACTCATACACTCAGTGTTAAAAAACTTAAAAATTAATTCATTTAAAAATAACAACAGAACTTTCTTTTTTTAGGAGGTTTTAAGCTTAGGCATGCCTTAATTTTAGGAGAGAGGGGGGGGGGCGTCTTGCATTTGTGACGATGTGTGACGGTAGGAAGTAAGGAGGGCAGGTAAAAATGGTCAAAAATTTGCATGACGTCATTAATTTATGTGTCACGTGCCCAATAAACAGTGAGAGTTTACCGCACGGCGGAAATGCTGTGAACCACGAGAGCTGAGTGACGGAAGTGATGACATGGGCTCTTGCAGAGTTTCTCTTCGGCATCTCACTGTACATAGTGTGTGTAGAGGGGCGGGGGGAGTGCCGTTTACTTTCTCCTCCGGACAAAAAAAAAAAAACAGACCACATATATCAATTAACAATATTTACTCTAAAATTATTACCTCCCACGGAAATTTTTAGGGTGCCCCTCGGAAGTTTTTGGCATACACCCCCCACCCCTCCACACACACACACATATACATATACATATACATATATATATATATATATATATATATATATATATATATATATATATATATATATATATATATATATATATATATGACATATATATATATAACATGAAGAGAATGTATGGATCGTGTATATTTCCGCCATTGAATGCCAGTCTAGCGACGACACGGAAACGTTTTTTATTTCTCAATTTACTTTTTACTTTTTCCCATCCCTGTTAAGTGGGATCGATTACGTGCTATCGAAATTAACGGACGTACCTTGACTTGTCGATCAAGTATTGTTTACACTCCAGTTATCCCCCCGCCCATCCCCTGTATAATTTGGCGTGCAAGTCAATCTTCAACACGTATGTGCTAATTGGTTTTAAGCCCGAGAAGTACTCAACACTTATCCCGCCCAGGTATCCGAATTTCACTTCAAATTATACAAAAAATATCTATCAAGCTGCGCTAGTGGTATCCGAGTTCAATGAATATTAATTATGTATTTATTTTTATTCTCAGCTTACGTAGTTTAAAACCTTTAAGCTATGAACTAGGGGGAGGGGGATTGTAGGCGGTTCGGTCTCACATCATTTAACGATAGTTAAAATTAACATTGCTAATTGCTTGGTGAAATAAATTTAAGATTAAACTATACTGAAACGTAAACAAGTGGAAAGATATATTTAGATGTAACAGTGAAAAAAAAAATCCCACAGTTTTCGAAGCTAATAATCAATTTAAAAAAAATAATCAGTAAAAAATGCATTTAATATTTTTAATCGAATATAAACTATCGGTAAACGACTGGTTACAATTAAGTAAAAGAAAAACTCATTTAAGATAAAATGAAGACATTTGGGTGATCTTTATGTGAACTTTAGGTGATCTTTGGCGATCTTTGGTGATCTGTAGGTGATCTTTAGGAGATCTTTGGTGATATTTGGCGATTTTAAGTGATCTTTAGGTGATCTTTAAGTGATCTTTGGTTGATATTTAGGTGCTCTTTAGTTGATCTTTAGGTGATCTTTGGCGATCTTTGGTGATCTGTAGGTGATCTTTAGGAGATCTTTGGTGATCTTTGGCGATTTTAAAGTGATCTTTAAGTGATATTTGAGTGATATTTAGGTGATCTTTAGTTGATCTTTAGGTGATCTTTAAGTGATCTTTATGTGATATTTAAGTGATCTTTGAGTGATATTTAGGTGATATTTAGGTGATATGTAGGTGATCTTTAGTTGATCTTTAGGTATCTTTAGTTGATCTTTAGTTGATCTTTAGGTGATATGTAGGTGTTCTTTAGTTGATCTTTAGGTGATCTTTAAGTGATCTTTGGGGGATCTTTAGGTGATCTTTAGTTGATCTTTAGATGATATGTAGGTGATATGTAGGTGATCTTTAGTTGATCTTTAGGTGATCTTTAAGTGATCTTTGGGGGATCTTTAGGTGATCTTTAGTTGATCTTTAGGTGATATGTAGGTGATATGTAGGTGATCTTTAGTTGATCTTTAGGTGATCTTTAAGTGATCTTTAAGTGATCTTTAGGTGATCATTAGTTGACACTTTATATTTATATAACTTGAATGTCTTCACCAGTCTGTTGGTTGAAAATCATAGCCTGGCTGCATGTATTTTATCGACCATGTTTCATCTCCATCTTGTGATTTGTAAAATCTATAAATAACCTGACGCTGTTGGTTTTCTTGCAACTTGAATAGCGCATTTGAAGGGTGAACATTGTCTAGCTTTTTGGGGTGTATGTGTGTGTGTGTGTGTGTGTGTGCTTGCGTGCGTGCGTGTGTGTGTGTGTGTGTGTAACCTAGATATTTAAAAAAAAAAATTGGTTTAGGTCTGCGTGAGAGCCTAATTGATTTTAAATTGGAGGAGGGGGGGGGGGGGGGGTAAGGAATATTCGTCGCTTACTGTTTTAATGACCTTTCAATGCCCCCTTATCTCTAAAATTTAAAAAATCATATTTTTCCTATGGCAAGCTAGACTTGCATAATGACGCTTACAAAACCACGCAACACCTAATGGTGTAGAGGTCACGATGTTCTCCAGGGATAAGAAATGTTTGTACGTGTCTGTGGTTTTAAAAAAAGTGTACATTCGGTTAAGATCCAGGTGTAATATAAATGTTGCTTGTTACACTCGCGGGACGGAGTGGTGTAATGGTAGAGCGGTCGACTGTGAACCCGATCGGATTCCTGGCTCGAATCCGTAATTCGTCCCTTATCCACCCAACTCTGATAGGTATATGACTCACCTTAAGGAATGTCAGGGGGGTAAACTTGAATTCCCCCCCCCTCCGCAAGAGCTTTTACTTTGTTTTTTCCATTCACGCCTTTGATGGAACGTTTTTCTTCTAATTCCAGACATATGAATCTATATATATAATTCTCTTCATGGAGACCATAGAAAACACCAAGCTGTAAGCGCGCCTAGCAGCCCCCTTCTCTTCTTCTCTAGGCATATCCCTACCACCCCACCCCTACATGGTGTGGTGAGCTGTGGTTCACGCTAAATGTTTACAATCGTAGAGCCGGGTTTGGTGACGGCTATTAGGGGCAGATAATTTAGTTTGAAACGATTTTAAACTTAGGGAAGGTTACTAAGAGGAGGCTCGTGTTAAATATTTGTTTAAAGACTACACTATTTTTCTCACGAATGTGTCGTGTGTGTGAAATGTGGAAGAGGGGTGTAATTGTGCCTGCTCACAGTTAAAAACTACAGGTGGCGCTCCCTATTCGGGCATAATAATAAGCGTTTTACAGCACACGCATACACTCAGATAAGGTTTTAACTATATCTTTAAGTTTTTAAACATGTCAAAGATAACTAAGCATCGACTACCCACCAAGATTTTAAAAGTTGCCTTTCATCTGCTAGCATCGCTTCTATTTTGTTAATTACCATTTCCTTTTTGTCTTTACACACGTTATCTCTTGCTCCTTTGCTCGATTAACTGAGTTTATATCTCGTCTCAACACAGTAGGTGGTCATACGTTACACATGTGTCAACACACTGCGATAGTGTAACACACTTGCACGTGTCGTGCACATGGACACTTGACAACCGTCTCAGACACAAACACATTAACACAGTGTCACATACAACAATACTGTCATATAACACTACACAAATAAAATAACAGCCCATCCATACGTTTTCACACATTAACAGCCCCTGACTGTCTTTCTATCCTTTGAGTCTCTCTCCTTCAGCCCCTGTCTTTCTATCCTTTGAGTCTCTCTCCTTCAGCCCCTGTCTTTCTATCCTTTGAGTCTCTCTCCTTCAGCCCCTGTCTTTCTATCCTTTGAGTCTCTCTCCTTCAGCCCCTGACTGTCTTTCTATCCTTTGAGTCTCTCTCCTTCAGCCCCTGTCTTTCTATCCTTTGAGTCTCTCTCCTTCAGCCTCTGACTGTCTTTCTATCCTTTGAGTCTCTCTCCTTCAGCCCCTGTCTTTCTATCCTTTGAGTCTCTCTCCTTCAGCCCCAGTCTTTCTATCCTTTGAGTCTCTCTCCTTCAGCCCCTGTCTTTCTATCCTTTGAGTCTCTCTCCTTCTGGCTCTGTCTTTCTATCCTTTGAGTCTCTCTCCTTCAGCCCCTGACTGTCTTTCTATCCTTTGAGTCTCTTTTTCAGGCTCTGACTTTAGTTGATTCACTGCACAATCGTGGTTATCAACAAACTCTTGTGTTTCTCGCATTCTCTGACATAATCTGTCTTAGTTAATCTTAAGGTATCGGTTTTACTGTAATAATTTATACTTCTCTTTCTATAATATTATGTTTACCCACTTATACAAGCAGAACACTTAGTAAATCAAATACTCAATATTTCCCCAACATAAGATAAAGGGGAGTAGCCCAAAACGAAATTGACATTGAAGAATTACAGAGTTGTCTTTCCTACCAGTAACACTAACTCAGTTTTTACTTTTTTCTCATGATTTAATTTACACGATGCTTTCCCTTTGTTCGTTAAACACTTTGTTTTTATTGTGCAAAGTTGTCTACATATAA